GTCTCGGCATCAGGTCATGTCTGCCGAGCATGCCAACAGCAGTCCGGCGAGACTTCTACTCGCCCGGTCTCTACTGTCCGATGGGATGGGAAAGGGCGACAAAGATCACCCATGGGATGACCGACAGTGTTCGAGCAATCAACATCCTTCGAGCTCTTTCCACAGACGAAACAGCTGCGTTCTGCTGTCCATCGTGAGTCTCACGGTCCAGAAACTCCGCCAGCCGGGGTTCACCCGCTAACCATGATGACTCGAAATAGCGGATTTACCTTTAGCTACACCGTCTGGTCCTCAACCGACGCCCTCCCTTACTGCGCGTCAACCATGATACAGGGGACCTTTACCTATTGGACCTGCAACCCTCGAGGCTACAGTCTTGAACAAAGGTTACGAGTGGGCGGGACAGTTACCCTGTCGGCAATCACCTCCGAGCGCCCTGCCGTACAAGCAACTATCACGATGGAATCTCTTCCCAATGTCTGTGGGAGACAAAACATGGATGCGATCAACCCTAGCACTCAGGCTCCAACCTTGGTGGTTTCGTCAGCTATCACCCGCGCGCCTGCCATCCAGCTCGTCTGGCGCTCTATCGACCTCCCCGCGGCAGCAAATAACGGAACACCAAACGGCAATTCTCCCTCGGTCAACACCGCCGGGGTAGTGGTGGGCGCTACTCTTGGTGCTGTGGTTGCGATATCCCTCATTGTGTTTGTAATCTGGCTCTGGTGCAGGAAAAAGAAAGAAAAGTCTGGCACTGTGTACGAAATTACGGAGAACACTGGAAACGTCGATGAGAGCAAAGCTCAATCAGAATTGGCAACTGGAAGTGCTGTCGTAGAGCTGTCCACAGCTGGCAGTCCCGAATTACCTGCCAGTCCAATAACACTGCGCAATGCTGATGCTTCTGATGGTTTGTTTAGGGTGGTGGTGCCAACCGGTAGAGCGGGGACTGATAGCAGACCGTCAGTAGCGTATGAGCTGGACTCTGAGCTCGACCGGCGCGATGTCGGCGCCAAGTCTATGTCTGAAGGACATAATGTTCCAACCACGGGCAGACTAGAATAACTACACCCTTCATCTACAGAGAACTACACAACGTAGGTATATTTTCTTTCCACGTGAGTCTCTCTTGTGAATAGCCTATGACTGGTATTAAACGAAGGTAATATAATGTCTGACTATCTGCGGTACGAGATTCCAATTTGAACCATCATCTACACGTCTCTGAGCCTTGCTGGCTACACACAGTAAAGGTAGTCCTTGATGACCTTGCCTTTTTGAATTTTGCCCACCTGGAGCCACTTGTGTCTAAGGTACCTATGTAGCACTGCTTTGTTAAGGTCGTGAAGTGCTAATATCTGTGAGGGAACAGTAACATCAACGCCATTGCATGCGCCATACCTACCTATGTACCTGCTATTGTTACCTGGTGCGTTACGTTGTACCTGTGCAGCCAGCCAAAGTCAAGAGGCCGATGCTGCGGATAAAGATACCAACCTATTAACCCCCGCCACCGCCATCCCAGAAAAGCCCACCAATTTAATACAACAACGCACACTGCCTGTCTGCTCTGATAATTCTCTCCCTCCCATAGCTCCGCAGGCTATACGAGCTATTTGCCCGGACGAATCAATTGTTAGTAATCATCCTGCCGCTTCTGATCTAGTAATATCTAACCCCAAATATAAATATATATTTTGTTGTTTTTCTAGGGTCTTTCCTTACGGTACTTCTGGTCCATCTGGGCGTTTTTGTTTATAGAAATTCGATCGGGCTTTCTAAATATAAGATAAGCGAGCCTATGAAGACTCTTAAGGAGGTAAAGGCTATTAAGGAACCGTTTACGAATAAAGGAATCGCGAGTATAATCAACCTTGAAGACGTCGTTTAAGAACGTTTTGATAGAGAATTTTATAGAAAACGCTTTAATAAGTGGATCTATCTAAAGCAGGATATTATCCAGATAGTGTTAGAACTACTTCGTTCTGTGCGGGTAGAAGAGAAGTAATATATCGGTCTCTGGATCCCCGCTGTTATTCCGCTAGATTTATCCCTTTATAGTGATATTATAGTCGGAGGGAGGTTCGTCTTTTAGTAGAGCCCCGCCACAGTTAGACCAGAAAATCACTTCGATATACTACGGTTAATCACAATAGCGCTCCCTGTCGAGTACTATTTACCGCGCTATATATAGTAATCGCAGCCACTCGATATTACATGATTATACTCCTCATAGCTAACGGTCTTAGTATAGTAGTATATATTCCTTACCTAAAACAGCTTATATATTACTATGACGCTTGCCGGGCCCGCATACGTAAAATCTATCTTATATAGCTATAAAAACTCTCGGTATATTTAAAATATGTTTTAAAGAAATTGTTGCTTGTAGGAATAGATTTAGCGTTTATTTTTGAATATATATTTAATGAGGGATTGGTCTAGGATAGGTTAAACGACGGTCGTATAAGTTGGCTAGCGTAACCACGGACTAGTAGGTTAACGTAATTTAGATGCTTAATATCTTGATATATACCGAATCCGGTATAATAAACTCGATCCCGTTCGGTCGTCATGCTATCCTATTTAGTAGCCTCCTAAATATAGAAGGCATCTTAAGAGCGAGAGAGCTGGTGACAGTATGAAAAGAGTGTAAGAAGAAGTGGGTAAGAGAGAGGACATGTTGTCACAGTTAACCCAACGGCAGGTCGCGCCACATGTGGGGCGCAGGTCGCCCCTAGCCAATCATTCAGGAAGTCAGGGAACAAGCCGATCAGGGCTAGGCAAAAGTGCTATGGCGCCAAGGCTCACGAGCAGTCTGCAGGATGCAAGATGCTAGGGATGATCAGAGGCATAGCACGACGAGCACAATGCAGATGCAATGTGCTAGGAGTGATCGGGCCCATAGCAGGGCGAGCACCTCACGGCCCCAAGGTCTATATATACGGAGGAACTGGCTGGTGTAGATAGACAGTTCCGCAGTATGCAATTCAAGCTTGTATTCACGGTAGCTAGTGTTTACATTGAGACATCTTGTTGTGCACTGTTTAGCTGCACCGAACCAATTGTCAGAAGTTACCTTCAACCAGTATCCCTTTCAGAGGTTCTGTACAGGGGTTCGTCACATATGTTGATTTTAAGTAGGAACGAGCCCTGTACTTTAAATTACCGACATGTTAACTATATTTAGTTTTGGGAACAAAAGGTGTGAGGGATCAGCTACGCAATATTGCCGGACGTTATGTGTATGACAAAGTTGCCTTGGTTGAACTCGGATACCAGCCGGATTGATGTATATCGAGGGCTATATTCGTTATATTTATGGATAGTTTCAGTCTCTTAAGTTCGTCAATCTAATCAAAGACTTACTCACTAGTTTTAACGTTATCCCTATCTAATTTATAACGATTAAGCTTTGGGCCAAATGTTGATACGTTGACGGAACCACACGTGGAATAAAACGCAAACATCGCCAAAAGCGCGGCCGGTGCCATCACTATCCATGACCAATACCTTGTTGCTTTGCAGACCGTTTCATTGGGCTTAAATGCCGCTCAAATGGCGGTTCACACATTGTAGGCGTAGAAGGGAGCGGCCCCAAGCCTGGCAAAGTCAAATTTAATTCCTTGGGAAATTTGCCAGCATCCGACACTGACGAGAACAGCCTCACTCATTATCACTAAACAAAAGAATACCATCCCCCATTTTGGGCTCGTGAGTGTAAAATGTAGTTCGGTAATCCGCAGCCCTGTCATAAGCTACTGATAGGGTTTCACTGGCGGGTGGCTGAAAAATGGGTCAAAATGTGAAGCGGCTTGCAAGCAGCTTTACCTTATCATCGTAATAAAATAATATAAGTCTTTTTTTAAAAGAAAATCTTAGGGTTTTTTAACTATTCTAATTTTTTAAACTACATCAAGAAAATTGTATTAGGGATATTATTAGTAATATTAAAATATCGATTTTACAAGAAAGAAGTAAATCATGAAAAGAAAACTCAAGTATATTTCTTATAAAGCACAAAATCGTTTATTTAATTACATTTCTAATTTTAGCTTTAGGCAAGTTTAACCGTAGTAGCGGAATGGGCCCGAAACATCGCTACGATTAACACATCCCCGGCATAGGGTAGCACACCCCTGCACAGGCCAAAGCCGGTGCAGCACCGGTTCACTTACGAAGAAGGTGATTCTTAAAGTCGACATTCGGAACAGGAACTTATCTGTTATTTCAGCTCGTCTGGCGACAGGCTCATATTGATGGGCACGTGGCTAATACGGTGGATGACTCGGTCCTAAAGCTTCCAGCTGGAGCAATCGCGGGTCTTATCGTGAGATTACTGATCCTCTATTGCGTCAGTCATTGTGGGCTTGTGGTTATATATCAGCAAGCGGAGGGGGTTTCGACAACATGCTGTCCCCGCACCAGCTTTGGAGATACATGACGGAAGCCTGGACGTTACGACAGCATGCAACCAAGCAACGGACCAAGAGACCGTTACCCCTGATAGCAAACCCGAGCTTGACGCAATCACCACTGCTCGAGTCAGCGGACCCATCAGAACTCCCAGCTACGCCATTGGTGGCGCAAACTTCTGTCGAGCTCATGTCCAGTGATAGTCTTGTCATTAGACATGAACTTGATACGCAATTCGTACATGAGCCTGTTCATGATGCAACAACCTCTGAAAATGGCGGTACAATAGGTCAGATTGCATCGGTTGTGGACTTGATCAGCTCGCAGATGGTTTCGCCTCTTTCTACGATGAGCTCCGCACATCTCACTCCCACCTCTCCCAATCTCCAGCGCTCGTGTTGGATCTATGGAAGACCCTGAGCAGGAGAACAAAAGTAAGCCTGAGGAGCACTGATGGTATACGACGTAGACAGAATGAGCGAATATTGCGAATATGGGGTGATTCCAACTGGTGCAGTAATATGATTTAACTTTACAATACCTAAGCATCATTAACAGACATAATACCGCATACAACACCACCCTCACACATCAACCTTGACACCCTCTCCATCACTACTAAAAATCTTCTTCATATGACTCGTCGCATAAGGGTTACTCATCGGTATACTCACCCCCTGTTCCTCCCCCACATCCACCCCTCCCCTCCTCACCTCCCAAATCTCCCTTCTCCCACTCCTATACTCCCCCAACGGCCCCTCCAGCTCCCCCCAAGCCTTAACCGCATGCGCCTCCACAACAGGCGTCCAAACCCCCCTATCCACCATCGAACCCCTAAACCCCTCATAATCCCCCACCCCCCTATCCCCCAACATCTCCACCATAAACCGAAAGAAAAACTCCTCGCTCTCCGGATTCTGACTACTAGCAATCAACAGCACGAACCCCACCCACGTCTCAATCCCTATCCTCTTCAAGTTCGGTGACAGCTCAGCATCAGTAAAATGATGCCTCAAACGTGGCATGATCCCCGGTAGAGGAGAGCAAGCGGCGTGAGCACCGTTGCCAACGAAGAAGGTGAAGACAAAGAGGCATATAGCAATGACGTTTTCTGTCGCGGAGAGGGCTGTTTCCGCGCGGAGGATGAAGTGGATCAGCTCCCCTAAACCGATGGACATCAGGTTCTGGATGTCGAGGGCGTCCCATTGGCTTGTTGGGCGGGATATGTACCATGCTAATGCGTCACGGAGGAGACAGTCGAGGGTGGTGATGTGGTTGATTAGATCGCGTGATACCCCGAGAGTGGCGCATGCGGTTGCCATTGCTGAGCCAGCTTGGTAGAATGGGGAGGAATGTGGGTAGTTGTAGAGCTTTTTGAGGAGGCCGTGAGGTAAGAGGTGGGAGGCGGCGAAAGTGTGGTCGGAGAGATGGGCAGCAGAGAGCTCGTTTCTGTTTGTGGGTTGGTAGAGGTATTGGCCTGGATGGGATGGAGGAGGCAGGCTGAAGACGAGGCGGCAGGCTAGGGAGGTGCACACCCATCTGATGATGAAGGCCTGGAGACCCTTCATTCCGTCAAGACGGGCTATGCCTCCGCGCAAGAACAGCATTCTCTTCAGCCCCGCCAGATGGGCCTGGCGCTGGGAGACGTCTGGTTGGAGGTGCTTCCATGCTGGGTGGTCTCTCAGTGAGTCGCCAGCGTAGAGAAACAGGTTCTCCTCGATGCAGAGCATCTGGAAGACTGTGGCAATGTTCTCGTCGCTCAAGGCCCGCGATGGGTCAGCCAGGGCAGCCTGAATGTGGGAGATGGCTTGGATGCGGTGGTGCATGAACTGCTCCAGTAACATTGGGGACTTGTGAGGCTGGGCCACAGCCAGCTGCAGGGCTGAAAGGCACAAGATTCCATGCAGAAAGCCAGAGTTCCCAAAGGAGACTGTCACCCAGTACTTTTCCGCCTCGGGGGACTGGTCACCCGTCAAAGGTGTGAGAGTCTTGATGATCACCGTGTTGACTACAGGAAAGTCATAATGTCAGCTAGAGGTCGTCGCTAAAGTTTGAAGTCCGTCCCGACCCACACGCGCTGGCAGTCTGTTGGGCTCAAGACGACGCTAAGCACAGCAAGGTACCTCGACGCATGTATGAGCACGGGGTTACTTACAATACGCCAGCAAATCAGTATCCCGTTGGCCCATTCTTACTGACACAGTGCCAAAAGGATCCAACCGACCACTCAGTGTTTGTGCTTGGGACACCAGGGTGGCCCCAGCTTGACAGATGCATAGGCCAACGGTGTATCCGCAATGAACACACTCTACATGATCGGAAACGTTATTGGCATGGTGTTCTTGGAATTTCCCACCAAATCTGCCATTCGAACTCGTTGGTTTGGACTGCCCTGGCTTCACACCAGCAGTCGGACGTTGTCTTTTCGAGACACCACCCTTGCCTCGCTTCGGCTTCGGATTCCCGTCGTCCTGAATCCGCTGGGGAGCAACAGCTACGGGCACCTCCTCTGCGATCCCCGCACTGTGCTTACCATCAAACAGTGTGTTGGTAGCTGGAGCACCATCTGGGCTGTCAGAACCGCTACTGTTACTGCTGGCAGTCGCGTTTGGGGAGTCGTCAGAGCCGAAGGGAGCACGTTTTCGGCCGGCCTTGCTCTTGGTCGACCATGGCTGAGCAGCTCTAGCCTTCCTGATAACAAAGGCACGACCTGTGGTAGAGATCTTGTGTCCGGCACTGGACTTGTTGCCAGAATTGACGAACAAGAACTCCTTAACAACGGCCATGTTGTCGCTGTAGTGCTTTGGTGACTGTTTCTTCTCCCCCGTTACAGTTTGAGTACCGAAACGCAAATACAACGGGGTAAACCGCTTCCCGAAAAAGGCAAATGATAACGGTGTTTTTGAAGATATCGGAGATTGAGAGGCCGTGGTGGTTTTGGGGATGGACAAAGTTTCAGTTGTGGGTTCTAATGAGATGGAAAGGCTAGCGGTGAGATGCCAAGCATGCTCAGTCATGTCCATAATTATCATTCTCCTCTTTAGGCATGGTGTTGCTGGGCATAAGCTGTTGTGTAACAGCGGCTGATGGGGGCGTGATGCTGTGGGATAACCCTTACCCAGTTTTCTGTAAAGCACAGAACCCAGACCACCCTCTGCACCACGAACCCAGATTATTCAAGATCGGAACACCCAACACATCTGGATCAAAAAAGGACGATGTCCCGACTGGCTTGAAAAGAGCTCGGGTCATTAGACAGTGAGGTGAAAAAGGCAAAAGGTAATGGGAACTGTGAGGCTCGAACTCACGACCTCAGGATTACTCTGATGTTAAACCAGATCATACAGTGTATGAGACCTGCGCTCTTCCAACTGAGCCAAGCTCCCTGTCAACTTCTGCTTCACCGCGGCAGAATTACCTCCTAACACAAACCCAGCCAGACAAAGAAAAAATCTCCGCATATCGATGTTGGTAAGGCTGTTGATCAAGAGAGGTTCCTTTGTAAGTTTACACAAGCAATAGACCCTAGTGATGTTGTAGACGGTGAAAAAACTTTGTCATGGTGATGGGGAAAGACTTCATTACTGGTGTATTACTTCGTTCTGGGAATGTTGTCAAAGTGCGCCTAACCTATATCGCTTTGGACTGTATGCGCTGTTCCACTGTGGAGTCCTTATTCTGTAAAGCAGCTCCCCTCGTAGCGATGTTGACCCCCTCTTCCTCTTCGTCCAACCATACCAAATGAGCCCCGCCGCCGTTGTCATCTTCGTCCTCCGACTCAAGATCATGGGTGTCACTTTCACCATAAGCTCCTAGAGGTTGCTCAGTAGCTTGTGCCTTGACCGCCTCCTGGGTTTCTTCTGGGTCCTGAAGCGAGGGATCTGTGCTCGCCTTTCGGTTTGGTTCTTTCTCTGATGGAGGGTGCCCAGTGATAGCCACAAAACGCTCGTTGACTGGCGAGGCGCCTTTTTGACCGTCGTGGCTCATGGGAAAGCTGTTTTCGGCGGAGACCATTCGGAACTCGCTGGCGAGAGGATTGAGCGTAGACGTGCTACTGATGCTCAAGACACGGTGATGCTGTTCTTTGGGGGCTACAAAGTCCATTGTCGGACTGACCAAAACGGGTGACTCCGGTGGCGTAACTGGTTCCGGTGTCATGATGTCCCAGTCCAAATGTCCCAGACGTTGAAGCCGTTGTTGGTTTTGTTTTGCTTCTTCGTGCTGCTTCATCGCTACGTTGAATAGCACGTACAAGATTCGAAATACAAATATGAGTTGCTGTTCTTTGGAAAATGTGAGAAACGGATGAGGGTGATAAGAGTGTTGGTTTCGTGGTCTTTCTGTTGTGTAGTTGTCATTATTTCCGCTATGTGATTCGACTGGAGACAGAGGGATTGCTCCCGGTGGTGGTGTTCCCGGTGATGCTGTGGGCGATAGTGGTTCAGCGGGCCCGATTGTGGCAGCTGGAGGTTTGCGGGGCGCACTTGATGCGTCGCGCCTCGTAGAACCGGGTGGTGGATGGTCGCCAAAAACATGCCGCATCAACTTGTTGCGCGAATCGAAAGCTTGAGCGCAGCGGCGACACTTGTGGCGCGTCGGTGATCCATTTTTGTCCTGGGCTTGACCGTCGGTGGTTGATCTGGAGGCGGTGGACATGGATGCCCAACGCTTCGACTCCATTCTGGATTCTGGTGGAGCAGAGAAAGCAAAAATGGTCGGCGACTGGCCTAGTCAAAGGGTCGTCGATTGAGGGCGCGACTGTGCTCAAATCTGGAGAGCGGCCCCGTTCTTTGCAAGGCTGTGCCCAGAGGTCGAGAGCAGGAGAGGGGAAACTGTGGGTGAGTGAGTGGGTGAGTGGTGAGTTGATGTCGAGGCGAGAGTGGAAATTTGAGGTTGACGAACGAAAATTGTGGGGCTTGACACGCGGTGTTGCTTGAGTGGCAGAGTGGAACGGTGTGGGGCTTCCACAGCCCCCGCTTCAATGCAGCTTCATGTAAGTTGATTGGTTCTGTCTTTTCGTCCTCTCTCAAATAATATCATCTTACAGATACTTCTTGACCACTTCCTCAACCTCCTCCCGACTCAGCTCTTTGATCCCCAGCAACTCATTATCATTCTTCTCAAACAGACTGCCATATCCCTCTCCCGCGATCGCAGAAGTTATGAACTTGACAGCAAACTTCTCAGGGTCGGGGTTTTCCTTGTTGATCTCAGCCCATGCCGAAGTCAGCAAGTCATCCACCATCACCACCTCGTCAGTCCACTTCTCTCCTGGGGTAAGCTTCTTGGCAATCTCATACACGTCCTTGAAGCTCTGAACAGTGCTCTGGATAAACACCATCTTGTTTTTGGTTTCCTCAGCATGTCTAAAAACCCCCACAACAGCCTTTCCAACATCGGACAACAGCGAGAAACTGATCTTCCTGTCGCCGCCATCATAGAGGATTGCGTGTTTATCTTTGGCGTTGACCAGCCAGTTGATCTTGAGACCCCAGTCAAAGAACGCGCCATTGACAACAAGGGTGTATGTCAATGTGCCTTCTTTTGCTTTTTTCTCGAGAAGGTCCTGGGCGTCAAACTTGGTTTGAAAGATGGGAAGCTGTCGGACCTTGGCGTTACGAGTGTGGGAGCCGAACTCGGTGGGCAGGAATCGTTTGACACCTGCCTTGGCGGCAGCTTCAATAAGAAGGAGTTGCTTTTCGGGGGCGCTAATTGGGAGGGTGGAAACCACAGCGTCTTGACCAGACAATGCCGATGTCAACGAGTCGATGGAGTCGTAGTTGACCGTGACGGTTTTGACACCGGGGGGAAAAGTACGAGGTGACTCCTTGCGGACGAGGACGGTGACCGTAAAGTCACCGGCGAGCAGGAGCTGCTCAAGAATTGAGGGGCCCAAGTTACCGGTTGCCTGAAAGAATGTTAGTCTTCGAATGAGTTTGGGCAATGAGAAAAGATCACCACCTACACCGGCGAGTACAACGTTGGTAATAAAAGCGGACATGTTGATCAGGGAGGCAGATGTGATATGACTGAAAGCACAATTGATGAGATGTTTGAGGTAGGTGTCGAAGGCTTGAAACAGATGGGTACTTTGTAGGTAAGGTCAAGTCGATCGAGCTGGGAGAAAGGACTTGAACAGCAGGATACTGCGCCCTTTTATAGAAAGATTGCAATGGGCAGCTTTCAGCAAAGTGGTATCATCCCTCCGTCCCATACGCTCATCCAGATGAATTATGGCTTATTCAGCCCCAGCTAATTAGTTGAGGTAGGTACCTAGGATACCAATCCCGTAGGCTCGGTTGTTTTACAAGAAGAAACATACCGGCGATTACGTGACAGTGAGGAATTAACGGACCAACAGAATTTTGTATCCCACATGGCCGAGATAAAAAGGATCCCAGCGCAAGGTACCACTGAAGGAGCGCATCTTTGCAGCTGCGTCTGGTTTATTGATGCAGGCAAAAGCATAAGCGAAAACATCCCCCTGAAAGAAGAAGGCCGTCGAATCCCTCCGGGCTGTTGAGATTGTAATCGCGTGTGGATTCTGATAGTTGTAAGGGTAGCAAGGAACTTAAAGGCACAGCTAACCCTAACTCCAAGGACTCTCAATAGGCCATTTGACTATCTTTCAAGGCCTAGTAAATATTTTTTCGAGGCCTGGTTCAGTGTTCTAGAGTGACAGTCATTTGCATAACGTGGCTAGGTACCTAGCTAGTGCACTGTTATCATCAATCTGGCATGGAAACGCGAGTACGAATCCTTTTTAACGGAATCCCCACATTCCACATGCCACATGCCACATAGCCGGCATTCCGCTGCGGCTTTGTCATCACTGCATTGACCACATCTTAGATGAGGAAAGCTTCATTCAACTTTACTTGTCCTTCTCCTCCGTAGTGTTTTAAACTATCCCACCCGACTTGAAACTATCCCACCTTTCCGTTACTACAATCCATCACTGATCATGACCAACCAGGCGTCGGAGGCCCAGCCACCGGCATCACCGTTATCCAAAGCCACTCGGTTTGCCTGCAACGCCCCGGGATGCCGCAAGAGCTTTACCCGGAAAGAACATCTGACCCGACATGCGAAGTCACACAGCTCACAATTGCATTATCAGTGTCATATTTGCGGCCGGAGATATGCCAGGAGCGATGTCTTCAAACGTCATGTGGAATTTCACCCCAAAAACACCATCCCAAGCACCAAGATCGTCGCCTGCAATGAATGCCATGACAAAAAGCTCAAGTGTGACGATGGAACACCTTGCCGTCAATGCGACCGACATGGGCTGGAATGTGTACGCAAAGGGCGACCATCTCTCGAGCCGAGGACACCACCAGAACAATCATCACCAGCCCATGCCATTGACAACACTTCGTCCAATGGAACGTTCAATTACGGGAGTAATAATGTTGACGAACAATGGCATGACATGCATCTCGAGACGCCGGGCCTAAATGAAGCTGTGCATCAACCAGAGCACTCATCCTCGGCTCCTCTCACGCCCCCTACATCACTCTCAAGCGATGCTTCACAGTTCAACAGCACACCACTCCGGGTACTGCTCCAAAATATTGATGAAGCAACTACTTATTTTCTCCTAGAGGTCTTCTTCACCGAAGTACATCAATATTGGCCCATTCTTCATGTATCCACCTTCAACATTGGCACCGTGTCTGATCTGCTGTTAGGATCCATCCTAACCCTTGGCAGCTGGATTACTGGGAGAGAGGAACACAAGACTTTGATTCCGGCCGTCTATGAAGAGGCTCTGACAGCTACCCGGGTGGTATGGTCTCCCCATTTTAGTGTCTCCCTTGGGTTGAGCTAACAGCTATTCAAAGAACGTCACCCCTTCTTTACACACGCTTCAAGGACTGGTGTTGTTGGTGGTATATAGCATTTACAACATTGTATGTTCAGCTGCCGAGCATTTTCAGGTTTTGTTGCTGACTTGTGATAGAATAACGAAATCGGCAAGGCTGGTGGCCTTACTTCCCTTCTCATTCGAAGTTGTCGCTGCATTGGGATTTTCAATGGCAGCCATTCACTTCCCGAAAGGCTTCAAGATGATCCGTTTACCTTTTGGTTGGCCAAAGAGCAGCTTCATCGGTAACCAGTCTCGTCCTCAAAGTCCCTGTTATGTTCTGACAATGATTCCAGGCTGGCATTCACGGTGTTCCGTCTCGACACATACCAATCCGTCCTTCTAAACATTCCCCCCACAGTTCGCTACCAAGAGCTCTACATCCCCTTCCTCGCCTCCCCCTTCATATGGGAAGCCACAGACAATGACGACCTCGAGTATCGCCTCCAGCAACAGCCAAAACCCGGTGTCAAATCACCACCGCTGCTGAGCGGCTTCCACCGTGAGTTCATGTACTCGCCAACATCCTACACACCCAGCATCCCCCTCTCCCCAATGGACCACCACCTCACCCTCTGCGCCCTCCGAAATCCAATATGGGAAGCCTCGGCCTTCGCAACAGACATGGAGATATCCCTCCTCAGCATCCCCAACTCCCCCGTCTTTGCCGCACGCACGCATCTCGACCGGTGGCGTGCCCGGCTTGAAGCTCAAACCCAACAAGTCTTCCAATACGATGTCATCGAAGAAATCACCTGGACGTTATTCCACATGTCAAAGATCACCATGCACGCCCCCTTACCCCTTTTGAGAATCCACTCTGCCGCCCCCTCAGGCAAACATCGTGATGTCGACACGGAGAAGGTTGCCACTAAGCTGGGGATCTGGAGGGGGAGTCCCTGTCCGAGGATGGGTGTTATCTCCTGCGCGGAAGTATGCCAGTTGCTGAGCCGGAACCCTTTTGGGTTTGATTCCAATGCCAGGAGGGATAAGCTTAACCCGCTGGCTACGCCGGCCTTGCTGATGGCTGCCATTGCGGTGTGCTCGTATGCTGCGGGTGTTGGGCAGAAGCAGGGGGGTGGTTGTCCGGCGTGTTTACCTGGGCTGGAGCATGAGCAGGGCGGGTGCGTGGATATTTTCGCAGGGAAATGTCCTCAGTCTCAGGAAAGGGTCAAGGAGTGGGAAGCGACGGGGAGGGGGTGGCCGGTTTGGGGATCCTCGGGGATTGTGTTATGTCGATGCGGTCTTGATAGGCTTGGGGAGTGGTTCCAGCAGGAGGCGGTACTGGGGAGGGACGAGACTGCGAGGAGGGAGCTTGTGGCTTTTGTGGAGGGGTTGAAGTGCGGTTTTGAGTGATGGTTTGGTGTCAAGTGAATTACCTACTCGCCTATGGCGAGGGATGCGAGACGCTATACATGGCGAGATACATGAATGAACCGTTCAGCTTCGAGAATAGAGAATAGACGTAACAATTCCTGCTCTCTTTGTCCATAGCCACAGTTAGTAGCGTCGAGGTCGCTGCCATGCTGCATGATGCAAGTGTCTTTTTTTAAACCCCACCATCATCATCAAATTTGCAGCACAATTCTCGAATATCTAATTGGCCTTTAACATTTGTGCCGTGCATACAATTTTCACAAATCTGATTCTAGCACAATTGTGCACGGTGCGCGGCTTACCATCCAAATGTCGTTAAAACTGATGGAAAAAAGAAGACTGACCTTCCCAGGTATAAAGCAAAAGGATGTGTCCCCTCGACCGGAATCGAGCCGGTGACCTTTCGGTATCAATAAACAACATTTACAGCCGAACGTGATAGCCAACTACACCACAAGGGGTTTTCTTTTTGGTGTGCAGGCGCTGTGCGATTAGGGCTTGTCAACGGTACCCGGGCTGGGTTCGTTGTCCGGCATCGGATGTGGGCCTGAGCAGCCAGAACTTCGGAACTGTTCCTTGTGGCTGGGACGGACATCTCTCGCTTGGCGCGCTCCCTTCCCCGGTTCCAGTTGACAACTCAGACAATTGAGGAACAGAGAGACAGCCGCGATAGCCCTCACCGCTGAACCAATCGAAATATTCTTCCAACCTTTTCTTATTAATGGCCCACTGACCAGACTTATCGGTTTGCTGCCCAAGCTAAAAGTGTGGCAGCACAGGCTCCAGCAGACACTCCAGCAACGTCCACGGGGTCCAAAAACACCAAGATGCATATCTCGGAACAAAAAATCACAAGGCTTGATCTCGAATAGATTTTACCACTACCACAAGCCTCCCGCGCCCCCCCAAGCTGGGCCCTGTGCCGCTACCCCGCTCAACAGCTCAAGTTTAGGGGTGCCACTTGGTGCTTGTTGGAGTGTTTGACAACCTGCGCCCTGCAGATATTTCGACCACTCTAAATCCTCATTGGCTGCTCCCTTGGGTCAAGCTCCCTCTGTCTGCATGCAGAGTTGATCCCTTACCAAGCCAATCCCATTTTTGAAACCTTGCTGTGCCAGATGGTCCGCCACCAGAAGGCCGTGAGGAGCCATGAGGGAGGGGCGGAGTTGGTCCAAAGAGCCAATCGATTTTCTCATGGCAAACTGGCATCCAAGTTTGGCATCAAAAGACACCACTTTCTGCTGGATTACCTTATGCATTCCGCGCCGCTAGACACACAGACATGCCCAAGAAGGCTCTGGACCGCTTCAACATGGCCGCCATGTCTCGTCGGTAAACCATCTATAACCCGGCCCCTGGGACTTTGACACGCGATCCACAGGCTTTGCTCTTCAACTCTCACAAGTTGACGACACCACTGTGCCATGCAAATTCGTGACCATGGGCGCATATGTCTCTACCGGATCCTGCATTGCCCATTATGGCATCCAGCCCAACTGCACCTTCAATGTCACAGGCACGAACGATGCTTTCCACCACCTGGGAGGGAGCATGAAAGGCGAGATTGAGGGTGACCCTGACATTGCCGGAATTGGCGTAAGGCCTCTCTAACCCATTCAAGAAATCATGAAGCTCAACTGACATTGTCACAGGTACTTGGGGCCTTCCTCGCTGTGACAACGATATCCGTAGGCCTAGCCTCAGCGAGTACGTTCTGGTGGTTTTCCAAGAATGTTCTCCATTGGAAGTCACGAACAGCCAGAGAGTCAGTCAATCCACCTTGGCTCACACTCGCCAATAGGGTTATTGAGGAACCAGAAGCTGACAGTTTCGCAGAGAGAAATCACTCCGTAAACGCAAAGCCAGTATATCGCAAATCCTCGAAGCGCTCGTCATTAGCTGTAGCGATCAACAGATCTTTACTGGCGGAGCATATGCCATCACCCTCCGATATGCCAAGGCCTGCACCGTCTCAGCATACCACTACAATGTCGTCTCCAACATCCTCCTCGTCACCTGCGCCACCCATCTGATGGCTGTCACCGTGTCCAGCAACTACTGGGAACATCGCTTTGTTGGAGGACTCCGACTCATCGTCACCTCGCTCGTCTATGTCATCACTGGAATTCTTTTGTCCAACCGCGGTGAGCCCGACCTGGGCTTCCCAACCCAAGTTCCAGCAAACAATGAGACCCACAGCTTCATGCTCCTACCGGCCGCTTGCTTCCAGACAGATGGTATCAGGCTCGGCACAGAGCTTGACAAGTCCTTCAAGGTTAGCTCCGCGAACGAATTCTTCAACGGCCAGGTTCATGGATGGACGCAGTTCATCATCCTGTTCTTGTTCTACTTCCTGGCTGCCATGGTGAGCGTGGGCAGACTTGTACGTCGTGGGCAGGATCACAATGGCAGGAGAACAAGGTTTATTGCCTGGTTCAAGCTCAACCTCAGGCCCCTTTTCCGATGGAAGAGGTTCTTCTACATTCTCTTCGGCTTGTATCTGATTGCAGGTATTGCCGTTTCTTCCTGGACGGTTGTGACATCGGCTCTCTATGTGTTTGCTCTTCGCCGTTGGGTTCACGGCTCTGGCTGGTACGTTCATTACTCCTCCTTCGATCACTTTCTAGCTAACGCAAGTTCAGGATGGAACCCATCGATGAGGAGATTCCAGACCGGATTGCTGAGAACGATCCTTCCACCTTTGGCCAGCTTGTTCCTGTCCTTCTGATATCCTTGACTCTGTTCACCTTCATGCAAGTCATTAGCGGTAAGTTTGGTAACACCACTTCCGGCGCGGCCCTGGCTGACTGGTATCCTCAGATCGCGTCACGCTTCGGCGTCAACTGTCCAACCGGCGCAAGAAGAATATTGAAAAGCACAACACACCCACTGTGGTTCAGTACGATGGTGGTGGGTCTGACTACCCCGAAAACGGGCATGGATTCAAGCTTGAGAAGTCCGTCGTGGTAGGAGTGGCAATCAGTGAACCAGACTTGGACCCCCCAAAACCAATCGATATCGAAGCTGCCGGCGGAAGACGCAGCCAAAGCCGCAGCAGGGATGGAAGCAGCACCGGCACCACCACTCAGTCTATTCACCGACCTTCTCAACCGCAAGTCCACTCCCCTTCCCACACCCGCACCCACTCTCGCCAAAACAGATCATTCTCCAGTCCTCGTCCTCCTCAAGGCTTTGGAACACCTGAGCCTGGCCATCAGTCTCCCATGCCCGGGTTTCAAAGTCCCGCCTTTCAGCAGTCGCAGAGTCCTACACCTCCTATAAGCCAAGGTCCACTGTCGCAGCCAACGTCGGGTTATGTAGATCAACCTGACTTTCAGCTGCCAGCATTCGACTTCGGACCGGGTGTTAACCCCAATGGTTCGGCGCAAAGCTTGCCATTGAAAGGGGAGGTCCACTCTCACCAGCGAGGCCCCTCGGACGTCTCAAGTCTTTCACAAGCAAGCTACACACCTTCTCACAGCTCCCACCAAGTGTCCCAGCTGTCTCAAGGATCAGTCGCACCGCCTGTGCCGAAGAAGTCTAGGTCGAGAGAGCTGAGAGAGCAACAAGCGCAGCAGCAGGATCGACGGCCTGGCCCACAGGGGGAGTTTGGCCTCGGGGGAAGGGACGCTTCTCGCACGTTTTGAGACCTTTTTGTCGTGATGTAATGATGTGATTTATTGTTATGATACCACTTTCGTTTGGGAATACACAGCTTCGGTTAGTTTGTAGTAGTACACAATGATCTTTGGGCATGATTTCCTTGTCAGGCATTTGGCCCGGGCGGTATAAATGAACGGACAGATGGCCATGTTTATGATTGAGCTCTAGTATCATTTAATGAAGAAACATTCGTTGCCCTGTCGGACTCCGGTTAGGTATTGTCGGATATGGCCAAACAAAACCGAGGTTATTCCCCACTATTCAGAGATTGGGACTCCTTCCTCATTGTCACTGCCCATCACCCCTTCATGCCCACCAACACGTTCTTCATCCTGCCCAATGGAAAACGGCAAGCGTATCCGCCCAGTCCTCAGATCCTTCTTGGCTTCCCAAACAGCCAACATGGCCAGCAGCAACGAGCATACCCTGTTATTCGACTTGTCAGCCATTCCTCTTCAACCAAGAGCCAAATCCTTACATTGTTATCAGCCCCGTAGTAACCGCACTCTGCGTAACGATGCAGCTGTTGATCTCAGGGGGATAATGAGAACTGAACCGTGTGACCCCTGTCCCGTTACAAAATGGCCATGTTTGTCGCACTGTCGAAATGGAGGTGAGAATCCCTAATCCGATGGCGAGAATCATGACGCTCATCCAGGTAGAGCACAGCTGAGTGAAGACATCCGGCCTCTTTCCATTGGATAGGGTGAGAAGGGATGAGGAAGTGGTGTAGATCCATTCTAGGGCAATCAGGACGCACTGGTATCATGCCGGGTTAGGTACTGAAGTGAGAGGGGTGGGTAGTGGGACGCGTACAGATACGACATAGATGACTTCACCCAAAGGAACTGACGCCGCTTCCTGACCGGGGTCGCTGCATGACCAGTAGGCGCAGAAGTGGTGGCTGTGCATCCAGATGAGGTAGCAAACACTGAAGCATGATATGCTGAGGCTTGAGAACTGGGTGAGACGTAGGAGGTAGCAGGCTGCTGCGGTGAGTGCCTCGGCGGACGGTAGGTGTAGTGTCGTGGTTGCAGTAGGCATCTTCGCGGAAAGATTCAAATGGGGATTTTCTTTGGAAGAGAAAGAGACGTGGTGCAAAATTGCCGGTAAATTTCCAGGTTGCTGGCTTTTGAAGCTGTTGAGGGATGGGGGCTGCTTCGGATTCCGAATCAGCCGCAAGTCACACTAATGAGGGCGCCCAAGTTGATTTTCCGTGACAAACCTCTCATGTTGGGCGGTTGGCTCCGCCCATTGAGGATCACGTATGTAGATTCATGCTTTTCGCAAAGGCTCGGGAATACAAGGTGTAAAAGTCTTGGGATTTGTGGAGGGAACTTATCACAGCACCTACATAGGGATCTATACTCAGGCCAGTCTTTGTTTTCTCGCCATGTGTCGCCTCCGCTGGACCACCACATTGGTGCGCTTCGCTGGACTGTCCGTCTTCAACGAAGCTACCGCCTCGTCCCCAAGATCCCGAGTAGCCCGCTGGGAGTCAAATACATGGGACGGGGCCACAACCCGAACTTTTTCGGAGCCAAGAACCTTGACAGCCTCCACCAAAAAATTTGTTGTTGCGATTTTGTCTCGATCCATGACATGTTCCATAACGTCTGAGTCGACGACGATGTAAGCTGTGGGAAACCCCTGGAGAACTCGCTTCAGGAGAAGCAGCCACTCTTGCTGAGTAGATGCCTCTTTCAGCTGCGCGATAGTGATGGGATACTGTGTGCTCATGGCAGAGCTGTTGATCTCAAGAGCCTGGTAAAGTAACATCCGGATTACGTCGATGGAAGTGATGGTGGATTGTTGTAGATCTGGGTATCGAAGCACCCACAACACAGGGAACCCGCCCCGGCGGAGGGATTCGACTGATTGGAAGAGGATATCCTTGGCTTCAGCTCGGGTGCTCTTCTGGATCACCATGAAGTTCGAGCTGTTCTTACTCTGGATGGTTTGTAGAATATTGTCACTTCGTCCGGGTGGATGTGAGCCTTGTCTTTGGAGCCAGAAAGAGCGGGAATAGGCAAGACATTGCCCGCTGTTGGGTAGGCGCTCCATAAAAGACAAACTCAAAATTTGGCCCAGTTGGATATGGGAGATCATATGTTTTTCACCATCTCTTCGTGATTTAAGACTGACTGCCTTCGTGTAAGAACCTCTCCGAACGACGTGGAATCAGAAGAGAAAGGCTTACGACAAAAAGAAACTTGAATGCCCCCCGTACCAGAGAGACATACTCGAGATTGTGCTGCAAAAGGACGTCTGGCACAGTGCTGTAGTAAGCCACCCTGCCGGAAAGCCGCTCAAGCCAAACGTAGGCCTTGCTGTTTTTGCGAGACTCAGACTGACTGCGGGCGTGAGAGAGTCGAGACAAAGTCTTGCATTGAAATGAATGGGCCTTTAATACCGACTGCTGTTCTTGGGCTGTCAGTTCATCAGTAAGGTAAGATTTGGCAGTTCCGGTCGAAGTGCTAGGCAAGAGTTGCAAATCAAGCAGAGCCAGATTGGGTCTTCGACGGTCGAAGATATCCCAAAACGACACCTCAGGGAGTTCAGGAAAAGTCCGGGATACTGTACGAAATCACGACCGACCTACCTACTCAGGGAACAATGGAATGGATTCATTAGATTGCTAACATGATTCTGACCAGGCTGTTTCTACCCAACAGGAACATGAACCGTATAATGAAGAGCGCCGTTCACCCTTTAGCACTCAACAGAGCGACAAAGACAGTTACTATACCCCCCTTGATACCCCGAGTCGCAAAAGCTCTAAACTTCAGTCACCAGATGATCGAGGATATTGTGTTCTTTACCGCGTTGTGTGTTCTGATCGACACGATCGCTGTCATCGCCGAATCTACGTGGATGAACCCCGCCGGGTCTTGGCGAGCAGTACATATCATCTGCAAGGCGACGAGGTCATCTCTGACCTGGACGATTTTCTGAGAGATCTTCCAGAGACAGCCTTCGTGGTATACCGCGATTACTTTGCCAAAAGGGTAGCAGATCCTCGCTCGTTGGAGATTTTTCAAAACCGAGGAGCAAACTGTTCCGTGAGATAATTTCCGTCGTGTCTCCAGAACTGCAATCTATACTCCAACAGAACTCCATGTTTGCACCGGACCTTGAGGGCTATAAAGTCACACAATTCGAATACATGATGAAATACTACGAATCGTCCCCCGCTCTTTCCCGGCCCCTTCAGAATATTCCAACAGATTTCTTTTCTATCACCGGACGGTATTACGCGCAAGTGTGGTCGGTGCGGCCGAAGGAAGCTAAATCAAGACACTCGTATATGACATGGATACTCATCCCGACGCCATGTACAAGAAATGCGACGAGTTGTTTTCTCGCGAATGGCCACTCAGGAAACCTTGCCGTGGCTTTTCCGCCCAAACGACATTGTCATCACATCGGAGAGACCTGTGCCCAATGCTTATGTCTTGAGACGCGTTCCAATTGAGGGCTCAACTATCCGCTTGGAATGTTGGAGCTGGGGTTATGATGGCCAGAGTCTTCTCCGCAGAGACAAGCTCTTGACATTGGATATGGCATCCTATGATGAGATCAGAATCGAGAAGCTGGCAGTGTACCCGAGTCGCTTTGCATCCCAAACAACCCTGGATCAGATTTCAGCTATCGGAAAGAAGTTTTAGGATCTCCGACAGCCGGTACTCGTTTCGTATGAAGGGCCCAACTTTCAAGAAAGAACGAGTCTTTGTAAGATAACTCTCGTTGTGGTACTCGTGTACTATTGACTAACAAACACAGCCTCATGATTCGAGGTTCATGGTTGACTATCAAGTCTATTCGAAATTTCATGTGAATGCTGACGCCTTCCCGTTTTCAGATAAAGACATCGCCAACTTCGACAAGTGGCCTAAAACACAGTCCCACACAGAATCGCTATTGGATGAGAACATGATTTCTCTTCCCCAGAATATACATGGCTTTTACCTCAAGGAGAAGAAATGGAGTAAGCCTTAAACACACTGCGCAGGTACCTGGTATTCATGCGATGACCTTAGCTTATTATCCCCGTATTTAGTTCACCTATTTGTCGACAAAACCCAGCCGGTCAGCTGGAATAAGGCTGCTTTTGAGCAGCTCGTTCTTCCCAAACGAACGAAGAACATCATCAAGGCCTTGGTCATGGTCAGGAGACAGTCTTTCAAAGACTCAGGCTCAGGTGTTCAAATCGGGCTAAAAGGAGGACACGACGACATCATTGCAGGGAAAGGCAGTGGGCTTATCATGCTTCTACATGGTGGTCCTGGCACTGGAAAGACTCTAACAGCCGATGAGATCCTAAGGAACAAACCTCATGACATGAATGGTAACGCTAACCCCGGTCAATAGAGAGGTATTTATCGAATGATTTACCAACATTAAATTGCGTATTCTGACGTCGACTACCTCAAGGGTTGCCGAGTTGGCAGAGATGCCCCTTTACAGCGTTACTTGCGGCGACATTGGAACAAACCCAGATGCCGTCGAGAAGTACCTCAACTCCGTTTTACACCTTGGGAAGATATGGAACTGCGGTCAGTTGACTCCGCCTTTCTCTTCCTGGAGACTAGCAATCCACTCACACAGCACATACACAGTTCTCCTTCTCGACGAGGCCGATATCTTTTTAGAAGAGCGTACACTCCAGGATCTGCAGCGCAATAGTCTTGTATCGGGTGCGTCTAACAACTTGGAGTGGTATCCCGCAGTCCTAACACAACGCAGTCTTTCTCCGAACACTGGAATACTACGACGGAGTCCCCATTCTAACATCCAACCGCGTCGGCACCTTTGACGAGGCCTTCAAGTCCCGTATCCAGCTCGCCCTCCGCTACCTGCCTCTTGACGCCCCTAGTCGGCGCAAAATCTGGCTCAACTTTATCAACATGCTTGATGGCAACGACGAGAGAATCGATGTTGGCGACATGAAAGCCCACAAGGATCAACTGGCTGGGTATGAGCTAAACGGTCGTCAGATTCGCAACGCTCTCACCACCGCTCGTCAACTCGCAATCTTCGAACAGGAGATACTGGATTGGGACAGGGTCAAAAATACGATTGAGGTGTCGGCTGATTTCACGAGGTACATCAAGGAGGTTCATGGTCATACGGATGAGGAGTGGAGCCGGGATAACAATATTCGCTGAGAGCTTCTTTACCGACCAAAATGTTGGTCATGCTGTCATTTCTTCTCCAATTTCTGTGTCGAATTTCCACAACGCAAACGAATTCTGATCCAGGTATGCATACTCCAGCCCATGAATATGAAAAATCATTCAGCCAAGCACAAGAACCACACTGTTAAGACTGTTAATTATCCCCCCCCAAATCAATTCTACACAATTGTACAGGGAAAGAACCGTCCCATCCCTTAAAGTCTCACCCCTGAATCCTATCCTCCCAGTCCATCTCACCCCATCCAAGCCCAACGTTAAACCAACATCAACAAATACCCCTCTCAACCATTCCTTCCTCATTTCATACCCAGTCCGTTATCCACCACATAACAATCACGCGCTCATAACTTCTCTTTTCATCCCAAGACTAAAACTTTTCACCTAAAGATATTCCCACAACCACCTCCTGTCCCTCATCTGACCACCTCACCAAAACACCTCCTCAAAACTCCATCCCAACAATAACCGGCCACATCGTCCCCGGCTCACTCTCAGCGTGATTCCTTATCCACATGTTTTCGACCAACGACTTCTACGCACAAAACGTGAAGTTATTCACCATCACCCGCCCTTTTTCTTTGCACGCGTGCAAAAACTCCGCTAGCTTCCTACTATCTTCTTAATTCCCCGCCTGTGAGACACCCAGTTTCACATGCCGGGTGCTCAGCGCGGCGGAAGGGATCCGCCACCAAGCCTGGGTATCGAACCGGAAATAGGCTTTTCAAGAGTTGTTGTTCGCAGCCGTAAGAACAGGTGCGGGCGCGGGGGGGTTGCCGCCTTGAGGCGAAATAGCCTGCTGGAGCTGGGATGGTGGGTGTTGGTGCTGGGCGCCATTGTTGGGTTGGAAACCGTTGCTGGCTTGGGTCATGCCAACTCGAGAAGGGGTATGATTGCCCTGTGCAGGTTGGACGTTGGGGTTGAGGGCTGGATAAGAGGAGTCCGCTTTGGTTGCTGGGCTGTGACTCTGTAGCTGGGAATGCATTTGGTTTTGCACTTGACCGTGTCCCCGGGTCTGACTGTATCCCTGAGTCTGACTGTATCCCTGAGGTTGATGGTGACCGTAGCCTTGGGCTCGATTGTGGCCGTAGCCTTGAGGTTGAGTTTGACCGTAGCCTTGAGCTTTTACTGTTGCCGGAGCCCTGAGGTTGCGTATAGCCGTAGCCTGCTTACCGGAAAAAAGGGGGTCCAGGGAGCCGTTCGGCGTACGGCCTATATAAGATAAGGAAGGAAACTTTGGTTGGAAAAAGGCATTGGTTTATAGAGCCAGCCGCGCACGGCCAGGTCTGCGGTTTATTTTAACGAGCCGTTCATTCTACAACGAACAGCCCACAACCGGCTCGCAGGTGCCCAATCAGGGGGTAACTTCCAAATATCACCCGGCCGTCTTCTATAGATTATTTTACCAGCACGTATATCAATCAAACGGCCAACCATAGAGGCGTACAAGCAGGTCCAATCGACAGGAAATTAGCCATTTACAATATATCAGACCTTCAGTATGGCCAACGCTACCTATGGTGGCTCTCTTCGAGGGCCTTGATACCCTCTGTGTACCACCCCGTATGAGCCGCTCGTCAAAAAATGAGCCTTTGAAGTGGATCTTAGCCACTTAAATCCTTCGAGTGGCTTGAAGTTTCCATCCCGGAAAGTTTAGTCGGATGGTTTTAAACGGCTCCCTAGACCGGCCTTCCTCCGGGAAGTGAAGCTTGAGTTTGACCGCAGCCTTGAGCTTGACTCTGACCGTATCACTGAGGTTGACTATGGCCGTAGCCTCGAGTTTGATTGTGGCCGTAGCGTTGAGTTTGAGTATGGCTCTAGCCTTGAGCTTGAGGCTGTCCGTATACCCGAAGTTGAGTATGGCCGTAACCCTCCGGCTGAGACTGAGCGTGTCTCCAAAGCTGAGCTTGAACATAACTCTGAGGCTGAGCTTGACCATAAATCTGAGCGTGGCAAGAGCCTTGAACCTGACCGTATTCATAACGCTGGGTGTATCCCCGTGTCTGGCCATGTCCCTGCGCCGGCCCATATCCTTGAGCATGGGTATAGCCGTCAATGCTGGTTCGGACATATGTTCGGGCTGGTGTCATTATTGAAGGACGGGCCGGGCTGCTGATGCGCCTGGCTATCTGTAGACAGACGAGGTTCATTTGGAGCTTGTATCAGGCTGTTTCCTTGAGGCATCGCCTGCCTAACTGTCATTCTAGATTCGACAGGTTGCATCTGGCCGCGCTGGGTCTGTGCTCCGTTCTGAACAAATGCCTGCATCTGAGCATATGTTGCTGATCGCCTCGCTGGGCTCTGAACCTTGCCTTGTTGCCGACGGGTGGAGGCTGTGTTGTTGACATCCTGAAGAGTGGGCAATGCGGCGCCTAACTCGGTGAGGGTCTGTAGTCCAACTGAAGAGCCACGAGATGACATCCGAGGCATAGCCTGGGCCTGAGGTGGTGCAACTGCTGACGGTTGTGAGCCCGATCCAATGGGGTTATTGACCGACGCAGAAGAGGCGGGAGATGACATCAGAGTCGCTGCTCGCATCTGAGATTCTGCAACTGTGGACGATTGCGACATAGTAGCTCCAGAAGACTGGGCGCTTGGTCCGGAAATAGGAAATGGAAGGTCGTACTGCCAAGCTTTAAATTTCTTCATGGCCTGTGAATGCGTCTTGTGCATCTGAGTTGAGATCTTGCCGATTTCATGGACATTGTGTGGAGCGTTCAATGGTCCACGCTGCAAAAGAAGTGTCAACATGGTCCCTTGGACCCGGGCTTCACGCAAAGCGAGATCCATGAGGGATTGGATTGAACCCCAGGTAAACGCCCTCTCTTCGTTATCTAGATGCTGCTGGTTATCGAAGTTGGACACAACATGTTCGACGAGCTGTTGAGAGTATAACTCAACCGACTCCCTGTTGAAGTCCATCCCAGGCATGAGGGGCTGTCCAAACGCTGTATGTCGGCTAAGAGCTTCGTCGAGGACCAGCTTAGCGGCAACCTGGCCTCCGGCAACCTCCATTCCTCTGAAAGATGAATGAGGACCATCCTGTCGACTTCGCTTTGCGGGCTCGTTTTCAGGTAACGGACTCGGAGCTTTTCCGTTGGCGGATCGGGGTCTGGCATCGGCGTTGGCTCGGTTGGTCGATCCTCCAATGCGGGGTTTCGGAGCCTGTCCCTCGGCGCCGGCGTCGGTTTCCGCCTCATTACTTCGGTGTGGTAACCTTTGATGGCCCTGTTGAGAATCCAGGTTGCCCTGCCTCGCCGCATTCTGTTGCTGTCGCTCCTTCGGCGTTTGAAGAGCCACCCTATGGGGCCTCATTGATACCAACGTCATCTGCCGTCTCGTGGTTTGATGAGCTTTGATGAACCACTTGAGAATAATAGGTGGCCTGTCTCTCCCTTTGACGTTGCTGTTCCTCCTGTTGCGCTTGGAGGGCTACTTTCCTGCTCTCCTCGACGTTTCTTTGTCGGTCTTCGTCAGCTCGTATAGCTTCTTGCCGTCTTCTCTCAGTGTCCGCTGCCTCCTCCTCAGCGGCTTTCTGGTGTTTAGCAGCCGTCTCACGTTCTTTCGCGATGATGGCAGCTTAATTTCGCTTCCTTTGTGCCTCGGCAGCCAACTGCTGTTGTCTCATAGCCTCCTCTCGCTTCCTCTGGGCCCCAACAGCCTCATCCCGCTGCCTTTGGGCCTCAAGCGCCTCCTGTTGTTGCCTTTGGGCCTCAGCAGCCGCCTGATTCTGTCTCATAGCCTCCTCAGTCTCCCCTCGCTCTCTCTCGGCATCAAACATCTCCATAAATTTTCTCTCCGCTTCTGCAACCTCCTCCCTCCAAATAAGTTCCCTTGCGGCCTGGATCCTCTTATTCTCCAAAGCTTGGCGCTCCCGCTCCAACTCATCCCCCCTCTGACGCCTGTTGGGCTCATCCTCCTCATCACAAATGTTGTTGAGCTCCAGCGTTGACTTGATCCGATGACTCCAAAGCTCCTTCTGGTAGTCCAAGGCCCAACCTTGCGACCGGGTCTGCCACTCGTAGCATTTGAGCTTTTCCGCAATCTTGTCCATGAGAGAGGCCTCCGTCGCAATGGCCTGAGACAGCACATGGTGTGATTTGGGGAGCTCTCTCGCCTTCATTTGCCGCGTTTCCCAAGTGGTCGCGCAGCGCTCGTAAGCGAGCTTTCGCTCTTGCAAGACGGCCACGTCCACCCCTCCCAAGTCGTACAATGATTTCCAGCTGCTATGGGCAGACCGGAGCTGCTTGTAGTCTTCCAGTTCGTCTTGTCGGTTTTTCTAGAACCGATCTAGTGTCGCTTGGTAGGCTTCTGAACGTCGTGGCATGGTCGGCAGTGGAAGCTGCCGTAGACCGTCGATCCACCAGCCCTCCTTGTTCTTCTCAATGAGATGGGCGCCGAGCTGTACCATGTCGCTATCCGACAAACAGTGAAGGCTAGGGCATTCTGGGAGGCTGGCCTGGTGGCTGCTTGCGATGGTGCGGAGGAGAGAGAGAAGCAGACGCAAAAGTTTGCAGTGGGAAAATTATATAGCTTGGGAGAGAGAAGGGCAGCGTCGTCCGAGTGAACCTGAAAATTCTGGCAACGAGTGAATGCTCCAAGGGCTCTTGACCTTGATCTTGCCCAGTTAAATTGAGATGCTATTACTCTTATCTGGATTTCAATTGATTCCTTATCTCAATTCAATCCAATCTAGGTATTCTGTTGGTTGTTCCGGCACTCCTACACTTGGACGCAATACGCATACCCCAACCACACATTTCCGCAGTCACTACCCACTGTGTCGATTCCCAATGTTAGCTTCATAACCCCTTCGTCGCTTTACAAAAGATCTGTCCAAAATGCATCTCGCAGATACATTTGGCAGCCGTTGTCCTAGCAACGGCTAACCCTGCTAATGGAAGTAGACACAGAAAATAAGGGAGAGTCTAAATCGTTCCTGATTGGAGTCGGGTAGTCAGAGTATGTGCTGATATCTCCCACGGCAGCTACACAGTAGGCAATATCCAGAAGCAGATTAGTGCATTTGGTATTGAGCTTCGGATTAAGGTAGTAAAAGTCCTCCAGGGTTATGCCATTCGCCAGAGCCACCTTGCCACACTCGTCACCTGGGGAGATGCTGTGCCATTTCCCACACGGCTTAGACCCAGGTATGGCATTGGTAGGGACAGGAACAGGTGTCGTGTGTGAAGCGCCTGGGTCTAGGGTGGCTGTGGTGTTTGTCTCAAAGCTTCCGCCGGGGTCGCTGCCGTGAACAGATCAGCTCAGATCAGAAACAGATCATGAAAGAAAGAACGGAACTCCCCTTACCTGAAACAGATTTCATAGCCTACAAACCTTGCAGTATCCTTGCAAAATGGACTGAACATAGGATTCCATGCCAGACACTAGGTAATGGTGATGCCTGGCCGGTTGATTAGAAAACTCTCACAAGAGTCTTCACCTCTCCAGGCATATGTCTGGCACTTTGGGGGGACACAAATTGTGACATTGGCAGAAGACAATGCCCTGAAGTTCTGACAGTAAAGATCGATACCGTTCGCAACGATAGGGTCGTACATCGATACGCTCAACCTCTTCGCAACTGAATGACAGACAAAGTCCGTGGACTTGAGCGAGTACTTTGATGCACAGGTGGGTTTGGGGCTGGAGGGCGTGGTAGTTGTCGAGCCTGTGCCAACATTTGTTGCTGCTGAAGGGACGCTGAAGCTGTACTTGCCCTAGGCGCTGCAGCTCGATGTCAACGACTGGAACTGGTTCGCCAGTCCTTCGTCATAACCCAAGGCGTTGTTCAACTGGAGTGCCTGCCCGTATCAACTCTACCACATCACCAGGCGCATTGCACCCGGCGACAATCTTTTCCCGGGCATTATTGAGTGGGTCAGACAGCTCGATACACAAAGGGCCTTGACGGCCTCCGTGTCTAGAATACTGTTGCTGTTGAAATGCTCAACCTTTGAGGATGGCAATCACAGGATCTGGGAAGGACTGGGGTGCCTCAACGCCCGTCTGGCAAGAAACAGCGGGCAGGTCACGATGGTGTTCAAACCTGCTTACACCTTTGCGTCAGGCCTGGGTATTCGATGTTCATATTAAGTTCCGTTCAACTGCTGAGCCCATGCTACCATATGTAAGAGCATGGAACCAGGAGGATGAGAGTGGCCATGGCGTCTAGTCGTTTGCACCAGCTTGAAGTTTGACATTGACTCAAGCGGGCAAGAGGCTGCCAAATGTATTGTCATTTGAGGGGCCAATGATTCTCAATGGATATTCTAAGAAGTAGGTCAGCATATCAAGCGTCACGTCCCTTGCATACAGTGAATCTGCGCGCGTTTCCTGACCGAGTGTGTCACAGCAGCAAGGTCAAGCGTGGCACACTTTTTTGCAGAAGATCAGGGGAAGGATGGACGCGCACCGGTAGATTAGACATTGGTTGACAAAGTTGTCAGCCCTGTCTCACGCTGACCACCACGCTCGGACCACAATCATGGCTAAAGGTGCAGCGGGTTGAAATGAAGGACATTACAGTGTCATGTTCGAATTCAAGCGAGGCTTGCTGTATGTGAATCAGGTCTGTCCATCCATACGAGACATTCTAGCCGATAACCGGGCTGCTTGTGGCCAGATGGGACGACTACCTAACAAGTACAAGCACTGCATGGACGTCTCCGGGGTTGACATGGTGCGATTAGGAAAACGACAGGACAGACATGACACATTTGTTGTCAGGATTCCTCTCGAATACTTCGTCATAGGGGCCAAACACTGGGCCATCCTCATCGTCATCACTGCGTGCTGCATCTTATCTTACGGGACCACCTTCTACTCAATCCTCTTCCAGTCCGGCAATGACTCAAGTCTGCTGATTTGGAGGTCAGCCACCAAATACGTTGGATGTTGGCACAAACAAAACTTCGAGCTTAGGACGGCGGCAAACATGACTACACCTGCGGGCCTGGTCGCTGTTGGGAGAAATCGCAGCGGACCCTGCTAAGCGTCGAATGTTTGCAAACAATGTCATTCACTTCATGAAATACTACGGTGAGTCGATCCATTACCATCATTAATATCCCACGATGCTCACGGTCTGGCTGGATACGATGGCTTAGTCGTAGATTGGGAATATCCCGGTGCCCCCGGCGTCCTTGGGTTGTCGATTCATGAAAAGGTAAGTAGAATGGCGCACCATAATGGATAATAAACGGGCCTATTGTACCTAAGTAGGTACCCTTGCTTTGTTGGTTGTATTTGTGAAAGTCTTGTGGGCAGATACCTATGTGAGAAGGTGTAGGCGGCACACGACTCTGCGCACCATTGGTAAAGCCACACCAACTACAAGTTCAATCCCGATCTCTCCTCCACAAGGGGTAAATGCCCATCCTCACTCCCCCGAAGGCCCAAGCAACCTGGTCCCTGTCCTCTCTGCTCTTCCCAGATCAGGCGTCCCATCCGCCCTCCACTCAACCCTCTTCGCAGCCGTATACCGATTCCCATCACAATTCCCCGTCCTCACCGTCGTAGCATGGTAAACATTCCAGGTTTCCCTCCCATCCGGACTCGTAAAAAACCTGTCACCTGATCATGAGCACCCATTCCATCCCCAACCCAACCCGAATAACTCGCAAAAGGGCAAGGTAAGACACTCACGCATTATGCCCAGTTCCCCAATTCCCCTCACTTGAACTAAAAACTGGCTCCCTCCCCTTCTCCCAATTCCCCTTCTCCGTCGGGTCCCCCGTCCCCTTATACCTCAACAACCCCAGTTGGTAACTATCCGTCCAGCAATAGCTCCCACTGTAACCCACCCACACCCTCGTCCCGTTATACAACGCCGTAGCCCCCTCATTCACCGGACTACCCACCCTCTCCCACGCCAGCTCCGGCTCGGACAAGAGCTTCCACCCTGCCGGAATCTTAGTAGGCGACGTCATAGCCGCGATACATAAACTCTGCCATCGCGGGCGGGGTAGACACGACCAGATGAAATAATTTTTCCCTCCAATCGTCAACACCGTCCCGTCGATCCCCCAGTCAGGAGTGACCTGTCCAGCATAGGAATACTGACCATCCCACGGATGTGCACCCCCTCTCACAACATGAGACCGCTGCCCGTCGAGATTCTGCCGATTGCCAGCCGTGTAGTAGATATACCACACCCCATCAACCCTGTGCAGCTCCGGCGCCCAGACGTTGCAGCACCGTGCCGCGTTGGTGTCGGTCCAGACGACTTTTGTCTCTCCCGTCTTGAGGCCTTCGAGAGTTTTGGCGCGAGTGAGGCGGAGGTCAGTCCACGTTGTCGTCATGAGGTAGTAGAAGCCGTCATGGTGGACGATATGGGGGTCGGAACCGTCGCGGGCACGGAGCGGGTTGGTGAAAATTGCTGCGGAGGTTATCTGCAACAGGCTCAAGGCTGTGAGGAGAAGGCGGAGGAGGTGCATGGTTGCGGATGGGAGGTTGATGCCTTGAGTCCGACATGATGTCTTCGAGGCGGGTGGTATAAGGCTTCATTGCCATGGCCGAGCCAGCAATAGCCAGGTCACGGTAAATACACCGGACGGAGAAATTACGTCCGGATACCACACGTCAAAAAGCAGACGTTGAATGCTCTTCACATTTCCAACCACCAAGTTATGCCCTCCCATTGGCGCGGCTGTAACCTCCAAGTAGTATTGTATCCGGATGCTAGTATTGTGGACCGGCCGGCCTGTTGGAAACGCAATCTGCACCCCCTCGTTCCCCAAAAACACCAATCGTAAGCTATGATGTCTCCAAGAATTCTCCGAATTATTCCAGCTAAGATGCATACATGTGATTAGACCCACCTCGAACCTCCTCAAGACCCCCTGACGTAACTGAAATGCCTCTCTCTCAACACTCTCTGCTTAAAGCTCTGTGGAGAGTGCTCGGTATTACCACCCTCCGAAGCACAATCTTTCACTCTGTCGATTGGCGTGACTCGCCCTCCATCACTGCCACCTTTAGCTTGTACATCTGTTCCATCCAAGGCTTCCTTGCCTAGTGGCCAATAGTCTTGTTCCCGCTCTGGCTCTCGATTCTGCAAGTCTTTGGCCAGACCATTTATATGTCCAGTTCGGCGCAATGCCCTGACAGGTTGTCGCTTGACCTGTTGCTGTAGTTCCTGTCCTTCCTGTTCTTGTAATTCCTTCATCTTCCAATATCCAACACGGTCTTCTTCAAATCGAGTTGGTGAGGCATTGATACAAGACATGATGACCTCTCGGCAGCGGCAAGGATCTTGGTTGCAGAGATCACAGCAGGTGACACTCATCCCGATGGCAGAGTCCAGGCTCTCTCTCGAAGTTGGGTCGCGTGTGGTGGTGCCAAAGCTCTCCGTCATGGGGGTTACCTTGCTATCAACAACTCGGCCTTTCTCATCGGTACTAGCAAATGTCTTCCATGTCTTGATCCGAGCGGTGCTGCTCAGAGACTTGGGTGACAAAAGACTCAAACCCGCCGAGCGCCGTTTCGAGCTTCTTCTAGCACTGGAATAAGAACTCCCATCTGTCTCCGTGCTGGTTGTAGTGCAATCAGACGACGATGACGAAAGTGGTGGCGCTGCTGACTGTGAGGTCGAGCCACAATGCTCTAGACACTGTCTCATGACACTTGCTCTGTGTACTTGGAACACAAGATCGAGCTGGCCTGATAAAAAACCGCAGTATTGGTCGTCGATGCCAGCTTGTGGTAACAAAAGACGAAGTGTGTCGCGGAGATTCTTCTTCAGAGTTTGTTCTTCGGCGTCAAAAGCATGATCGATTTCAAAAAGCTCGACTATGGGATGAAAGTCTACCAGTTGTCAGCATTTCACGCAGGCAAACAGTGGTGAGGAAACAAACCTGAGTCAGGAATCTCGGTGTCACACGGGAATAACAGATTCCATATTGACTCCCACGTCCACGAATCACTGCTCTGTTTTGGGTCATGCAGCGCCTTCTCAACGTCTGGAGAGATGCCATCTTCCTGGTCATAGAGATTTTTGGATGAGTCGACATCACATATCCGGTCTTTGGGAAGCATGAGGTGCTCCAGCAAAGCCATGTCACTGTCAAATTGCACCTTGCAGCGATGGCATTGGCGAGGCCTAAATGTTTGCTTGTGGTGAGAAGCGAGGTGGTGTCTGCCCAGATGTCAGCACATGACAGAATCTAGGTAAAGAGTAAGTTTGCTTGAGTGCTGACCTTAATTCGGTGAACGAGAAGGGAGCCTTGGCACAACTCTCGTGCTCCCGGATGTTGAACCTCACTGGATTCCGCTTCCTAAATGGGCAGGGGTATCTGTGTCCGGCTGTGTCTTCAGCTGGCTCTGAAAGGTCTTGGTGTTCAGAGAGTAGGTCCCGAACGCTGGGTCTCGCCGGTGATGAGGGAGAGTGAAGTTCTGTAGGTACCTCACCATCCATGCCCTTGGTCGGGTCACACGTCAAGTGCCTTGTACTCGCATCCAGCGAAGATGATATCTCGTCTAGACACTTGATGACAGCATCCCATATCCTCATGGCGCGTGACGCTCTTTCGGGGTCCATGTTATGCTTTTCCTCCAGGATAGTAGCAAGCACATCCACGTCGAAGGACTGGTATCCTGCGTGCTGCGGTCGAATAGTCCAACTTGAGGTGTCCTGGCCGGGAAGCCTCCTTGGGGCGGCCGTATATCTTTGGGGGTGTTCCACGGTGAGGGCCCAGAACCCATCGGCAGTAGTCCTGCCAGGCGCTAGTTTGTGGGCAAGGCTCTCCCTCCTCGCTGCCCGGATGAGGAGTACGTCTTCTTCTCGCCTGGCTTCTTGTGCCCTTTCGAGCACAGATAGTCTGGGGCTTTTTGTACAGATACGGCCGTCCATGGTGGACGATGGCCGGGGTGATGTGGTGATGTATGACCTTGATGTCATGGCCGTGGACGGCCGAGTCATTCTAGATCCGGGCCGGCTCAGTTCCCACGACCGGCTGAGACCTGCTCTCGAAAGTACTTGCGGCTCTTCTTGGGGCGTCTGGCGGCCATACGTGCGATTGAATGATGTCGATGGCGTACTCGAGGTGCTATGACGTGAAAGAGGGGAAGAATGAAGCGGTGGCGTACGACTGAGCAAAAGTGTGTTTCTTAAGCTGCCGGGGGTGCTCCGCTGCGAAGGCGTGGCCGATCTCGAGTCGGGCAGAGGCATCAAAGGGCTTCAGAGCAAGCAAACACAAGAAAGGAAAATGAGGTCGGTCGTCAATCAGGACGCGGGGGTTTCCGTGTTATGGGGCTGGATTGGTACATCAGCAGGGTAGGTACCGTGGTGATGATGGGCCGCGGCCAAGGAGGGCAGAAGAACAGGAATTGAATGGAAGACTTGGAAGAAGCGCAGGAGGAAACGGTGATTGCTCACAACAAAACCACGCGGAATTCCCGGGCGTGATGCGCCACCCGTCCCATAGGCCAGCCACGGGCGAAGTTAAAGTGAGGTGTCGAGGCCACATCCCGAGCAACTGGATCACTGAAAAGAAAAAAACAATGGCCCTGTGTGTATCACCAGTGGTCCGATTGGGTTTGGTGAACGGTTCGGCCAAGAACGGACTGGGGGGGTCGAGAATTAAAGCCCCTGCTCAAGTGGTCGATCGGCCCTCTGATTGGCTGCCATCTGATTTCACGCCTGACCCATCAGCGTCTGCGCTCTCCAATCCGTGCGATGATTCGATGTTTATTGTCCTCAGCCCAATCTCTGGGGTGTCGCCAATTTGAGAACGATTTGCTGATAGGAACATTCTTTCTTCATGAGACGTAATTATGAGACGGCCCAGGCTGGGATCGAGCCCTCCCCGCGGTGGCTTGGAAGAATCTTGAAGTTGATGTCATTTGTTGACATTGGTGTTTGGTGGGGGAAATATAATAGCGGTCAACCACGGCAGAAAAGAAATAGAAAAATAACAAAAAAGAAAATGATCTAGCTGCGACTCGTTTCGATCGAGTGACCTCCGGGTTATGAGCCCGGCGCGCTTCCGCTGCGCCACGCAGCTTGTTTCTGTGGGTGGTTGGTTTGTGGCTTGGATTGTGTCTTCACATTTGCAGGACATCTGGCAGTCGTTGAGACAGTTGTGGTGTGTAATTGTCGCTTTTATTTATTTACAGTGTCTTCTCTTTCAGTTGTTCATACATAGGTAGGTAAGATGCACAGCGATGGCATCCATCCAACTCATTCACCCCCTTTTCTCACTCTCCCGCCAACTCACAGCTTTCCTCTCTCACAGAGCACACATGCCACCCCGAAGATTGCCAATTGTGTCAAGCTTGGGCTTGATGTTACCAAGGCTGTTGTACTCCGTCGAGCTCATCCCCCGCCTCGTGTTGGCCGCACCCCGAAAGCCGCCGCGGCTGAAGCCCATGCCCAACAGCGTGCCGACGACAGTGGTAAATGCGTTGTCCGGGTCCTTGACGACGCTGTACACAGCCACGCCGACTTCGCCGGCAACGCCAATGAGCGTCAGCAGCCCACGCACGCTCGTCGCAATGAGACCGCCTCCGGTAGGTCCGATGAAGGGAATGAAGAATAGGAAACCCATGATCATGTTCAGGATGAATTCTTCCCGCCTCCTCTTCTCGATCTCCTTGGCCTCTTCGACAATCTTGTCCATTTGCGCAACAGCCTCTTCCACGGCAAAGGCCGGCAGCGAGCCAGCGTCGGTAAGGTCAGACATTTCAATGTCGTGCTCAAACTCGGCAAACACCTTCATGTCGCGGTAGCGGTTGAGCAGGTCCTGCGCCCCGGGAAGGGCCTCGGTAATGACGTCCTTGGGGTTGCTGAGCTTCACTTTGCCGCTGTCCATGGTGGGGAAGTCGTGGAAATGTATACTGTTCCAGTTGATGCAGTCCCTGACCTTGTCCGCGTCCGAGAACTGGCACCCGTTGGCGAGCGACATCTGGCGTTTGGCAAACCTGATCCAGTCCTTCTCAATGCCCCATGTGTCAAAGATATCCTTGAAGAAGCCGTCCCGGTCCGTCAGCGTGAAAGTGGTGTTGGGGTGTTTACTGTTGAAGCCCGGCTCAGGATCAAATTCGACCCTGGGGCATTTGTCCCTGGGTACCATTTGCTTTCCATTCTTACACCCAGCAAATCTTTCACACGCGGCTCCACACCACGCATTGGTACATGTGTCACAGCAGGTAACTGTCTTCATCTCGCCGCACTTGAAGTACTTATCGACCTTGTCGGTGGCCATGAAATTCTTGATCTGCCCGGGGATCTGCTCCTTGACATAGCCCTCCCAAACCGAGAACTTCTTGTCGTAGCCATCATTGATGAGCTTCTGGTACTTCTTGAGCGCGCCGTCGAAAATGGCAACCTGGACATCGACGATGTATTGTTCCAGGCAGTGCGACGGAATAGACCCCTTACGGTCCTCGAGCTGCTTGAGTGTGGTGTACTGCCCTGTGCAAGCAGGGAGCTCCTCGTAGATCAGTTTGTCCTCGGTGTCGTCCGTGATGCTGCCAGACCCATCCATCCACTCTTGAAGGTCTACGGCCCAATCTGTCGTGCCCAAAAAGTTGTGCGAGTGGTAGAACTCTGTTCTCTTCGCCTTCATCTCGTCGTCCATCCAGGCCACCCATTCTGTGTCGTCGTACACCATGATGTTGGAGCCTTCTTTTGTGTATCGCTTGTTGACCCTGCCGGAAGCAATGATCTCGTCGAGTTCGGCATTGGCAATGTAGCCGGAAAATGCTGTGCACCGGCCTTTGGCGGCCTGGGAATTGCGGTTATCGCCCGTGAACAGACAGTTCTCACTATCACAGCCGGCCTGGGCCATCTTGAAAGACCGCCCATAGCTCGTCACACCGACCAAGATCTTGTTGGAGGGGGCACCAGCCTTGGTGATCATGGAAAGTGCGTCCTTGGTCTCGGTCTCGTTGACATGGGACCGCAGGCAGCTGCCACTCGGGCAACCGGGAGATGTCCACTTGTTACCAGCATCCCACTGGCCGTGCAAGTCATATGTCATGAAGACGATGTAATCCAGGGCTTCCGCCATTTGCTTGATGGGGAAGGCACGGAGGTACCAGAAGGACGCCGGGGCTGCGAACGAGACCGTCTTGGACGTGCCTACCTCCTGCTTGATGCTGGCCAGGAGTCGGTAGTAGTTGAGACCATTGACCGGATCGTCAGCGGGGATGTCAGGGATGTCAGGGGCTCCTGGGTATTCCCAGTCGAGATCGATGCCATCTAGATTGTGCTCGTTTATAAAGGAGATGATGTTCCGCTTGAACACGTCGCGATTGCGTGGTTGGGCAGCTTCGCGTAGAATATCGAACGTGCCGGGCAAAGCAGAGAAATCCCATCCGCCAAGCGATACAATCTTCTTGACACCCTGGAGCTGCTTGAAGGCCTCAAACTGCTCCTTCACCAGGGGGTCCGTGATCTCAATGCGAAAGTCGCCACGCGTGACGTTGGGGAAGGCAAAGTGAATGTGGGTGTATGTGTCGGTGTCGATCTGGCTGGCATCCATGGTCAAGCACTCGCGGTTGAAGTTCCAGCCCTCAAAGTAGCCAAGCTTGAACCTGGCCGGTGGCGTGGAACCCTTGATGATGTCTCTGCCGCAGTTGCTGACGCACCCTGATTTTCCCGGCGCCGAAGTACCCGGAGCACCCGTCTCCGACTTGGAAATGACACAAAAGTCATCCGTCATGCCGCACTGTCCCCAGATATTACAGCACACGTTGAGGGGACACGGGTTTAACGTGCTGATGTTGGTCCCTGCAGGGGGCCGGACGGTGCCGTTCATGGTCGGTCCGCACATTGCATTCTGAAGCAAAGAATATCAGTATCTGGAGTGGAGTGAGTGAGGGCTTTCCGGTCTGTGGGCACTTACGGGAACAATAGCAGGCATGGGGGCAGCTCCGTCGCTGACACACATTTTGAAATCGGGGTATAGCAGCTTGCAGCCGTTCCAGCCCCACGTGTTCTTGTTGAAGTTCTCGAGCTCAGTCACGGTGAGCATGTTGCTCGCTGCGATTTTGGCACAGTTGTCGTCCCTTTTGGTTTGGTACACAGCGCAGTAGCCGTCGGCGCCCTTCTTGGGCCTCAAGTCGGGCAACTTCCCCTGACTACAACACACATGTTGACCCTCGGCAAGGGTGGAGCATAGGCTGCTCTGAGGATTGGCCTTGGTAAAGTCATCTCCAGAGATTCCCTACAAGGTCGTTTCATTAGTCTTCGTTTGGCGGTCACAGAGGAAGTGGACTTACACATTTGTTGGCCAGTGAACCACAGTCGTCGCCCAACACAACCTGGCGCGTCTTGCACGTGCCGTCCGAGTTTCCGGGAGGAAGGGTACTGGGCAAAGTGCCGCTGCTGCAACAGACTCGCTCGCCTAAAATGAGCGATTGGCAAAGATCTTTTCGGTTGTAGGATACTAGCTGGGTCTGTGAAATCCCGCATCGTCCTGCCACAGCAAAGCAGCCCTCGCCTGCTTGCACAGTGGTGAACCTGCAGTCGGCCCGCGGGCTGAGTCTCGCAGAGCGGCCGACGAGATCACGAGGACTCGACTGGTGAGAGGTGCTGGTTCCGTTCGAAATGGTGCCGTTCCTGGACAGTTCCTCTACGGGACTCGGAACGCGTAGAGTGACCGTCATCCAGTCCACACCCACGCCCGCCTGGGAGACACATTTGCCGTCGGCCCATGTCTTGACCACCTCCTGGACAAGTTCGAGATTCTTGGCGCTGCTGGCCACGATGCCGATGCTGTAGTCGGCACCTCGGTTCTTGGCTCCACACAGCTGCACCACAGTAGTTCCCGAGATGGACTTGTCTTGGGCATGCTTGAGGAAAGCATCAAGCACATCTGATGTCACACCGTGCTGGTGCACCTCGGCGCCGGCGAAAAGACCGATGAGTGACGTTTGCGAGTAGCCAAAGGCAATGGCATTGTTGGTGCATGACGGCTTTTGGGACGCGAGGTAGCTCTTCACCTGGCGACCAGCGGATAACAGGTGGTTCACCGAGAAGTCGCCAGCCTTGCCGGGGTGGTGAATGTGGACAGAGGTTACTTCCAAGACCTTGTTGGCGGTTGTGCACAAAGACGCCCGGGTCTCGTCCGGCATGAAGGCAGCCTTCACAGAGCCTGAAGTGTCGTAGTCTGCTGTGCATGCCCTGATGACGGTGGGCGTCTCCTTGTCCTCGGCCATTTGGACGACCATGTTTAGCAGCATGGTCTCGTTGCAAGATGTCAGTTGAGACACATCTGGAAACAGATACCACGGGTCCTCGCCCGCCTTACGGCAGGAAATAGGACATGATTGCAGTGCCTCGATAGGCTGCGCTTGTACTGCGGAGAGCCACTTGTCGAGCTCATCCTCCACTCCCCGGCCGTTGACAACGGGATGGGAGAGAGCAGAGGAGGATACGTCGTTTGCCAAGGCCCCGGCTGCCCCTGTGGCTACGAGGGCGCATAGAAACGCCTTCATGATGATAGGCGAGACTGGAAACCGATGGGGAGGAGTGTCCCGCACCACCTAGAAGACGATGATGATGCAAGACAGGGTGATGAGTGTAATTGGAGTAGAAGAAGAGGGCAATATGGAGATGTTGAGAGATGCCGTGGAGGACAGACAGACAGGTCCAAGGTCTTGAGCAGCAGATAATGAAATATGAAGACAAGTGCAACGGTGAGTGACAACCTGGAAGCTGACCGCAGTCAACAACTTCGAGCTAGTAACAGCCCCGAGTTTGTGGACACTCGAGAAGTGCCCCAGTCCCATGTCAAGGAGGGTTGCGAGAACTCACACGAGCGATGGGTCGACTGTATCATTCCGATAACATCGCCACATTTACCCCAGCTCTTTAGGCATCGCTTGTTAAGTTGTTTCCCACGTTCGGTATGTACGTAGGTTGGACTTAGGATGCCAGTTGCTCGTAGGTACACACATGTAACTGTCCCACGTTTCATTCCTGGTGGATTTCGGCAAGGCGCAACTCGTTAAATGTCATATCCACCGATCATTTCATGCACCTGTGAAAAAGAAGCTATCAGCGCCAAGACGCGGCTATGCAGCAAGGTACTGGGTAAGGTCGCATTATGGGGACCCTTCGACTGTGTTGGTCTTTGTGTTGGTGCGCTGACCGTTACATTTCCGTGCTGTAGGGACAGATTCACCGATGGATATGCCTTCACGTATGTTGGCAAACCGTCTGTTGGTTGTTTTAATGACATACTGCAACATGAGGCGGGAAAGCCCAGGTTCATGATAGAGGGTGGGGTGCCTGGCTTAGGCTTTTTCCAGATGTGAGAGAACAACACCTGGACAGGGATGGAATCCAAGATGTCAAAGTTCGATGAGTATGGTACCTAGGTACGGTGTACTTCCAGATATTCAACCCGGTCAAAATTCCTGGTCATTCAGAGCTCGGCAAGGCAAGCCAGCCGTGAAGGGACCTGCGTACCTGGGTATCTATTAGAACCTGTCTCTGTCTGTCCCTGATCAAAACCTCGCGCACTTGCCCCTGAGGTTTTTCTTCGCCTTCCGGCTCTTGAGACCGTGCCAAAGTATCTCCATTTCGTCTTCTTCTATTCCCCCTTTCAACAACACCACCACGACAAGCCTACATCATGAAGATCCCTTTTGCCCTTACTCTTGCCTTCTTCATCACATCTGTGTGGGCAGGGGGGTACCAAAACTGCCTCGAGAGGGTTTGGCTGTTTCAGGCCTATCTCATCGATCAACAGAATCCCGAGGCAGACCGCCAGATTGGTTATCAGTGCAGCAACTGGAACAACTACCAATCCAAATGTATAGGCAATTGGGTGCCTTGCCGGGGGAGACAGGGACGCCGCCAGTGCAACTTTGACGATTTCCAGCTCTTTTTGGGCAACCTGCGGCCGGGAATGGCCGGCGTGACACAGGCTGTTACCAGGGCGGACGGCTCTCTGGACGTTGAGAGGACTGCGACCAACTGTCTCTGGACTTGGAGAGACCATGGGCGGCCCCCTTACAACTTCAGGGGATACAAGGCGGTCAAGCATGGACGCAATAATCACAACGACTTCATCTACCGGATCGGCCAGATCACCAACGACAACTACAACAAGCCGGCCGTGAGAGCGGCCGCCGGTGCGCAAGCCTTCCGCAACGTTGACGACACGCTGTCCAAGATCACCACAGCTCGTGTTGCAGACCACGGCCGTCACTTGATCCCCGCTGCCCGCAACGCTCTCCCCGGTGTTACGATCTGGGAAAAGAACTTTGGCCCGAGTCCGTACTATCGCGACGGTTATGTACCACCCGCCGGCGTCGATCCAGACGAGAGGCAGTGGAAGACGGTCGACTGGGAGGGTACCATCAACAGCCCCAATAACCCTTCTGACACCCGCACTCGCGTCCGGAACTGGCTTAATACTTATTATCGGGGTGATGCTGCCAATAATAATGCCCGAGACCACTGGCAAGTACTCAGATCGTACAAGAATATCAGCGACCGGACAAACCGTTGCCGAAGGCGTTAGGTGCTTTACCACTTCTTCAAGTCCATTCACCTGGTCCTATCATCGTTTTTATGGCAGGAGTTGGATTTGATACGGGGAAAAGATTTGGATGGGAGTCTTCTTCAAGACAGTTTGCTTTCGCTTCTCATTAGCATATGCATGTAAATAAAAACATCAGGTACTGATGGCCTAGAAGGGGATTCTTCGTCTCAAACTGTTGCCGTTTCATCAGTCAGGTATAACTCGTCATTTTACGTCTCATCTACATGGAACTCTCCCCTCACTCCGTCCTGTCAAATTCCTCGCACTCTCCGTCCATCATGGCATCCAAATCAACGCTGTTCATCACCTTGCCCCCCATCTCTTCAGGATCGACAAAGTATACATTCTCAGGCCCGCAAGGAAAGTAAATGTCATTCGTAACCCCATAACCCGCCAGCACACCGTCCAGACAGACCAGATGAACCTCGGCGAGGTTGCCAAACTTCCTGAACAATTTCGACTCGGTGTAGGAGAAATACTCGTTAGAGAGCTCCCTCTCCAGTCGCAGCCGTCGGACCTGGTGAGCAACAGCACGAAAGTCGTGGAGATCCGTCGCCCCAACCGACATCACGTCGATGCCAAAGTTGAACCAGACATAGCGGTTCCGCTCGCCCTGCGGGTCGTCCTCGGGCACGGGGTCGAACCCGTCGGTAGCCGTGGTCATGATCTCGGAGAAGGCTTTTTGGTATCCACCGTTGGGGTACTTGCTCAGGTGCTCACGGGCTGCACTGCAAGCGTGCAGCTGGGCCGGCGCCGGGGTGTGGGAACGAAGGTGGCGCACTGGTGGCAGACGTTTCTTCATCCATGCGTCCGTCCACGAGTCTGGATCGGTGACCTTGACGGGGCTCGGGTCATGGCGGACCACACGCACCTCGACGATGCGGGGTTCGACGCTCAGCTCCCAGATACGAGCCCGGAGCTCGGATGGCAGACGGGGGAAGGGGTGGAACGTCGCAGCGGTGGCGGTGGTCATGGTTGTGGTCGTCCAGTGTGTGGCAGCCGACGACATGGATTCCGTCGGTAAGCGTTGGGCTAGACCTCGAGCTGACTTAAATTAAATGACGGGAACAGGGGCCGACGGAGGAAGCGAACGAAAGTTGGTTGGAACTACTAAGTGAGAAAATAGGCCTGTTCTGTTGGTGATATCAGACTGAAGTCGACCGAGGAAGAAATCTATGTGCCTAGAACATCAACCACCTACCTGTCGGGGAAGGGCTACCTAGCTTGACAGTCAATGCCAAGCATGTAGACCCATGCGCCAATACAACGCAACGTGATGATGGAGGCTCTTGAGGATGCATTGGGGGAGTGTGGTCGTACTTGGTAGGCAGATTTAGCATCAAGCAGTTGGACAGAAAAGTCCTCAGTGTCGATGCAAAAGTCACCTTCCTAAATTGTGTCTCATTGGATCCATCAGACGAAAATCCAAGCCCTGCCCTTTTATACAAGGGACTGGAACTTTTTAGACTTAAATTTTTTCTTAGCTTGTTGGTTGTCCTGATGTTACATACCGTAGGGTTGCGCCCCTGCCAAGACCGCCCCTCCATTCGGTTGGTACCGGCTCGCTACCTCGCTAGAGTGGCAAGGCTCGGGGCTGTCTTTTTTCTTCCATTGCCTACTAGATGCTATGGATTCCTGGCTGAGACTATCGTTCCATTTGACAGTAAGGTAAGTGGTATCAGCGAGCCTGTTGGTAGCTTCACTGGGATACTTCGTCGTGACAATGATGCTGGCCCCGACTCGGTACCTGTGTGTACCTTAGGTTACCTAGTTCGGGAGCCGAGGCTAAGCTGGAGACATCAACAACCTACCAGCCCTCCACTCAATAGAGAGGTCTGCGTTCACATTGAACGTTGCTCAAGTTGTTTTAGACCGGCTCAGCTCTCCCTCCTGCCGTCAGGTTCTGGTGTTCTTGCGCCTGCACCACTCCATCTATCTTTTCGGTCAACTTCACTTCGTCATCTTCGTCATCTTCGTCAACATCATGAAGGCCTCTTGGTTGTTGTCTTTCGTTGGGCTGTCGCTTCTCGCACGCAGAGTGAGATGCACCGACTACCCTCTACTTCCATACGACCCAGAAACCACCTCTGACTGTGCCGACTGGTTCAACAATGACGATGGCCGGTCTTGCAAGTGGGTGCGCGACTACTTCGAGGCTACTCCAGAGGAGTTCAGTCGTTGGAATCCATCTGTCGGCCTCAACTGCGAGCCGTGGTACGAATGGAATTCGTACTGCGTCATCACATGGACCAAGATCAACAGCACCCTGCCGGCTACGAGCAAAACCACAACTACGAGCAGCTCGACCACCACCGCGCCCATTCTAGGGCCCTCGCCGACAGCCTGGACTGACATGGGCTGCTATGTCGAGGACCCAGAGCTTCCCATTCTTGACGTCAACTTCAACCCCAACGGAGACTCGTCTCTGAGCGTTCCCAAGTGCTGGCAGACGTGCTATCGCCGTTTTTACGATTATGCCGGCGTTCAAAACGGTAACCAGTGCTGGTGCGGCTCCTATGTCGGCGGTGAGTGGGCTGCCAACCAAACCAGCTGCAACTCGCCCTGCACAGGCAATCCCAGTACCTTTTGCGGCGGCCCTGGATTCATTCGGATCTACAAGGCCGAGCAAAACGTGCCTCCTGTCACCACAACTTCAACCGCCGGCACTGTCAGTTCGACGAGCACATCTACTTCTGGCGCGAAGCGTAACTTAGATGCTATCAAAAACATGGGTATATTCTAGACGCGAGGTACTCAGTTGATTGATATGGCTTCACGACGGATAATGGCAAAATGTTGAGGTTAGGGGTGATTTGTCCAGGTACTCTGCTACCATGTACCTTAGGTTTAGATATCTTAGCTAGCTCTTTTCTTGGGTACATAGCAATTCGAAGACCAAGATTGATATTACCAGGCATCATTTGTGAATCTGCCGCTTTGTGTCATGTTCGCCAGGTTGCTGGAAGACACTCATGGACCGACACAGGGAAAAGTCTCCACCCCTTGCCATTGATGTCTCCGGTTTGCGCGCCTATTGTGTCCCTTCACCGTTCTTCCCAACAGCACCTAATGGGACACCGAACATGTCTTGGCACCCGACAGGCTCCAACATAGGAAGTCTTTTGGTTATCCTGAACCTCGGTCGTCCGAGCCCTCCATAGACATAGTGTGGCACAGCCGATGGAATATAGCACTATACCTTTCCCCCGCCAGTGGAATGTAACATTAGACGTGATGCATTAGGCGGTGCGCTGCGCCACCTGAACATGCGGGACTCGTTTGGTAATCTCGGCCCGCAACAAGCAAGTATACACTTCCAAGTTCCAGCCATGTGATTGTAACTTCGGCCGGTATGTTGCCTACCGCTACCCTGGCTATAATTTTCGCCTTGATGGTTGTTGGGTCAGCGCAACACTGAGGACTAAGCCTCGCCTTCACATACCTTACACTTTATTGATGAGACTCGCTTCGAAGATTGCTACCTTATAGGCCCAAACCTCCTTGGCACCCTCTTCACAGAATAGTTGGCACCGCAAATAAAGAACCCCATCTTAAACGGTGAACTATGCCTCAAGGTCGAGTGCAAACTCTATTGCGGAGCACAACAGTGGTATTATAGAAGGCCAGTGCTATAAATACAGAAGGTCACCCACTATTACTCTGTTATACAGCGCTGTAAAGCGCTGGAGCCTATGCAGACCCAGAAGTGAGGTACAAGCACCGTGTCACGAGTTTCCGCTGCACCGTGAGCACCAAAGTGCATTACTACTACAAGGCCTTGAGGCTTGTATATGGGACCTTAACCTTTCAATATAAATTAAGTAAGGTAATTAACCAAATGATCGAGGATAAAAGATTAATAGAAATTTGAAAAATATTAAATAAATTAATTTTAAAAAAATGTAAATAACAATTTAAATGACTATCAAAATAATATTTAAAGTTAATCAACAATTATATAATATAGATTCAACCCTTTTTTGAGTGCCAATTATTTTGTGGTGAGAGTGCTTAGGTCCCTACATCGTGTAAGCTCGACAGCAGAGACGCAAGTCTCATGAATTAATAGCTAGCCAAGAAGCTAGGGTCATCGAATACTTTGTGAACGGCCGAGAAAAGCTACGAGGGTGGTACTGTTACTTCACTACAAAGTATCGTACCTATCTACCAGTGTTCCGTCCTGATACAACGATGCTGGCCCCATGTGAACCTGCATGGGTCTTGTGTCCAACTGCCCAACCTAAATGCAATGCAGGTACGGCTTCGCAAGGATCACACATCCACTGCTACGGTAAACAGATGTTGGCTTTTGGCGAGGCTCGAGGCCCAGGCAACCACCACGAATATTTTCACGTTCTTGTTGAGTTAACGTTGCAGCGGTCAGGCTGAGCAGGCTTACGCTGTAGTTAGTCTCTCGCCAATACAACCATTCCTGTTCCGCCAGCCTATATAGCAAGTCAGATCCCTCTGCAATCTGGACCCGAAGAGTGGTTCACCAGGCTTACGCTTTAATCCGAGTCCCTCCGGCCGCCATCCATCCATTGCAGATCACCATGTTGTCCTCGACATCCACCCTTGTCCTCCTTGGCGGTCTTTTCTCGGCTGTGGCCGCTGGAAAACCTGCCTCTGTGGTAAAGGCTCGCGACGGCCTCACGCCGTCGCTTCCCTATGACCCAAACACGACAAGCCAGTGTTTTTGGTGGGCTGATATCACCTCAGCCACCACCTGCGACACCATTGTCAGGGACAACTACATCACCCTGGAAGAACTGAGGCGCTGGGTAAGAAATCTGCAGTGCTAGCTAGACCAAATCTGACCGGAGTCACTTACCATATCCTTTAGAACCCATCGCTTGCTAGCACATCAGGCTGTACCTTGCAGGTCGGAAGGTCGTACTGCGTTGAGGCCATTGATGACTCGGAGCCTTCGCCAGGACCCTCGTCGACCTCAACCTCGAGCACGAGCGTGTCTTCTGCCTTAAGTTCCAGTTCCAGCACTGTCGTTGTGACCACCTCCACTTCCTCTTCATCTACTGTCGCTCCCCCAGTAACAACCACGAAGCCCGGAAATGGTATCACCACGCCTACCCCCACGCAGGCCACCATTGTTGACAACTGTGACGCTTTCCACTTTGTCACGGCCGGCCAGACCTGCGAGGTGGTTGCTTCGCTCTACCGGATCTCTCAGGATCAGTTCAAAGCGTGGAACCCCAGCGTGGGTGCTTCTTGCACCGGACTGTGGGCTAATGCTTACGCTTGTGTATCCATCATCGGCCATGAGCCGTCGCCCACCACACCCGGCAACGGCATCACCACCCCTACCCCAACTCAGGCCACCATTGCCAACAACTGCGATGAGTTCTATTTCGTCGCGAGCGGTGACACTTGCGAGAGTGTAGCAGCAAAGCACGGCATCACCCAGGCTCAGTTCCTCAGCTGGAACCCAAGCGTAGGCTCAACCTGCACTGGACTCTGGGCCAATGCCTACGCCTGCGTCTCCATCATCGGCCACACCCCTACCAAGCCTACCACCACCACTAGCGCCGGCAATGGCATCGCCACCCCTACCCCTATCCAACCCAACATGGTCAAGAACTGCGATCTTTTCTACAAGGTCAAGTCGGGAGACACCTGTGCCGCTATCGCCGCGTCAAAGGGAATCACCGTGGCCCAGTTTACCTCTTGGAATCCCTATGTTGGGTCTGGCTGCACTCTCTTGTGGTTGGATTATTATGTTTGCATCTCCATTGTTGGACACACCCCCACGCCTGTCAACCCGGGCAATGGTATTCAGACGCCTACCCCGTATCAGGATGGAATGACTAGCTCGTGCAAGACCTTCCACTTTGTCCAGTCTGGCCAGACTTGCCAGACCATCACTCAGCGCTACGGGATTACTCAGGCAAACTTTGTGAGGTGGAATCCGGCTGTTAGGAACGACTGCACTGGCATGTGGGCCAATGCCTATGTCTGTGTTGCTGTTTTGTAGATAGGGGGTCGACGTGTAGATGTGTTAGGGATAGGGTCTGGCTCAATCTGGGGAATAGATCTCTTGTAACGCAGTTAGGTAGATATCCAAAGGTCCTCATGTAATTAGTTTTGAACAATCGAACTGTGAAAGACAAGGGTCCAAAAGGAGCCAGCCAACGGCCATAATACTGAGAAGCACTGTGGTCAACGATGTGATTTGAGACCTGTTTGTGAGATATCTAGGACTTACATGAGGAGGGTGATGGCTGAATATATACAGGATGCCCCTGAATACCTCAGAGACACAGTATGACCTGGGGGCAACGACCCTGCTTTCAAATACACGCAAGCTTTCGGTACAGACTACTCCTACTATTTAGTATCGACTCCACCCTGTTTCGTTGCCTGCGACAGCCGTCTTTCAAATGACCTGCACGCTTTCCGAGCTGCATAAGACCCGTGTGACCCTCCCGGCCTTGCCCTTGTTAGCTGCTCTGATTCGACCGACGGAATAGTTGAGTTGTCATTGCGTGCAGTACTCTGCACTCCGCCACAGCAGGCAGCCCAGAGTCAGTGGCACTGGGAACCCCCGCTCTTTTCTTCCCGACAACCCCGTTAGATTCGAAGACTGTCTTCTGCATCTATCATCCCGCATCGACTCTTGCTAAAGATTTTCAAGCTACCCACTTTACCTTGCATCATCGCGCACTTTCTTTGGCATCATGGCCGACGCTGGCCGTTAGTGGCCTGGCCGCTAGTATTATTTCACTCGGTATTCAGGTTGGTGGCGGCATTATCAAGTATCTCGATGCGATTTAAAGCACGGGATGAAAATATCGGTACGCGAATTTTATGGACGCCATGGTTGATCGAAACATGAATTTCTAACCCAATTTGTTAGCCTGTATTCGGCGGCTTGTTGACAGTCTTACGGAGAACTTGCGAATTCTCGAAGGGTGCTCGACATCCCTTGAACCAAGCTACCCGGTTCCAACAACGGCCTTGATGCGTAATCTCACGAATGTTGCGGCAGAGCTGAAATCTTCAGAGGAGCTTCTTGCCCATTTCACTACGCATGGCCAATCATCGAAGCGACAGGACACGATCGAGCGTTCTATGACCTATCCTTTGGAGCGCTCAAAGCTCACGCAGCTGCTGGATCGTCTGCTTCCAGTCAGCCAAGCCTTGAATCTCGCGGCACAGACCTTGGGGCTGTAAGTAATCGACCGCTCATTCCTTAGTGCTTAGTATTTGAGGCACTGACATCAATTGTAATAGGCAAGTCTCCGGCTTCATTTCGAGCAAGCTGGCGGATGTCGAGTCCAACACCCATGCCAATTCCTCCAAACAAGATGCAATTCAATCTCAAGTTCTGGCTCTCAACGTTTCCATCAATGATGGGAAGGCTGCACTGAGCTCGGCGGTTTCATCGATTCGTGACAGCAACCATGATCTTGGCAATCGTATTCAGGATTCCCATTGTCAACAGGCCGCGAATCACCTCCAAGTCACAGACCAACTGCTTGCCATTCAGAATTCGCAACACGTTTATGCCGACACCTTCGATGCCCTCAAGTCTCAAGCGACATCGCATCACATCGAGCTCATCGAGAAGCGTCAAGCCACAGCGCAGAGGCAAATCGAACTCGGGATTCAACTTCTTAATGAAGTCAGTCAACTGAGAGAGATCACTCGGAATTTCATCAAGGACCATGACAGCGGTAGTGTTAAGAAGGGCAAGAATGTATAGTGATCTGCCTTGCATGCGTGACAGGGTGGAGAAAACTGACCTCAACACCTAGACTACACTCCATCTTGCAGCCGACACTACCATCCACCGACTTCTCTCGAAACCCAACGCCTTGAGAACCATCTGTGATTCGAGTTTGCCTTCTAGAAAAACACACAATCAAGTCTCAGACGGTGTGACTTCGCATGGATCAACGTCAAACAGCCCAGGGTTTGAAGAACTCGTAAGCTCACTGTTAGCCGCAAGCTTGCAGTGCCAGTGTCGCCCGCGTACGTGGCGCATGCGAAAGGACTGGCAGTTTAGCCACTTTGGCTCTTTGTTCAAAATCATCGACGTTGAAGAGTCGCACTTTCGAGGTTGTTCCTTTAACAAATCATCACGTCTTACAACACGGGAACGGCAAGTAGGTATCAGATTCACAGGCTTGAGACGACTTTGCCAAAAGGCCATACAGATGTCAGTTTCCTTGGCCTATGGAGCTGGTGGCTACAGTATGGGGAAGGCAGCCTCGACTTGGTTCCCCATGGTGGACGCCAGGATTGCACCAGCTTGGAGGATAGTGGGAGTATTGGCGTCTTTGGCAGCGCATTTGCTCGAACCTCGGATGTGGTCTGAAACAACTTTAATGCGGTGGAAAGATTTTGCCGCATTAGCATTCGCTAAGATATTGTGGTTGTTTCGCACAAACGCAGCATCACCTTTGGACGTGAATGAGAATAACCAGTCATTGATTTGTGAACTCCTCGATAGCGTAAGTTTATATTTTCTTTACGTACGTGCGGGCCACAATGCAGACACTTTGCAATACGGTGTTAGCTCACATTCGCTTTTGTTTACCTAGATCGCTTGGGAATTCGGAAGTGATTGGAATTCTCAAAAAGAAGGCGTCAATCTTGAAGTTGCCCCCTCTTTAATTTGCTTCATCAAATCGTTACTCGACTCTGGAATCCTCCTAACAATGTACCTATATTCACCAACTCTCAAAACCATAGGACCATCGATCAATCGCGTTTTGACTAACATACACCCAAAAAGGTCGCCGCTGGGTTCTTTCATCAACCATTTCAATTCTTCCTACACTCTTATATTCTCAGACATCATGGACCTGGTTATTTCCCAAATTCGGCCGAGGTAGTCACCAGTGATCAAATCGATGAATTTCCTTCCAAGCTGGTCGGTTTCCCGATCCGTGGCTCGGTGTTTAGAGCTGCCGTGGTGCTCACCCCATATGGGAGAAGGTGGGTACCTTATTTCCGTACCTCCGTGAGCAGACTAGGTGTCTTTGAGAAAATCTAAGCAAAAGAAGTGTTCAAGCAGCAGAAGAAATTTGATATGCCTAGGTACTGACTGACTGTTGTAGTCTTGGGTTGCAACGCACTGAGCGAAGCCATCATCACCGATAACGTACACCAGGTTGAACTTTTTGCGACCCAGTACCTTTATATGCTAAGGGAATATAACGTCTTGGGCCAAACTCCATTTCATCTCGCTGTTGGCAATCCGGAATGTTTACGTTTACTACTCGCTGCAACAAAAGAAACGTCGCTTTTCGATGAGATAGACAACCACGGTCAGACGCCACTAGCATGTGCCCTTTACCTTAGCGGTAGAAAGTGCAAAAATCGCACTGCACCATCTCAATGTACCGATTGCATTTGTTCCCAATCAGTACTTCTTCTCCTGGAAGCCGGGGCATCGCTTCATCTTTTCCGGGACGGTGGCACAAGCCGACTAGGCCAAACATATTATTTGCAAGGCTTCCTATCACAGACCTCTGAGCGAGGAAAATGGACTTATGCAGAATATGTCAAGCGGCAGAGAGAAGTCCTGAAGACTTTTGCGCTTCAGTCTCTTCCGCGCAGCAAGTGGGATGTTTTGGGCCTCACCAATCCTAATGTCCTGGACGTCAAGATTCCAGCTGTGGTCCAAGCCCTTAACGAACAGGGCACCGAGATACCTGATTTCGCGGAAAACTTCAAAACTGGCACCTACGAAGACCCGGGATACTACTTATCGTTGTATATGCTGCTAGGCAATCCTCACGACGCCGATATTTTCTGGGATCTCGGCTTTAGGGATACATGCTTGCCATTGTTTCCAGGCTACGGGCATGACGGCTACAATTCACTCGACTATCTGTGCTGGCTTCATAACCACGGGGTAAATTTTCATTCACCTATTATTGGTCCCTCTCTCGATGGCAGGATTTCTTTCCGTGCACATTTGGTGCTCTATGAGCTTGGATACTCACTCTCGTTTGACGATTCGCGGGTCGGATTTGGTAATAAGCACTGGTTTCACCACATTCTCACCAACGTACCATCTGAGTCGACTCTTTCCAGAGACAATTGCCAATGTCGCTGTACCCGCCAAGGCTGCACATCTCTGACCTTTCTGTTAAAGGGTTTTCACGCTCGTACGATCCGTCCACTTCCCGTTGGCTCCCCTCCCATCACTTTCCTGCGACATTCGGAAGGAATTTTTGAGAGGGCTCAGCACCAGGAGGTTCTCCGGTTTGTGACCTTCCAGGCCTTTCAACTACCACACACTTGCTGTTATCCACGCCATGATTGCCTTTGCCATGTACCATACCCATTAAACTCAAGCCCTTCGAGTTCTTGTCAGGACGGCAGATGCAAGTGGAAGCCACAATGCTCAGAAGAGTTATCTGAAATTGAAGCCGAACATCGTTTTGAATTCGCTTGCTTCGAGAAACTTCTTGGTGAGCTCGAAACGGAACTTGAAATGATACTTGAGAATCCCAAAAAGAGCAATGAGGATATCCTTAATTTTTGGCAAATGGTCTAAGAACCCAGAATTATCAACGCCTTGGAGCAGCTCAACGGGAATAACTTGACAGATGATGAAATCTCAAGGGGGGAAAGTCTTGGTGTAGTGTGGGGTCCAGAACCTAACACAGAGATGTATGGCTGGGACCGAGACACCAATCCTTACGAGCATGATCAGTTTTCTGAGACTATGGATTATTGGTTCTACAATCTAGATCGTTTAGTTCCAGAGGTTCCCTGGACAGGATATAGTCGGTCGCCTCAACATGATATTGAAGAGTGGAACAAGGATAGAAAGGCCAAGGAAGGGTTGAAGTAACTGTTGTTGTTGACGCGCAGAGTTAAAACATGTATCCAGCAAGAGCTAAAATTTTCAGGGTCATAACCTTGGGTATCACGAGAGACGCAAAACAGAATGTTAGAGCTTTCTATCTACTCACTTGACCAACGACGATCTACTGTGAATATGTGAGGCATGAAGAAGGTTACCAGTCCTCGCCGGGTTCGCAAAGCCCATGTTCAAGGGCCTCCGGATACCAAGAGGTACCTAAGTAGGTAACTCAGTGTAATACGCGGTAACTTTCCCGAACATTCCGCAGTACGTAATAGAGACTCTTCTAGTTTGTCTTGGGTTGTTTCCCTAGCATTCGCTTCCCAAAGATCCTGCAGCAGGCATTCCATTCTATGCAACATGACAGATCTTGGCCTTGAGAATTCTGCCCCACGCTCTGCCTCGAGCTCGAAACTAAACGTAACAAGTGCAAAAAACTCGCGATGATAGCCACGTGTAGAAAGCAATACTACAATACCCTCTAGCTTTAACCACAGTTCCGGTATACACTCCCAAAAATTCCTGGGTTGGCACTCGCGAACAATTCTCGAGCAATGCTAACAAGGCAAACTTGGAAATAATGATCGATGCTGCTCTGTGGCTTAATTCATGTATTTACTTGTCTTAAACAGTTTTGTGACCGGTTGGGTCACCCACCCGGCAACAACAATCAATGACTAGGAAACAACAGTCAAAAACTTGGATGTAACCCTAAGGTACCTTTGCCTTACCCTCTGTATGTATATATTCGGCTCTGGTACATTTTGGACACCATAAATGTATTCTTGGCTATCCATCTATACCTGACAGCCACCCGCCATGTAACTTGAGGAATTCGATAGCCTCACTTCCAGCTGTACACATGATGCCATCTTCTCTTTGGCCTCCTTGGCTTGTTACACAGCCAACTTCAACACCACATTATGTCTGGTTACGGGCATCTGAATTGTCCGGCTCAATACCGACTTCGGAGAAAGAACCAAGCGAAGATAAATACCTGGCAAATAGCCATCACCTTCAGCTGCCAAGTCATCCCTCAGTATCCTTCATCATCTCTCTCCATCCTGTCCCAAAAGGCAACCTTCAGCCACAACCATGAAGCTCACCACCCTCGTCCTCCTCGCTACCGGCGCTCTCGCCCTTCCCAACCCTATCCCTGCCCCTGAGGCCGCTTTTGAGGTCGTCAACATCACCGAGCGCGACATCGAGCCCCGCGCTGCATACTGGTAAGCGCCTTTTCCTATCCTCTCCTCTTTTCCACCCCAATCAACTAACCATACATCTTCAAGGACTTGGACCCCCTACAACGGCGCGTCCTCCTGCACCGGCACCCCCACAGCAGGCGGCGTGGTGGGCTACTCCAGCTCCCCCTGCCGCAACCAATACGGTGCCATCTCCCGCGTCAAGATCACGTCCGACTTCTGCACCGTCACCGCCTACAACAGCCCCAACTGCCCCAGCCGCGAGTTCGGTACCACCTACGGCTATGGCACCAACATTTGCGCTGGCGGAGTGGCATATCAGAGCTTCAAGGTCAACTGCGTTTGAGAGATAGACATATGGCAAACCATAATGATAGCACATGATAGATGGAACGTTCATATCCAACTCAAATACCCAACTATTTACCATTCGTATATGTATTGCTCGTGCCAACCTCCTCCCCTTAATCACTCCTAGGCCTCAACCTACAATTAACCCCCTTCGTCCTGTAAAACCACCGACTGCTATACCACCAAACCTCATTCGGGTCCTCCAGCTCAATGTCAAACGTCGACAGCAACGTAGGCACAAGCTTGTACACCTCCATCATACTCAAGTTCCTCCCAAGGCAGATCCTAGACCCACCACCAAATTGAAGCATGGCTTGATTCCACAGCTGCATCCTTTCCTTGTACTGCTCGTCATTCTCCCCATCCCGCTGCAGCCACCGGTCAGGGTAAAAGTCATCGGCGTTCTCACCAAAGACCTTCTTGTTACGACCGACAATGTAAGGGTTCATACCGACCATTTGGCCACCTGGGACGACAGAGCCATCAGGGAGGACGAGGCCACCTTCGGGGACGATGCGCTCCATGATCATGGAAACAGCAGGGTGGTAACGGAGTGTTTCGTTGACAACGGCATCCAAGTAGGGGAGGGCACGGGCTTTGCTGTGGGCCGCGGGTTCGAAGGCCTTGAAGACAGAGCGGACTTCGGATTCGAGCTTTTTCCACACACGCTGGTCCTTGAGGGTGTAGTAGAAGAGGGCGCGCAGCGTGATGGCTGTGGTGTCGGCACCGGCGATCACTGTGGGGTAGATCGTGTTAGCATCGAATTTCAAGGCAAGGTACATGACATGGGAGCGAGTGGAGACATACAGTTCAAAAGAAGATAACCAATAATCTTGCCCTCGTCAACGATCTCCGGGTGGGTCGACTTGGACTCGATAAAGTACTGCAGGAAATCGGGCTTCTCGGGGTTGAACACCTTGTCTTCGCCCTTGAGACGGGCCGTCATCTTCTGGATGGCAATGTTGGTCACGTTGGAGATGTTGGGTGGGCCGAGAGGGTAGATGGGGTTCTTGTCGAGGATGTAGTCGGTCCAGGGCATTTGGCCGCAGAGAGCCAGATAGTCGATGGACTGGTCGGCAACAGCGAGGGTGCCATCAAAGTCGTAGCCCTTTTCCATGTAGCCGAACTTGGTGCTGAAGGTGACGATACCGAGGAAATCCCAGGCATCTGAGCGTGTTAGAGTATGTTCATAGCCAGAAAGGCGATGGCGGGGTCCAGACTCACAGTATCCTAGCCAGTCGCCAAAGTTGCAGACCTTCCTGGGCTCAACAAAACGTTTCTTGAGGTGTTGGAGCAAGTCGGCCACCACCTTGTCCATGTGTGCCTCCATAGCCAGCACGGCCGGGACCGAGTAGTGGCGCACAACAGGTCTCTTCAGTCTGGCATGCTCGACATTGTTGGTCTCGCTAAACATGTGGTAGGTGATCTTGCCATCGATGATGGAGCTGCTGTTTTTGTAGAAGTCGGACTTGACCCATTTGCCATCGGTGTTGTAGATGGTGCGAGAAAGCTCAGGGAAGTCAAGGTCCAGGAGATTTGGTCCTATCCTGACAATGGGGCCGTATTTCTCATGTAACTTCTTCATTGTCTGGGCATACTCGGCCCCGTAGACCTTGGATAACCGCCACAGATTTGTCCATCCTGGTCAAGACATGTCAGCTGTCATTCTGACGGGAACAATGACGTGCATTTGCTTGTGCTTGAGGGAGCCGACAAACCTGCTAAAAATGGCCCGGGATACTTCTTCAACGGTGAGGTCTGGTAGGCGACAAAGAACCACAAAAAGCAAGCGATGGAAGGGGCAACCACCAGAAGGGTCAGCTTGCTGCTTTGAGCAGCGGTGAGGACAGTGTTCCAATCCCAGTCCAGCGTTGCGCCGGTTGGCACGGGGCCGCTGGCTGATGACGAAGCTGAAGCCATGGTTCCTCCCTGTTCGAAAATGTCTCGAGAGAAAAGGGTGAGGGAGAGACGGGGAGGCCGGTAGCGAGTTTTGTGACCGGGCAGCCGTGTGGGCTCGGGGATGTTATGAAGGTTCATCAGGGAGACAGCATTCGGATGCGGGGGTCCCAACAGGAACTGGCCATCTTCTTGGCCTGCCCCCAATTTGTGCTCTAGTGTATTAAAGTATTGGATGGGTGGATGGATGGATGGTGTTGCAATGCAGCCCGACTCCAGTTTGGAAAGGTCGACCTGGTGGAATCATTGATCGTCGTCGGGAAGTGTGGCCGCGGTGGATGGATATCATTTGCAGTTGGACGCACTGTGTGGCGTTGTGCAACCCTGCCCCGGTTAGTTGTTGATTTAAACTGTCAGCGGCTGCTAACCAACGGCCCCACAAGCCGACCGACGGCGGGATCCAATTCCCGGGCCTTGGTGGATAATAAACTTTCTTTTCCCAGCTGTGCCAGTATAATTCGGGCAAGGCTCCCCTCTCGCCGAGCCATGGGGGTGGCGGAAGCGAAAAGACCAGCCCAAAAGAGACTCCCCTTTCAGGGCTTAGTGTTCGATAGCGGATTGGCACTGTGGCCTGTATGGATAGCCATCTCATTATCTCGTGTTTCTGATGTGTCGAGGAAAATGCCGATCCGATGGTGCTTTTGTGTACAGATACCTCGTGAAGAAATGGAGACGATATGGCCCATATGTTATGATGAGATACTGTGAAACAGAAGGCCATAACATGACATTCATCATCCCACGTGGAAAGAACGTCAGAACCATAGATCCGGGTACTGCGGGGGAGATAACTTAAACAGCACACAGCAAATTGGGAACATGTGCTTCCCCTCGGAAATCCATTGGCCAAATCTGAAATGTCCCGGCCGGTTGTCGGAAAGAGGAAAGGGGCCCAAGAGGCTGGGAGAGGGTTTCAGTCTCGCTTTCATCTCCCAGCCGTGCCACCGGTTTTTTTTTCCGGCACGGCATTTTCACTCACCACCCATGTGCTGCGCCGCCTGACTGCTGCGGTACCGTAGCATCTGTCTCTTGCAGGTCGGCACTGTGCTTTATGCGTCCATATCTTCACCACCTATTGTCTCTGATGCGGGCTGGATCATGGATGTCATGTCGTTTGAGTCCCTCCCTCCGCCATCCGGTCTGGACCTCACAATCTCACTAGTCTCGTAATGTCTGTGGTCATCGTGCCAATAAAAACAGAGCAGATACGGAGTACTGCGCTATCAGCTCGGGGTGCACGGGTGGCTTTCGTGGGAGCTTACCGTTGGCCCGGACGATCCGTTCCTGGACCCAGCCGGGTGCTCTGCCGGGATGGGGCCTGTCGTGCAACCTGTCATGACAATGGAACGTCGTTGTCTGAGCGCAATCCCCAGACGGAAGAGGACGAGCAAGTCAGTATGAAATTGGAGACGATCAATGCACCGCTATTCACATGAAGATGCTCAGGTTTAGGTTTTTCATCGGGCATACAGGATCGATAGGTCTATTCGCAGGAAGGAGCATGAATTTCACTCACCGACATTTGATGGTTCTTCAGTGGCGGTTGGAGAAATGTCCGACATCCTGGCCTGCAGAAACGTAAACCAATGATTTAGTCAGTCACCATTCGTGCTTCTGCAACACCTTTCTTTTTCACCTGCACCAGAATAATGCCAGAAGACTCCAGGGGGTCAAGCCACGTACTGGTCACTCGTGGGGGGTCTGACTGGCCGCTGACAGTCTCTTCAAGCCACAGGCCAGCTTGGCGACCTCATGCGTTTGGCAGCATACAGAGAGCACCACGTTGACCTTCAGGCACGGGATTGATGGTCTGGACCCTGAAAATGGCGCCATCTTCAAAGGCTCAGCACCCTCTCCACTAGTTCCACTATGCCTGGGGCTGGTTGTCTTTGCGAGGTCGTCGACAGTAGGTACAGATGATGCTGAAGGTCGATTCTTCTACGGATATGATGAAGGCCGTAGTGGACCACAGCACTCTCCCCAGAACGACCAGGCGTCCCGCAAGTCAAGACAGGTTCGCTCGGAACCCAACCCCGGTGCCAAACCCTTGGTATTCGCATTTCACGCCCCCCTGCCAGTGCAACACGCCCAAGTTGATCGACACCGAATTCGAGAGCAAAAGCAACACAAGCAAGCCGGAGAAGACACGGCCTGCATGTTTCGAAACTCGCAAAGAGTTCCTCCGCCGCCCGCCTGCTTCTTGAACCTCTCTTCTGTGAGGCTGATCCCCCCCTTTCTGGCCGTTGAGCCATATGTAAACCCAACCTAATCTTCAGACATTGCGTGCCTGGGTTTGGGGGTCCAATGGTGGCGTTCGGTGTCTTATTTCTTTACCTTCGCATGCGACACTCGTGGGCGCTTGGATGAGGCTCTATTAACCCGGGCACTCCTCCCGCGTTTTGTCACAATTGGTCTCGACTCGTTAGAGACTTGTTACTCGTCTTTGTTCAGTTTCCTCGCTCCTTGAATCTGACATTGTCTCCCATTCCATTAGTTGCGATGACGCTCAAAGGTGACGCCGTGTGGGCGTTGGGGGTGATGTGGTTTTTGTGTACCCTGGTGTTCTTGCTGATGTGCCTCCGACTATACACCCGCATCGTCTGCTTGTCGTCTTATGGACTTGACGACCACATCTACATTGTGGCCTTTGTAAGTGGACTTTCTGATCGTGTGGAATGATAGACATAGACTAACGATTCCACTACTTAGATCTTTCTCCTCATCTTCACCATCTTTATCCACCTCTCGGGAACCGTGGGCTTTGGGCAGACGATGGAGGAAATCGGCGACATGGAACTAGTAGTGAAAGCCACTTTGTACGAGTGTATCGGTCAAGGCTTTGCCATCGTCGGTATGGCCATCGCCAAGGCGTCTCTGGGTACTTTCTTGCTCCGTCTCGTCACTGTGAGGTGGCACAGAATCGCCATTTGGTCAGCCCTGGGGCTCGTGAGCGGCGCCTCCATTGCCCAAGTTCTGTGCTTCTGGCTTTCATGCGTTCCCGTCAACTACGTCTACGACCGCCGCATCGAGGGGGGCTACTGCCCCATCGACACAAGGCCGACTTCTTATCTTCTCTGCAGTATGTCTTGACCACTTGAACTGATGTAGTGCAGAAAAATGTTGACCTGTGCACCTACCTTTAGCTTCCACCATCGTCGTCGACTTCTTTTTCGCTCTCTTTCCCTGGTTAATCGTTATGCCCTTACAAATGCCCAAACGCGAAAAGTTCACCATCGCCGGTAGCATGAGTCTCGGCTTGATGTAAGTTCACCCCTCACCCAGGGCACCTGGCTCGGAGTCCTCTGACCTTTCTGTTCTCAGTGCTGCCGCAGCTGGCATCGTTCGCACCTTCGAAGTCGAAGGCCTCTACACAGCCTCGTACCTCAAGGACTCCGTCGGTCTCATCGTCTGGTCCTCCGCCGAGATGGCCATCACCCTCATCTGCATCGGCATTCCCGTCTGTCGTCCCCTCTACAAGCGCGCCTTCCGACGTCTCCTCGGCGAGAGCACCAGCGGCTACCACAAGCAATCCGGCGGCAAGGACGGTCAAGGGTCCTCTCACGCTCTGCAAACCATCGGCGGTGGCGTTCTGGGCTCCGACGGCAAACCGATCTCAAAGAAGCTTGCGCAATCGCAGCAGGTATCTGCCAATAAGGATGGTCGCACCACGGTTACAGGGCAGAATGAGAGCACAGATGATATCAGCTTTACGGATGTCAAGTTGGGCGTTGATGGGCCCTTTACACGGACAACGGTGGGGAGGGGGCGCGACGGGAGTGCAGGCAACGGGAACAGCTCTGATGAGGAGATCCTCAATGAGTACAGGCGGAGTCAGATGGACGACCACAATGGGCGCGTGGTGAGGGTGGATGTTGAGAATGGAAGGGTGCAACATGGGGAGCACAGTCAGGCGCACAATCACAACGGTATCATGATTACAGAAACCTACCGAGTGGAAAGGTCCTGACTGGAGATGAAAATGTCAGGGGAGAGAGAAGCACGGTCGTGGGTTGACGTGTGAGGCAGTCCGTCAACCTGCAGTGGGATGGCACAGGGAAAAAGGGCATGGGATATTCGGTCGTTACTTGAGGCATTATAGAGAGTTTGGAGTTTGCTAATATCGGGCACATGATACATACCTCACCTGCATGGCTCTGGGGTTGTATGATTTAAACACACACGTAAACAGTACATATGGGAGACGCACCATTCCTCTCGTTGTCTCTTCCGTCTTCCTGATGCTTGTGGAAGGGCCCTCCAACACCGCATTCGTCGTAGCCCGTAGGTACGAGAATGGGGCGGTCGTGCCTGCATTTGACTTGCTCCAAAATCCTCAAGTGAACAAGAACGCTCCTTTTTGGAGTCAATAATTCAATTTCTCGATTCACCTGGACTTCCAACATTACAAAAAGCACGCCGTCCCTTTCTAGTCCATCCTCACGGGCGTCACGAACCAGAAAACCGCCCACACTCATCCTCATGTCAATCCCATCACACGAGCAACCATCACGACTCAAGACACAAGTTGAACCCCACCCTCAACACTCACTTTACCATTGTTTACTCGACAACATGGCGATACTTGACCTCATTTACCTCTTGGTATTCTACGCATCTTTTGTATGGGTCATCGTCTACATTCTCCGCCAAGCCATGAAGTCCGAAGTAGCTCACGATCGGGGAACCGAAGAGATTCGGAAGGGTTACGCCGAATGGGCTGCCAAACGTGAGCAAAGAATTCACGCATAACTGCCTGGTTGAGCCATGTCCTAACGTGAGCGCAGAAAAAAAAATATTCGAGGGATCGATGGAGTGACTGGATGGTCGCAGAGGTATTCATGGACCGATGAGGAGAACGGAGAGATCCTCACATAACAATTTCGTGGGATGATGAGTGCTAAGGATCCGCAGCAAGCTCGTTGGGTGATCGGGCACCTTTTTCTTGACAAACGGAAGACAGCAAATACCAAGGACAGCCTTTGTGAGACATAAGCCTATCGTCAGCAGACAAAATCGGGTACGAGTGGCCTTCATTTCGACATGATCCCCCTTGTCACACTTGCACCCCTCGGATGGTTGACTGCCGTTGCCATCGAGTACTCTTTTTCGGACCTTCCGTAAGGTTCATTAGCAAGAGAGACGGGTTAACTGCATGGCCCAAGCATCTGAAGTAAGAGGTGAGTGCGCTACAGAGTACGTAGAGCCTGAAGTAACCATCGTAGAGTTGGACTTTTTGTAGGTGGAATGATTGATGCTCGGGGCAGCACGGATAAAGTCTCCTTGTATGATCAAACACTTTCTGATTTGAATCAAGAAACAAGTCATGCTGTATAGGTACTTTCTTGGTGCATATCTGTGAGGTTGTGCATAGTTGTGAAGCTATGCATATCTATGAGCTTATGCGCATCTTGTGTATGGTGTGCACTACTATGTGGTGACATAAATAGATGCTGTCGAATTACATACTGTCATAGCTTTGTGTATACGCTGCTGCATAATACTTATGAATATCATCCACCACCTTTTCTTTTGCCCAACCATTCTCTCTTGTCCTTGCGTGAGGCTAACCCGTCTCTCATTCGATTGTAATGCGCTCATACCCTTGACCTCGAGATCTCTCTCGTGAGTTACCAGTCTCGACGGGAGCAGCACCCTTCCCCCGTCTCAGAAACCTCAGTACGCGAGATGCTTCTTCATCAGTCCTTGGGTCGGTCCACATGCGGCGTTTGCGACTCTTGCTTCTGCCGGTGGGTATTTCCTGCATAACCCCGGAAATCTCATCCGCAGCGATTGTCTTTCCATTTACCTTGCTTTTCTTTTCCGTAGTTTTTGAGGCACCGACCACTGTGTCCTGGTCAGAGTCATACTCCGGCCGGCCGCTGTTGTCAAACATATCTTCTAGGTTCTTCCCGCTAGGTTTATGTCGAGATGGCAGCGGTGTCGGCATCGACTCTTCAGCCATGGCTTCGAGGTCACTGGCAGGCATCACGCGCGGCTGGTCTTGTCTCTCAGCACCCCCACCAACCCGGAGCGCAGACACCGTTTGAACCATCTTATCCACCAAATTCTTCAAGTTCATCGCCCCCAGCGTCTTCCCCTCCCCCTCCCCAGCCACCCCCCCTTTTTCCACCCCCATATCCCTCCCCTTCACCGTCCTCGTCGACCCCACAGATGAACTCCTCCCCCTCCCCGTAGAGTCAAAGCTCCTCACACTCCCCGCCGGACTCACCCCCCTCCCCGGTCTACTTCTGCTCCTCCTCTTCCCCTCCCTCTCCTCCTCCCTACTCCTCCACCCATATCGACTCCTCCTCACAGTCTTGACCCCCGCAAACTCCATATTCTCCTCACATTTCCCGCTGATACAAGCATCACACAGCCGTGAGGAAATAAACGCCTCCCTTTCATACGTCACTTGGTGGCCAGCAGGACACAGCCCGCCCATGTCGAACACATCGCCGGGGTTGAAGCTTCGGAGTGGAGGTAGTCGTCGCAGAACTTGTAGGCGGCGCAGTGCTGGCTGTAGACGATGCTGTGGGAGCTTTTGGACAGGTGGGCTTTCAGAGGGTTGGTGGTGGGGCGGCGGGTGAAGGTGTAGTTGAAGTCGGGGGGGTGGATGTCGAATTGGAGGTAGAAGGAGGTTGAAGGGGCGTGGAAGATGCAGGGGCACCTGGGGAGGAAGTCAGCGGGCGATGGGGAGGAGAAGGAGAGTAAGTGGGGTGGGTGGCATCCATACCAAAAGTCGTAGATGGTTCCTTGACACATTTTGAGGGTAGTTGTGATGAATGGGTGATGGACGTCTCTAAGGAAATGGGAGTCGCTCGTGATGTGAATGGAAGGGTCGAAAAGGGTCGAGGATGCCGGCCACAACGTGAAGAGGTCGAGTGCAACTCGATTGTTGAAGGTCTAGAAGGTAAAGTGCCTAATTTTTGCGGCTCGTAAAGCATCAACGTTGGGACTGAGGATGTTGTTGAAGCTGTGAGATCCATCTGAGCGGCTTCAGGATGTGCGTAGAAGAAAAAAAGTCGCGGAAAGTCGCCATTCAAGTAAGATGTTGAGATTGTTGGTCGAAAGTTGCTGTTGACCAGAAGTACGAGTGGTAGGCTTTTCGCGTCGTTCGATTCCAGTCGCCAAAGCATCTGCGACGAAGGCACTCGACACTCTGCAGCTCAATGCCTGACGCGAAGGATAACTTGAGCAACTGATTCCAGTGTCGCTAGGCCAAGTGACGCGGGGTCTCTCCTGCGTAGGTCATCAGGGCAGCGCGCGCGTCACAGGTGAATTCACTGTTTTCGCCAGGTTCTGACGAATAAGGCAGCAATGGGATTAATTGCGGCTTTGCAATGCGACTTGAGTACTGCTTGTCCAAGAAGTGAAAACTCTGTCTTGATTTCTCTTGGATGCGGGTCTGTGATATCTGAGTTTGATGGTATGCTTTCAAATTGCGTTTGAGTTAACAGCCCTATGGGGATATGGCTGGCATGGGAGGCGTGGGAGGCTTTTGTAGAACGCCATGTGGCCGAGCCCTCGTAATCTTTTCCTGGACTCTAGTACGGTGTTCATGGTTTGATCAATACCTATCCACAAACCTCAGCAACGCAGTGAGTCACACGATGATTCACCTGCTGTTCAAACAAGATGCGGACAGTCTTGGTTATACACACACACAATACGCTTTCACGATAGCAGTACGGAGCTGGAAACTTTACTTCATCATATCATTATTGATTGTCTGATAAAAGCTAAGCGAAATGCAGTACCCATGTGCCCAAACTCAACCCTCTATTTCCTAAGAGCCTCCCTCCTGCTAGTGCTCTGAGGGTCGTAGTAAGGCTTCTCACCCAGACTGACAGCTCTGCTCCCCTTGCGCTCGCCCAGCCCGTCCTCAAAAACATAATCGGGGGTGGCCGCGTGGTAAACACTCCTGTTGTCCCAAATGGCAACATCATTCACATCCTTCCACTTGAAGCGGACTTGCAAATCATGGTTTTCGACGATGAGCTGGACGAACCAGTCAAGGAAGTGCTTGCTCTCCTCATCAGAGAGGCCATGGATGCGCTTGACGTGGTGTCCGACAGCAAACACTGACTTCCAGCCGGTGACTGGGTTGGTGCGGATCACGGGGTGGATGGCCTCGAGGACATCGCCGACATTCTCGGGGGCGCCACGCTCGCCGGAGTAGATGCTGAAGCCGTTTCGCTTGGCGGCATCGGTGAAGAGTGGCTGGGCATAGTAGGCTGTGAGGGTATCGAGGAAGCCGCGGAGCTTGGGGGAGATTCTGTCGTAGAGCTCATAGCCAGAGGCCCAGAGGGTGTCTGTATTCATCCAGTCAGCGACATCTTTTGTGGCATCTATGCAGTCCAGAGGTTTGCTTACCACCTCCGGTCTTGGGCAGCTGTGTCAGCTTGAGAAGAGCATAATCGCTGGGAATAGGCTCGAAGGTGATATCAGAGTGCCACTGGCCCTTTCCGGACTGACGATGTCTGCCACCGTTCCATGCGCTGGCGAAGCGATCGGCGTAGAGCTTCTTGGCTTGCTCTGAGGAGATGACGCTGATCTCGTCGTCCTTGCCACCATGCTCACGGGCGGCGTTGCTGATGGGATGGATGTGAAGACCGGAAGTCTCTGGCTTTCCAGAAAGCTGGCCGAGACGCTGGACCAACTCCTTTTGAAGATCGTCAGTCAAGCCCTCCTGTTTCCGAAAGAAGACAACACCACGTTGAGAGACTAATCTGGGTCAGCAACATGTTTCTCATCGGAGTCTCATGGATACGATACTCACTGGTAATGGCAAGATCACGAAGCAGCTCATCCGAGTTTGGAGCACGGAGGAGCTTGACGAGGTCGACGTTGGAATATTCCCTTCCGATCACAGGGGTAACATCGAAGGAGTCAAAGACCTCAAGCGCGCCACTGAGCTTCAAAGGCTCCTTGTGGTTCGTGTAGAGCTCTGGGAGTTCTTCCTCTTGAACTTGGACACCCTTGTCCTCGACAACCTCTGGCACTTGCTCCTTATTCTGGACTGGAATGACCTTCTCCTTGATCTCGTCCACAGTTTGTTGGACTGTATCGACTGCCGAGGGAGACATGATGAAGTGCGAGGTGCGTGGAGATTGATCAAGTTGAAACTTTGTGATGTGAAGCTTTGGGTTTGTTGGTGGATGGCAATCAGACGGATTAACTGCTGTCTTTATAGACGGACAGCATCCCATGGCCTCGAATACATCATAATGGCGTCAAAGAGACTCCTCTTCACGAGCCATCTTTATCTCCGAGATGGCACACTCGCAGAGCACGCCAGCCTGCGATATCACTCTGAAGATGTGCCTCTATCTGACACGGACCAATCGCATGTTGAGAAGGGCCTCGCCCACTACTTCCTGACTGTATTCCTGGCTCTTAGTGGTCGAGCTCCCCAAAAATGCATGGTGTAAGACGCTTGCTCTCTGACGTGCGGCGGAGTATGCTGGCACGGCGGCGACATGGTAATCGTGTGCGAATTTCCGTGCTGCTGGGACCGTACTGCGTATACTCCGTAGCATCAAGGCGTGCTTCCCCCCCCGTCCGTCTACCTTATATCGGCAGCATTGTTAGGGTTTGCCGAGGTGCCAATTGGCTGAACGTTGACTTTGGAGGTGTTGCGCAATGCTTGGAAATGATGGCGTCGTCCGGGCATGCTGCCAAGGCTGTTAACTCCGTCGCCTTCCCCAACTGCCGGAGTCGTTTTGTTGAACAAAGATGGCAACAGGCGGGCCGTGGTCGGTCCCGACTATGCGGGCGGCATGTTTTCGGTACTCGGCGGGCGGGTCTGGTCGATTACGGCAACGACGACGGGGCGCAGAGGCTCGAATCTGCCGCTCGGCAATAAGGGCTTTCGAGACGGCATCGAAAGACTTTGTTGCCAGCCATGTTCACCGTCTTGTAAGAGAGCGAGATAGGTCGAGGGTCTGGCGGATGGGAATGCTTGAAAGTCCAATGCTGGACCATAATCTCAGCGTCAGTCCATTAGAGTGGAAAGTCGGTGGTCTGCAGCTTGAGACTTACCAGCAATCATCAAGACTTCACAGAAACATAAAGTTGGCAAAGTTGGCCCTTCACCTCTCGGGATTGAGAAAACAGCTTGCCGGAATTGCTGCCTGGCTCTTGTCAACTGAGGAAAGAACACCCCACCTATTCTGCCTTTTCATCAGCCTGACAGCCATTCAGCCCGACACTCTCTGATCTAGGTAGGTATTTCCAATGTCCCCAAGACGGATGGATCGGCAGTATGCACTCGATAAATGAATTGATCTCTGACAGCTGCGCCATCCCCCACAGCTGCATCTTCCCCACCGAGCCCCCCTCGAACACTGCTAGCTCGTCCCGCTCCACCACCACGCAGTGATGCCAAGGATCATCACACAAACAACGCGGCATCAGTCCTCGCCAACCGATAAGTACCGTCATGGTCATTCTCCCACGTAAGATTTACAAACCTTAAAAGACCACCTGGTTCTTCTAGATTGGTTTACCCCAGACTGGCAACAGACCGTGTAGATCAGAAACCACCATATTTTTAGCACAGACATCTGATCTTCATCAACAACCACCCGCGCTGCAAAGCGTCGTGTAACTTACAGAAACGGGCCACGAGAGGCAACTGCTCACGCGAGACATTCCTCGTCCAAGCCCGCGGCGCAACGAGGTCTCGAGTCTCTTGACCGTCAAGACCACCAACTACCCCGTTTCAACGACATTGATATGTACACTGCAGCGATCCTAGACCAAGTGTCGAAGTTGCAGCAAATGTCACGCTCCTTTGCCGGCGGCACCTTAGATCCACTTGCCATGTCCCTTTTCTGACCGTCTCGTCGCAGTGAAACAAAGCACGGAGCCTCATCACCGCTCCCGTGGACGCGTACAAGACGGGCCTGGAAAACGGTTTGGGGTTTGTCGGTAATAAAACGGCCACACTCCGCTTCGACTTGCCTCGTCGGCTCCAGCTCCCCCTCGCTATATGCGCCGCAATTGGCGGGCTCGGGCCGCCAACGTCAACCTCTGGTGGATTCCAGGAACAAGCCGAAAGCAACTCTCCTGTTGGCGCTGCCTCTTTTTGGCTGGTGTTATCAGAAGTGCTGGACGCTAAACAGTCGGCTGGCACCTCCTCAAACACCCAGATCTTCACCAAAGTCACCGGCCAATATTCCACACTGCTCCTATTCATCTCTTGCTCCTTTTCCCAAGAGGCGACCGATTGCCAGCAGATTTGATTTGTTGATGGTTGGTGTCGGTGACAGACTGGGAACCCATGATGGTTGGCCCACGGACATTTGCTGCCGGCAACCAACCCCTGGTCAATTCTGCAACCTCACGGGGATTTTCTGTTTCACATTACAAAATGCCCCCCACGAACAAGCAATTCTGCCGAGGAAAATCCAGATACGTTTTGAGCTTGATGCTGTTTGGCAGTCGCGGCAGTCTTGGACTCTCCAATTTGCCCGTCACCAGAGGACTGTCTTGGCGCGTCATCCCACGACCTCCCGCCGTAAGGTCTGACAGCCCCGAGCAGATGTCGGATGAACAGGCAACGATTTGAGATGAACAGGTCTAGCCACGGCCAAGTTTCTCAAGTTTTTGGCCCCGAAATGAGTGGTGGCTGGCCAGTTATTCAGGCCTGTTGTTGATCGTAGTTGATGAGGCTCGTCGGCGCGGCAAGACGCCTCATCCCTTGGCCAGTGAGGTTCCCCAGACTTGGCCTGAGCGCCAAGGGGCCAGAACCCCAAACACGCTGGCAGGGTTCTTCGTCACTGCACCTCGACCCCTTTTCTTGGCGCAAAAGGTTGTCATCCGAACGCCCCCCACATGGGTTCCGTGAGGCCCCTTCTCCCTGTCGGTTGGTAAAACAATCATGATACTTCTTTGTCCATCGACAACCGGCGATAAACGAGGCAGCAGCAACAGACGCTACCCTGTGATCCAGCTCTGCTCCATCTGCCGCCCTGGCCCTGCTCCACCGACGGAGGAGCACCCGGACCGACTGCCACCACCTTTAAGACAAGGGTCTTATCATTTTTCACATCGGGGCCAAGGCTCAAACACTGGAGGTTGCGACTGCAGAATGATCGGCCCCTTTAACCGCATATAACGCCAACCACTTGGCAGCTACCTCGACAGAGGCAGTGAGGAAACAGAATGACACAGCAGGTTGTCTGCCCAGAGTTGGCGTTATATGCGGTTAAAGGGTCTACTACCCGCCGAGACCCCGTAACCTGGTCCCAAGAGCGAAAACTACAAAGATCCACCCGCCTCCCGCCTGGAAGCGTGGCTTGTCATCGTACGATCTACTATTCCCTTCTCTTGTCTTGTACATTTCCTGTTTTTTTTGGGTTTTTTTCTGGTTCCGCTATCGAGGTCTGCGACCCTGTTTTCTTCTCTTCACTTCTGTTGTGTAATACCTTTATACATTGTTATCCACTTTGTGTGTACCTTCTCTAGTCTTATATTCCCTTTCTGTCCTCCTCGACCTGTCTCTTCTCTCTTCACTTTTTCCTGTGTATCTCTCTGCCCTCACATATAATCCAACATGGGCAAGCTTTCTCAAATCCTCTTCCTTACGGCCTCGGCGGGGCGGGTCTTCGCCTCTTGCGCCTATGGAACACACCTGATGCCCAGAGCGGAGGAGGGTGAAGCTGTTCCAGTGGCTACCTTTGGGTATACTGGCATCACCGTAAGACACTCACATTTTGGAGGCGAGCAATCCGAGCTGACACACATATCAGGGCCCTCACAACTGGGCTGCCCTTGACAGCCCCGCGAACAATGTCTGTGCCACGGGCACCACACAATCGCCTATCGACATGGTGGACAGCGTCTTTGAGTTGATCGATGCCTCAGCCCTCTCAATAGAAGTCAACGACATGCCAGAGGGTGCCGACTTTGAGAACCTCGGGTCTACAGTCGAGGTCATCACCCAGGGTGGCACACTCTCTTTCGACAACAAGACCTTTGAGCTGCAGCAATTCCACTTCCATCTTCCCAGCGAGCATCTGGACAACGGCACAAGTCAAGCCAGTAGGTTTTTTTTTTTCCCTTCTTTGTACCGCGCAACACCCATGTAACCGTTGCTGACATGACGCGATAGTGGAAATGCACATGGTCTGGCAATCCGCCGAGGGAGAGATCGCCGTCGTTGGCGCCTACATCAACATCGCTACCGGGGCGGTCGCCTCGGCCTCGGTCAAGCGGGGCCTCAACACCCGCAGCCGCCTCTTCCAGAGACAAGCCGAAGCCAACGAGACTGCCCCCGTCGCCGGCACCGATGCCCCTACCGTCCTCCTCGAGACCATCTTCAGCGTCGTCGACCAGATCTCCACCCCCGGCACCAAGGTCAAGACTCCCCCTCTCGTCATGTCCGAGGTGGTTGACCTCCTCAAGGCCGGCCAGTTCCAGGCTTACAGCGGATCCCTCACCACCCCTCCGTGCAGCGAGGGCGTCAACTGGAGGGTGTCCACCTCCAAGCTGAGCATCTCGCCTTCCTCCTTCATCAAGGCTCGGGACGTCATCGGGTTCAACTCGCGCTTCCCTCAGAACACGCCCGGCCAGCCGAACATCCTCATGATCTCTGCTTTGGGGGCCGCCGCCGCCGCGGTCTCGGCTGTCGGTGCGGGTGCTGCTTAACGTTCATGACGGGTCACGATTTTGTTTTGGGTACAGGTTTTTGGGCGGTTTGGAGCGGCTATTGTTTTGCATCAAAGATGGGAGCACAGGGGTAGAGTGGAAAGGGTCGAAAATAGATGAGACGGTGTTATTTTTGGGAGTTTTTTTTTTTATCATGCCGTCCCAAATGTGTTTTGGTGAAATGTGATGCTGTGTAACCTATCCTGTGTCAATCTTCCAGGAGAGTTCACTCCGTGCGGATAATGTGTCAAAATCTCCGACACATGACACACGAACTACTTACCCGGCAGACAGCTTCTAGACCGACAGCGGTTGTTAAACGGTCGTCAAGAGAGAAGCAGTCACATGTCGAACTTCCCCATTCGATTACATGATGGCGCGCATGGCCCGCAATGCATGATTGTAACGTTTGGCAGCAGCAGCATGTGCACAAGACATTTTCGTTCTGCCGTGCCCATCTACTGGGAGAGCCATGTCATGACAAGCTGTCAGGGTGGCAGTTGGACGCCACCACGAGAACCATGTGACAAGGGTTGGCAGGCACACCCGGCTCGGCGGGCTGGGCACCGAGCACTGCCGAATGGTGGGGCGCCGTTGCCCCGAGCCAAGATCTTGTGTCCGATATTGCTTCAAGCCACCCTCGACCAGCGCCCCGGATGGCAGCAAAGAAGTCTGGACCTGCTGGGAAGGTGACGCCGAGGACGAGAAATAAGTTGATAGGTAAGTATAACAAGACTCCCGTCAACGGTATATGCAATATACTGAAAACACGATATTAATTTGGGCGCATGAAGATATATCACGCAAGCAAGCAGCGTTGCTGCCCAAAAGTTGGCTCGCTTGCCAGCACAATATGTACTCTTTCCTCACTGCGCGCCGTCCACCAGCCCCCTTCTTTCTCTGGTGGACCGGTCCTGCCTGTCGCATTCTCTACGAAATCCCCCCATCTCTACGTGTCAATCATCCATTCCCCTGACTTTTTCCTCTTCCCAAAATCCCATGTCCGCCGCCCCCCTTCCCCCTTCCCCCGCAACCCCGCCGACCAAAAGCGGAGCACGGAGGGCGGAACTTGCGGGGAGCCGCACTGCCGGACCCCACTAGGCGCTCCGCTTTCCACCGTCATCACCGCAACCGCCACGCCTGAAAAAGCCACGATCATCGCTGTTATCCTTTTCAACGCCTTTACTTTTTTTCTTTTCCGTCTGATGAAACGACCATGACCACGTATACCATGTCAAACTGTGGATAATATGCACATAACCAAGAGAGCAAACGATGGGAGTCGACGCAGTGGAACTGTGATCCGAACACGTAAAAAAAATCCGAACCGTAAAAATCCCAACCCGTAAAAAATCCGAACTCGAATTTTTCGGGAAGGTTTGTGGATGTCTGCATGGGTTATCGCTGGTTGATTCAACTCCTTCGGTAAGTACATATCGCGGAGGCGGATGTCTCTTCCGTTGCGATGGGTTGACCCCGCTCGGCTGGTTGGCAAGGATGAAGGGCGGCCGTGAGATCGGGCTGGGATTTGTGACGATTGTCGAGGAGCATGAGACTGGATTTTCTTTGGGTCGGCTCCGGGAATGTTGGGATCGGGATGTGGGAAAGTGAAGTTTGTATCAAAGGAAAGCCGAGCCGATGAGGGTTGGCCGGTGGTCGGGCCGGCCGTCGAACTCGGTGTGGTGGCTGGCGGGCCGCCGGTGCTGGCGGTGCGGCGTGGAAGAGGAAGAATCCTGACGCTGGGAAACTGGAACCGAAGATGGAAGAGGAAGCAAGAATCGTACGATGAAGGATTGGGATATGTGTGGTGGGTGGTTGCGGCCCGGACAGGCGTGAGTGTGGCGTAGACGGTCTCGAGTCACGCTCATCGAGTTTGAGAGAGAGACGTTCTACAAAGACAATTTTGAAGTATAAAGTTACCTCAGTGAATAGATGAAAGTAGAAGAATTGTTTTTGAGGATTTGTTGAACAAGAGATGTTTCTATTTGCTGAAGGAAAGTGCGGGACCTGACTTCCCTGAGGTAGCTGACCCATCACGACATCTAGAAGAAGTGCTACCCTAGAGCCCCTGAAGAATTTCCTTTCACCTTTTCACCTAACTCATTACTTGCTGGGGTAATATGATATCCTTAAAAGTACCGCTAACAAGAAACGTGCTTGCTTATTTATCTCTTATGTCACGGTAAATACCTAGGTCGGTTTCTTGTTTGTGGTTTCATGTTTGTATATTTTACATTCAAGTTCTTTCCTTTGTGCCATCGTACCTAACTGTTATCGATATCTTGAACTGTTTCTAAGAATCAGATAGGAGTTCCTGATAACTCTTGGGTCACGAACCAGCCATGCCTTATGCACTCAAGCAGCCTGCCGCTGCCGCTATAATCGGGGCCACTAAACTTTGGTTCTCAAACTCCTGTCCACAGACGCCAAGCAGTTTTGAGTTCTTTGTCAAGCCAAGAATGAGGAGTAAGGTTGCATCAGAGTTCCTAGGTCTCTATTTCTAGCATCCGAAGGATCGAGTTTCAATGGAAGAGGTCCGGAAATGCACAGAAACTGGGGAAGCAACGCCTCGGGCTTTGCCAAGAAGCCATTCCCAGAACAAGTATCCCGAGGCTCTCCGCCCAGGGACTAGACAAAGCCGTGGATGAGACATAGAGCTTTTTGAACAATGTGCTCCGGGCCCTTAGCCGAGACAGGTCCCAAGAGAAGCGCCAAGGGCGCCACACTTCTGACAGGTGTCACTGAACGGTAGTGGGTGCAGATCCAAGTATTTCATGATGTATGGGTGAAGAGGCACTTTGTCTTATATGTATGGGGAATGGAAATCCTGCCGAACATGGTGATAAGCCTGACTCACAACGACTTGACCCCGTGAGGCGGAAGCTCAGCTTTTCCATCATTCACAGTCTCGGATGTCTGTACCATCGTCCATCGTCTAGGGCGCTTGCCTACATGATGTAAGGGTAAAAAGGGCGTAGAGATAGTTACATGAACCGATCTAGCCGACCACAACTCTTGGGAGCCTCCCGCCACACTCTATATCATTGTTCCATGGCCGATGTTACCTCATTGCTGAACATGACATCACAGTGGTCGACATTCGAGGAGAATTCCCCGTCGGTTGGACCCGAGGTGTCCGTTTGCGCTTGGAGCCTCCTCAGGGGTACTAGAATAGACGCGTGCAGCAAAAGTGAAGCGATTCGTAGGGTAGTACGAGGTGGCTCCGAAGGATTGCCAAGTCAACGACGTGCGTTGATCTATCGATATATCAAGTCGGTGTAAAGATTGTGGTCAGTTATGATGGTGAAGTTTGGTACAGGCACAAGGGTAACCGCGGAACCTCGAAGTTGCCTGCCACGGCAATAATGTTTGGGCATCAAGACGTCGCCTGATGCTTTTCTTGGCGGCTAAGATGCCGTGTCTACACGCAGCGAAGCCCGGATGCCAGACCGGATATGATGCTCCATTGGGTATTGGCACACGTGGGATGAGACAGTTTTCTCAATGGTCTTGATCTGGAAAACGTTAGTAGCCAAATTTCAAGCTGTGGAGGGCGTCTACAGCCGCGAGAAGCGTCGAAAAGGCCTGCCCACAGACCGGATAAGTAATGTAGGTACCCTTGGCCAGCTTTTCTGTGGAAGCCCAACATATCACGATTTCTCATAAAACCGGTCTGTCTTGCTTGTCAAGTCGATCAGAAGCCCGGTCTGGGTTCAAGACGTCTCGGCAATGTCGGAAGGCAGCCTGTCACTAGCGGCACAGGTCACACCATGTCTGAGTCAATTTCTGGATGGTAGGCAATCTGTCTGACCACTGGCAGCTAGCTAGTTAATGAGCCCAATGCAAGCCATCGCGCGGCGGCCCGGCTCACTCCCGAAACCCTAGAAAGGCCTAAGGATCAGGGCCCGCATGGTGATAGCAGGCGCAGGGTTGGATCGCTTGTTGACGGTCTTGGCAGTCAAGTCTGCGATGCTGTATGGTGGGATGATGACGAACGGGAGGGGAAGAGAAGAGGGGCCCAGAGGGGTCTGGACGGTGTGTGAAAGGGCGGGAGTTGTGACGGGAAGTGGTGGAGGTGCCAAAAATGCCAAAAAATTGCCAGCCCTGACCTGGACAGACCCAAGTACCGGCGGCCCAATCGACCAGAGAAGAGCTGTGATGCTGCAGCACACTACCTACGTGCTGCGTGGCATCTCACCAGATGGGCAACCCGGACGCAACTCATTGGAGTCTACCATCTTCCACCCCCACCGGCCACCTCACGCTTTTCCTTTCTTTCTCATCGAGATGCAAGCTTTTCACACCGGTGCGGGACTGATGTGACTCTCTCGACGCACCTGGTCATTTATTACCGCAACAGGTCAAGAAACATCGTCAACCATCTTTAAGTTTTGGTGTGAGGATATGTCTTATCTCACACACTGCCGATGGCACAGACCTCATCCAGGCACGCAAGATGGCTTTGTCTAACCATGCCATGGCCCTGACTGGAGCTTGGCTGCTAGTCCTCGGTCTTGTCCACACACCCACAAAGCCCAACCCTCCAATGACAGACCCGGAGCTCCTTGAGCCCAACCAACAGAGATCTCACGATGGCTCTCGACTGACCCTGGGCTCCATGACTCGGTTGTCTCAACTTCTGGCAGTTTTGGAATACCCTTTCTTCTCTCGGGCCAAAGGCAGAGGAGAAAATCAGAAGCAGTGACCTGCCTGATCTTTCAGATGTCTATAAAAATGCACACAGAGCCCATCTCGACAAGTGCACATTTTGCTGTTCTTGTGTAACAAACACCAAACACTTGTTCCCACCACACGATCACCTACCACCTGCTTTCTCACGTCAGATCCCAAATCTCAAGCCAACCATTCACCAGCTACCAACAACTCCTTGGCTCATCATGTTGCCCCTCCAGTTCTCGCCTCTTCTCTCTGACCAAGACTTTGTGTTTGGTCCTGGCCCCCTCAGCTCCCAAGGGGAAGGCATCAGAACTTTACCGGTAAGTCTGGCAACGAAGGAACAACATCTAAAACTAACGCGACATCAGATTCCAGGAGTTCTTTGTCCAACATGCGCCGCCAACGGCAGCGAGGTCTGGGTCATCCCGGGGCGGCAGTGCGGCTACTGCCGCACCCCTGCCCCTGATGAAGATTCCTGCGATGGTGACCACGACCATTGATTAGCTCTCGAAACCTACGACAATATCGATACCCTTTTTTCAACATGGCGAAGAGGAGTTGGCGGTTCTTTATGCGTTTTCAGTTGGGGGTTTTACACACTCGTTGGGCTCGTCACGTTTTCACCTATTTCAATGACCATCGAATTTTCTCGCTCACTTTGGTTTATGTTCGGCTCGGATGCTCTTTACTGCAGGGCAACGTGGGGCTTTGTGAGGTGTCATACTCGACCGCCGTCTTCACCTTCCTTGTAGGCGAGCATCTCCTCGGCGGTACCTCAATAGACTGCAAAGTGCGGTTTTGTCTTGAGCACGAGTGCTGCCAACCATCGTTCCTGTTTCTGTAGCTCGGAGCTGCCGGTTGGTCCGGAACAGGGCCCCGCAGAAATGCATGCCACCGCATCTCTGCGGCACTGGCATGTCATCAATATCACGGGCTTCGTCCAAGTATTCCAAGTGCAGGGGGACTCGCTGCGGTGCTGCTGCTATTATTACCTAACCCTTCGGTGAACTACCTGTATGCTGTGAGACCACCATGTTATTCCTCTCACTTGTGAGCCAAATCCGATCAACATCACACCTTCGCAGACCTAGCTATCAGCATTCTACCCGGTAGGTACTCATACTTGATAGACAAATCACGAGTTTCCTATAACGATGTATCACAAAACCAACAGCTTTTCATCTTGGAAAAACGCTACAATACGTCAGAATGAGAGCACTTGGCCCAACAACACCATGAAACCGGGCTGAACGCCATGAGCTCCGATTTGATGTACCAAACAATCGAACGTTTACTCTGGCTTCTCTCTCTCCGGTCTCTGTCACAAGTAGCGGTCAGCATACCAGATTGCTTACCTCATGACGATTGGGATGACACTGCAACAAATCGACGGCCGCATTGTCCCCTGCATCGTAGCATTGGTGCTGCCGGCCGCGAGAACGTGGCGGGGATGATCGGAAGTTGAGCTCCGGCGCCGAGCCGCTCTTGATGCAGGGCTCATGTTCCATGACCTCTGGGACGGATCGGACTGTCTGGCTTTTACCTATACCACCAAAGTTCACACAAGCTAGGTTTCTTTCTGGAAACTCTTTCGACTTTCGCAAGATCTTTATACTGTCCCACCTAAGCACTTGACCACCCATCTCCTTCAAACACTCTCGCATACCATATATTGGCTTACTACCTCAGGGTAAAATACCTAGGTACAGTGTTGTTGTTTGCTGGAAACCTACTCACCAGCCCACAACTGCCCGCATGCTGCAAGTCAGCAGCATGCTTCCAAGCACGCGAGATTTCACCAGTTGAATGTGAACCGGATACAGCAACAAACGAATCTGAATTCTGACAAGAAGAATAAAGTAGGTATCATGATGTTCCACCCTGCTGTTCAAATGTCCCCCAAAACGCCCGAATATGCCTGTGGAGATCAAGCCTGATATGACAGCCCCAATGAAAAGTATTAGCCAAGTTTGTCTACCACAACCGTAAGATCAGCATGCAAAGCCAACCCCTTCTCAGTTCGGTGTGACCACAACCACCTCAACCCCCTTCTTCCCCCCCTCCTCAACCACCGCCGTCTCCCCGCTCAGCCCCGAAGACAACGAATTCCTCTCCGACCTTTCCCCATCACCAGCCAAACACACCTCCACCATAGCCCCAAACACCGGTCCCCACCCCCACTCCCCATCCAACCTCTCCAGCCGTTCTCTCACCCCCCTGCCTACCCCCCTCCCCCCCTCCCTCAAACCCGCCTGCCTAAGCACGCCCCAACTACAGCTACATGCCCCCTCCTCCCATGCCCGTTCTCCAAGTGTTTCACCACCCTCCCCAGCACATCCCCCACCACCTCCGCCTTCTCCCCCTCCTTCATATACCCCATCAGCAACTCCATCAAGCCAACATCATACCCGTACTCGGCCGCCCAATGAAGCGGCGTCTTGCCTTGCCGATCCCTCGCCAGCGGATCAGCGCCATACTCGAGCAACACAGTCGCGCAGGCGGTGTCAGTGTGGGCAGCCCAGTGTAGCGGGCTGACTGACGGACCGTTCTTGCCCGTCGACAAAGGGTTGGGATTTGCGTTGCCGTAGCCCAGCAGAAATGACAGGGCAGTTGGGTTGGAGCACAATGTGGCGATGTGAAGAGCTGTCTGTCTGGTTGTTTTCCCGGTGGATGTCCCCCCTAGGGGTGATGGGATGGGTAGGTCAGCGGCTGCTCCCTTGTCGAGGAGGAGCTTGAGGATGGCCTCGGTTTGCTCAGGTGATAGGGAGTTGAGAGAGCAAGCTACGCTTAGCGGGGTGGAGGGATCTGACGGCCCGGTGGAGGGGAGGTTAGGGTTGGCGCCGCTTTCGAGGAGGAACTTGACAAAGGCTAGGTGGGCTTTTGGCCGGGTCTTTGCTAATGGGGAGCGGAGGGCGCAGATCAGGGGGGTGAAGCCGAGGTGGTTGGGGCTGTTGATGGGGATTTTGTGGCCGTGGAGGTAGGTGAACACCCTGGGAGCGTCGAGCTCGGAGCAGCCGTTGCAGAGGTCGGCGAGGTGTTGGACGGAGATGATGTTGGGATGGTGGGCCTGTTTCCCACCGAGGTTGGATGGAGTTAGAGAGGAGAGGAGGCGGGTGAGAAGAATGGATGACCGGGAACGCTTGTGGGATGGCTTCTTGGCCTTGGTTGAGACCGTGGAGATGGATACCTCTGCTTCAAGCTTGAGACGAGCCCGATACGTGGTCGAGAGTGTGGTGATGGTGTTGGCGAGGGCCTCATCCTGACGCTCGCGCTCGACCTCGTCTTGGGTGCAACGGCAACGGGGGGTGTGCACCCATATTGATGGGGTCGCAAGTTTGTTGCTCCGACTTGGTTTGATGATCTCACGACAGTTATATTGACGAGGAACTCTGGTCTTTGGTTGCCATCCCATTCTCACAAATGGTTCTGGGATGGGCTTGGAGGTGTAGTAGTGGAGCCCCGTGGGGGACTGGGTCCTTGGTGAAGACCAAGGGGACTCGTCCCATGGCTGCTGTTGTTGCCTGACGGTGAGTGCTGATGGTTCTGGCATGGTTTTGTTCTGGTACCTTATCTGGCCTGTCCTTTCCGAACAGACACTGCCCTGGAAGAGGAGGGCAATCTCTCAGGTATATACCCCTCGATCAGCATCGTGCATCCCTTCCTTCTTGCCGGAGTATTAAATTCCGCCATTGTTCGACATGTCCAAAGCCACACACTACCCGCCAATAATTAGACTTGGCGCACAGCTACCAAAGCGCTGGGACACGTCGTTCGGCGGTTGGTTTTGGGCACCGATCACGCTCGCCGAGCCATTAACATGGCTCAGCTCTACCCTGCTGTAACACTCTCTCAGGCCCCAGCTGAGAGGCAGCCAGCCCTCCACTCCCCAAAAGAGGAAATGGCTGCGAAACCTGGCCGCCACATGTCGCTTTTGCACACCTGAGAACTTTTGAGAAGACAATAATTGCCCTTCTATTCCAGTGACAACTCATCTTACACCAAACTCAGCCTGAGCCAGCCCTTCTCTGAATGGCAATGTTGAACTGGCCGCAGTTGATGATTTTTCCTCAGGGTTCCCTTCATGCCTGCTAGCGCCCTGGGTAAGGGTTAAACTAACCACTTCCCACCCCCTCCATTCCTCCCGTCTCTCTGCCTCCCGCCCATGCCCAGCAACACAAGGAAAAAAAACTTTATCTTGATCGCTACCGCACAGTCCCGTAGTCCCTTGCCTCTCTCTGTCTCAACAGACACGCAAACTCTTTTCTTCTCCTTGCCAGCCCCGCGAGGCCATACCGCTCTTCTCCGAAACCCTTTGCGTGACGGAAATTGTGGTCGGGGTGACGCGGGACATCCGATGACGCACGCACTCCCGCAACAGCAACAGTGATCAAAGTCAGCTGAGCTGAGAGCAAGTCGGACGAAAAAAGAGATGTTGTGGTAAAGTCTCGGACCGGGCCGTCAGTGATCAACGACGTTTTCTTCTGCTTTTCGGTGAAACATTACCCAACGTTTAGCGCACACCGACGGCACCGACGGCACGCACCACACCGCTGCCAGCAAAAAGTCACTGTGCACCAAAAGTGATGCAAAAGTGTACTCTCCCGCCGGGAATTGAACCCGGGTCTCGAGCGTTGTTAGTAATGACAAGCTCACATACTGACCACTATACTACGGAAGATTTGCAGGTGTGGGCACCTGTCGTAGGCTGTGGATTGGTTGGAAGCAGCTGCGGGAAAACTCCTCATATGGGTGGCTTGAATGGGAAACGCAGCGGAGTTTATGATATCTTCGCTGTTTCCTTGTTAACGGCCTCTTGGCCCAGCAAGTGGAGTCCTCACCGTCGAAAAGGAGAATGGCAACACCCGCCCCTGAATCACCCGCCGCATGGGGGAAAACAGCATATGACGAACTGACGCTCCTCAATGACGACGCGCCCCATCACAAACACCTCTACAAACATCCACCGAGACAAGCCTCCAGCTGTTAACCCGAACACCCGAATCCAAAACCCGCAGGCTCAACTCCCACCCAACTCCCTCACCCTCCCAAATGCCTCCAGTATCCCCCTCGCCAACTCCCCATAAGCAAACTCAATCCCCCCCTCCCTCACCTCCTCCTCAGTTGCCCACCTCCAATCCCTATGCTCCCTCTCCTCCAGCCTCACCACCGGCAGCCCCTCTTCCCCCCCGACGATCCTCACCAAAAACACCACCTTCCTCCACCACAACCCCGTCTTTGGCTCCTCCCACTCCGTGAAACCACCCCCCACAGTCCCCAGGATGTCCTTTTCGGGATCAACATCAAGCCCGGTCTCTTCTTTTACTTCCCTCGCCGCAGCTGACAGGATCGACGCGTCAAAGTCTTCTATGCCGCCTCCGGGCGTCTCCCATTTGAGGGGGAAGCCATCTTTCAGCGCGCGCTGGATGATGAGTGTACGGGCGACGTTTGTGGGAGAGGTGTGGATGATGACTGCCGAGACGACGAGGCCGCCGGTGATGGAGGGGTGTTTGGGAAGGTAGGTTGAAAGGGGCTGGTGGTATTCTTCCATGGTGTTGCAGGTGTTGGCGGGTTGGGTTTCGAGCTATAAATTGGTAGCTGAGTTGACTTCACGTGGCGCTGATGGGTGCTTGACTTCTACGGCGAAATCTCGTATTATTTGTCCCCTCCTTTTGAGGCTCTTTGAGACCAAACCGATGAAAATGCCGCGTCATCAAAAGTGACGTAAGGTTGTACGTACTGAGGTTAGGCAGACGTCGCGGGGATGGGTAAACTGACAAGCCACCTTCATCGCTGCCTGGAGATGCCAAATAAGCGCGGAGGAATACAGTAACCCAACACGACGCAAGCTGGCTCAAAATTGGAAAAATAGTGATATTGACAAGCTCTGTGAGTAGATCTTCAGTCTTTAGATCTTTGCATCCTTCGTCGTCAGACAGCATCCACAAATGAACAGCCAGTCTCGCAACTCCTTCCCCTCCACAAACCACCCGTCCAAGGTTTACCTTACTTGTAAGTGACGGGCATGCCACCGGGAAGCTCCGAAAGCCCTAAGAAAAGACACGTCAGTACCCATGCTATTAACCCCTAGCAAGGTTAAACTTACAGCCCTCGGTCTCTTCCGCAATCGTCTGCTGCTTCAAGCAAGCAACGGCTTGCTCGGCACTCTGAGTCTTGAGCTGACTGCACCTATCGCCGCTGCACCTGGCATCAAGCGCACGTTGCAAGGAATCGCCCTTCCAGCCAAAGACGTAGTCACCGTGCTGGCCATAACCGGTACTGGAGTTTTTATTAGCTGGATGTGTGACACAGGAGACAGGAAAGGGGATGCCTACCCGTCACCCATCGAGTACACAAGAGGTTGCCCCTTCTCAGGCCAGATGCTCTTATCGTTGAATGGTCTGGTATCCCACATAACCTCGTACATCAACTGCGGTAAGCGGACAGGATGGCTAGCGGGGCATGGTCCGGTCGACTCGAAAGAACCCGTCTGGGGATAAGAGACGTGGGACTTGTGGTCCGGGCTGTCAACATTCTTGCCATCCCAGCAGCTATTTCCGCCTGTTAGCAAAGCTGCTCCCATAAAGAGATGTAACCAAGACCATCACTCACGTGGGGAATGTGATGGTAGTCCTGATACCGCCAGGGCAAATCTTGTTGGGGAAGGAGGCGGTGTCTTCGCCCGTGCAGGGCGCGCCACCGAAGGGGTTCTGCTCAATGTTGTGTTCGCAGCGGTGGCAGATCTGCTTTTGCATGCCGCGCTGGTTGCGGAGGCTGGGGTCACCGACAAGCATGCGGAAGCCCTGGCATGAACATTAGCACCGATCCACATATCCAGCAACCAAATAAAACACCTACTGGCTTGAAGGCTGTGACCTTCGTCTTGCCATCGTACGGTGGGATGTAGTAGACTGTCACGCCACCCTTGCCCCTGAGCCCCAGGTTGACCATCTGTGGCACACGCTTGAAGCTACCGTTCTTGGCCTTGAAGTATACGTTGGCCGTCCAGTAGTTGGAAAAGTCCTCCGAGAAGGAGCAGGTCGTGCATGTTGACTGCGTGGAAGGATCGTACTCTCCTGGAGGCATGCTGGCGTTGAACGAGTTACCTCCCACGATCTGGTGCAGATGAGGAGACTGCAACGCGCCAGGATTGACGAGAGGATCGAGACGCTCAATGACCAGTTGACTGCACTGGAAGCGCATCATGGCGGCCTGGCCGGAGACATGGCGCACCCAGAGGGCAGCCGCCGTAGCGAGAAGGGAGGACTTCATCCTGGTTCGAGATGGCGGTACTCGTCTCTGGCTGGAAAGAAAAAGCAGAACTTTGCAGACGTAAACCGAAGAGGGGTGTTATATGCCAAGTTGGCCGCGGCTGGCTGTTGACTTATATCTCATTTCACACACTCCCATCCATTCACATACCGTTGCCGAACTCCGTGAGAGATAGACTGAAGTACCGCCCCGGACCAAACTGCCGTATATTGGAGCCAATCTTGACTGGATATATCCCGTGTGGGTAAACTGCCTTTGTTGTCAATCTGCCGCGTCTCGCCGACTTTGCTGGCCGTGCCGCACCTATTGGAGAAGCAGGATGAGGAGCAATATAAACCCAAATGAACATTTGCGCGGACCCCACTTTCGACTTCATCTTTTTGACAGGACCATAACCAGCGATTGGTGCCTGTCAATGATCGTTCACTCTTTTCAGACAGCTTGGTGGCATTGCCACATGGACCTGGGTCCCTGTCTGGTATTTCCAAACCCTGAAGGCGAATTCACAGGACCTGGTAGTCCCACTCTCGGCAAGCCTCCCGGATGCTGGTGGCGTCTGTTGGTTCACGGTAGTTGGCGTGTCATCGCACAAGCAAAGAGCTTATCTCAACCTCAAGTTACAGCAGATGACACCGATTTGCTATTAATAAGTCGAGCATGGATATCTCGGCAGTCTTGTCATCTCGTGTGAATGCTGCCTCGTTCTGGGCGGGTTCGGATCGTGGGTTCGCTTCTGCATCTTGTATGCAGTTGTGTCTGAGAGGGGAAAGATCATCGGGTTTTCAAAGTCTGCGCTATCGCCGGGCTTGCGGCGTCATACTAGCTTTCTGGGATGTCCCTATAAGTGGCTGAGGTATCGTCCTCGCCGAGCAAAGCAGAATTGGCTCTTGGTCTGCAGCGAGCCTATTAATAAACGCTCATCGGCGAGTTCTTCTGATGCCTAGCTGGTGAGCTTACCTCTTGAGTTTCCTTTCCGCAATCCGCAAAGCAATACACATGACAATGACCAACAACCAAAAGACGATCGAGAGCTGCCAGGCATATGCATCTACGCCATTGCTGTTAGCACTGGGCTTGAGGTACCTAAGTCGGGGATCAACCATACAATACGGCGCCTGCGAAGCCGGCCAGATGAGAACCTGGGACCATGACAGCACAGCATAAACACCAGCAATCGAATACCCAATAATCAGTGTGCGAGCTTCGGAGTCCTGAGGAAGCCTGTTTGCTAGTCAGCACGTGACCCAGTCTCTTCCCAATTAGACAACACCAACAGCTCAGACAGCCAGGACATGACCAACGGTGCAGTTCCTAGACTTAGATAGGTCATCAGGTAACTAGCATAGGCTGATGATAATGGTGTTGTATCCGGATGTGAGGTCCACACACTCATAATCGTGCAAGGGATTAGTCCGATGATAGCTTGGGCGACGACAAGAGTCCATCTTGTTTGAAATACATCGGACAGGATTGCCCATATCCAGACTGATTAAAGTCAGCATGACGATGACAGCCCCGCACACAAGAATCGAGAGACTCACCGCACACGATATTGATAGCTCCTCCGGCGATGGGAATTGCATTTACCTCCTCTGTGGTCCATGTCGGTGTCCCGTCAGGGTTTTTCAAGCTCTTGAGAAACAGGTTGAAGTAGTTGTATCCGTACGGAGCCAAAACAGTGGCGATGTAAAGGGCAGGAATGAAGTAGGCAATCCACATAGAGAAGGTCCGTTTGGCACTGTCCCAGGTGATGCGCTTGGTGTCAGACCGGCCATGCCGATCGAGGCGCACAGTGGCCATGGCAGCATGGTCAGCGCTGAGCCAGAATGCTCCGGGGTTTGGCAGCTTTGGGTAGTCAGGGATCATGAAGAAGCCGGCGAGACCAATGGCCAAAGTCATGATGCCGTTGATAATAAAGAGCCAGCTGTTGTTGGTTAGTACGCGACATCTGTGAGAAAATAGTCAGACATACCGCCATCCCCGAAGGCCCCAGGTCCCCTCTAGTGTCTCGAGAATTGCTACCTGGAGGGCTCCAGACATCATCGATCCAAGGGCTTGGCATGAGTGGTAGAACCCCATGCGTTTTGCAAGCTCCATCGGTGTGTACCAGTACACTGCAGACGTGTTAGTAAAGCGCCCCATGGGGTAAGACTGAGTGCTCACGCACTGAAGAGGGTCATCATCCCCGGCCACGCACTGCTCTCAAAGAGACCAAGCAAGACTCTCAGTGCATAAACTTGACGGGCATTTTGAGTGAAGGCGATGAAGGCGGTGACAAAGCCCCAGCCAATTTCCAGTCCCGGCAACCAGTAACTTGGACGTACGTAGGTAATGATGACTTGGGATGGGATAAGCATGAGGCAATATGAGATGCTGAAGAAGGTGGTGAAGCTGTGGGCGGCCAGGACATTAGTTTTCCATCTTCCTGGACCGGAGATGGTGGAGCATGACGTACTAGTTGAGTTCATCACCATACAGCTCGAGATCTTCCTTCATGCCGGAGACATATGCCGAGCTGATGTTTGTTTGGTCAAGATATCTGTGTGATTGTCAACTTGAATCCTTGCATTGGTCATATTTCGGTTACCCCATTGCTCACTTTATTACTTGACGAAAGCCGGTCAGAACGATGCGGTATAGCTCTCATGGCATGGCACTCACCCTGAGATATGCACCCAAATGTCATCAAAAAGATATCCAGCCGCCGAACCAAGTCTTGCTCCAGTGGGGAGCTCTTGACGCTGGTCGTCGGTGGCGGCCAAAAAGCGACCCTCTGTGTAGCTTTTCCCAGCCATGACAGTTGCCCATTGCCGCCGACAGTCTCGCTGCTCTCGTTCAAGGAGACAGTGTCGTTGTGGTCACTGTCGTGGTGGGGGTCTTGTGGCGCATCGCGAGCTGATAAGGCGCGATAGCGCGCGGCTGATGATGACATATTCGGCAATCCAAAACAATAAGAGATACTCACTGAACAAGTATCATCTCGTAAGCGAAGTGAAATCACAGCTTTACTCCTTCCAACACAGAGTTAGTTGTTGAAACGACAAATTCGCGTTGTTTGATGGAATGAATGTCTTGAACTTATCGCTAGTCAGATGACAGATGATAGCGCCCCACCACCGCCAGCTGCGAGCGGCTATCCGCGGCTGGCAGCGCACGCCAAAAGCCCCTGAACGAATCCCTAAACGATTCACTTCCTCCATTTTTTATCTACCATCGGCACGACTAGGTAGATAATCCCCCCGTCTCACCCCCTCAAATCCCCCACCAACCTCTCCAGCACCGTATCAGTAAAAATCCACAAACTCGTACTCAAATGCACCCCCAAACTCGCCCCCGTATACCACGTCCCCCTCCTCCCCTGCAGCCCATTCAACCGTTGGATGAACCCGCCCTCCAGCTTCTCCTTCGTGACATACGCACTCACCAACCCATGCGGCTCAAACATGTGGAACGTCAACCTCTGCGCAGGACTCGTCTGGTTCACCACCCCGCCCTCCACCAGCTTGTCAAACGAGTCCTCAATCACCTTCTTGGCCTGGGCAGCAGTGAACGTCTGGTCGCCCACAGCAATGAGCCGGAAGTAGGACGAGTCGGCGTAGTTCTCGAAGCGGGTGTTGTAGGGGTAATCGGGAATCGCCTCGGGCCAGTTGGCTGGCTGGGCCGAGGCGGGAATATTGACGAGGGATTTGTTGAGGGGTAAAGAAGGGTGAGAGACAACTCCGACGTAGCTGGCGCTGTAGTTAAACTCGCCGAGCGTGGACCTTTCCTCACGGTCGAGGTCAAGAGGCGAGGTGTTTGCCTCGCTGGGGATGGCTGTGTAGAGCAGTCTTTTGGCGACGATCCTCGTCTTGACACCAGTGGCAGAGTTTCTCACGATCAAAGTCACGCCCTTGCGGGAGGAGCGCTCCTCGGTGGATATCACCGTGGTGGATGTCAAGGCGTCAGCGCCGAGGGAGGTGAGGATACGGTCGTAGAGGTCTTGGTTCTTGCGGGAGACGGGTACGATGCTGGTTTCGATGCCCAACAGGACCCGGACGAGGTTGACGTTGAAGGAGCGCATGAACCAGACCGTCAAGTGACCCATCATGTCATGGATACCAAAGCCGGTCGTGGCGTGGAACATGGGTACAGCAGCCGTCAGGTTGTATTTGGCAACAAAGTCGCGGAATGGCAGCAGCAGATCGGCTGGGATGTCTTGTGGCAGGGGGAATGTCCACCATCCAGGCTCCAATACTGGGAGGAAGGACTCGGCGACTTCGAGATACCTCTGCAGCGCAGCGGTTCTATCAGCTGCAGACGGCGGGCTGTAATTGGTCAACTTCTCGCCGTTGGTGAAGTCGATAGACACTGTCTCGGCTGTCGATCGAACATTGGGCTGCATTTCGACTCCGAATCTTTCAAAGAAAGCTCGTGCTCCACCAATCTCGATCCAGTTTTGGACTCCGCAATCAAAGCCACGCCCTGTTACAGGATCAATGAATGTGTTGACATGTCCTCCCTAAGGTATGGTAAACTTCTCGTCAGCGCCGTCAGTGAGTCGAGGACGATGAAACTTACAAGATTGGAGTTCTTCTCAATAACAACCACACTGACGTTGTAATCTTCCCTCAGCCTAACAGCTGAGTAAGAGCCTGAAGCACCACCCCCGATGATAGCAACATCTTTGTAGATGGTCCGGATACGATCATTGCCCTTGCCCTTGCCTTTGCCTTTCCCATCGGCCAAAGTGAGCACGAAACCACTCAAGGCCACAGTAGCAAGAACCGTGCTCCGCATTTTGACGACGAGATGACAGGAAACAATAAAAAGTCCCAGTCCCAGTCGGAGATTCATCAAGTACCTATTTATCCTGCAGAAACATGGGACTCCCCGCAGCGGGAGAATCCCACCACCCGACCACGTAACTCTCCAATGCAAGGGCCATCTTACTTTTCTCGGGCACCTGTCGTGTAACCATAAAGTAGAGTGAGCTACCACACCTGCTGGACAGCTCTGTCAAATTTGCTGACCAACATGCGATGAGTTTGTTGGTTCTGCCTTGGTGTAAGGTACCAAGCGTGCGAATGAGGGTCGGCAATCCAGTGCCCTAATGTAAGCCAAGGCGGTAACGAGGCAGACGTGGCGTGCAATAATGCAGTGCAAGCAGATTGTTGTTTTGACTCCAAGCTAAAGAGGCGGCTTTTCCACAACCATCGACAATGAGAGTGGAAAAAGGATGATCGATTAGATTGTAGGGAAAACAATATCTCAACTACGCTAATCAGTACGTCTGCAACCTCAATTGGCAATCCCCTCATCAAACTCAAGAGAAACAAGGAAGGACAACCGTGGACCAAGAATCCTGGTCACTGATTATGTCCTTTAGAGCCCTTGCAAAACTCGCCGTAACCGTCGCCTCTTCACAGTTTCCCTTCACATCATGGATTGTAGCCATCTCTCATGAGTCCTCTGGCCAACACTCTTAAGCCAGCCTGCTGTTTTTACGGCAGACAAAGCGGCCAAGGTGAGGTACTCCTCGCGGTCCGTCATCAGCTTTTCCAAAGCCTCCTCCCAAGGTCCAATATCTTGATCTGGAATGATGTAGTCCCCATTCTCATCTCGCTGATGACCGGTGACAGGGTTGATGGGAATGATGGGAGGGACGTTGACCTTGGCCTCAGGGAGCCCGCCAGAATTGGAAGCAATGACAGGTATACCACGAAGCTGCGCCTCCGTGACAATAAGCCCCCAGGCTTCGTGCCAGATAGATGGGGCGAGAAGAATCTTGATGCGGTCCCAAATGTCGTCGGTGTTCGGGGTAGTCGCCTCGATGCTGTCATCCATGGGTTAGTGTCATGCACTCCACCGCACAGTAGCTAAAGAAAAAACACACCGGATATTGGGATAAGCCTTTATTCTCTCAATGTGTCGAGGTTTGGACCCCCAGCTAGTCCATGTGACAAACTTCATGTGTGGGAACTTGGCAGCTAGGCCAAGCACAATATCCAAGCCTTTGATGGGGGCCGGGTTGACCATACCAATCTCCTCCTTGTCGACATTGTTTCGAATAGCCGGCATCCTACCAGTGTCAACATCGAGAAAAGTCCAAGGTGTGTGCGCCAGAAACTTGGTCTGAAGCCTGCCATGCTCCCATGCGTAACGTTGAATGGCCTTGGACACGGACCAGACCCCGTCCAACTTGCGCAGCATTTCATTTTCCACCTTGGCGGAGATACAGTGGCCCTCTACACCTGCACAGTAGGGACCAAAAGGAACTTGTTCCGCCGAGTGCACAATACACACCCGTTTGAACGTCTCCCGAAGAGCATGACCAGCTGTGAGCTTCATGGTGAGGGAATCGTTGAAAAGAACGTGGGTAGGTCTGAAGTCGGTTATAGCTCTGGAGTATACTCCAGTAAGGCCCTTGATGCGGCTGCTGAGATCATCGTTCTACAGTTGAGCACAAAGGGCAGTTAGCTTCAGGGTAGCAACAAGAGACAGTGAGAGGAGCCCTACTTCCAAATACGCCCGCGATTCCACCTAGAACTCGCCGGCTGGATAGGCAGCTTTGAACTCATGACGCGCAATGGTGGTGTTGAGTATCCCCCACTCGTCGGTAAACTCGTTGATATGGAGCTTGTGCTCCTGGTTCTTGCCATCGGTGACAATGACAGGTTCCAAGCCTATCACGCCAGGATAGACTCCCTTGGCCTTGGCTCTCCTAGCATATTTATCGAGCTCCTCGGGGAAGGCATAGCAGACCTGGGCAGTGGCATGGCCCAGCCTGCTCAGGTTGCGTAGGAGACAGACATTCGCCTTGTAGCCGCCCGAAGAAGGAGTCAGGCCATGAGCCGTCTGGACAAGCAGCAAGCGCATTCTCGGACCGCCCCCGGGGGTATATCCTTCAAGTTGAAGCTGAGGATAATGCATCTGGGCTGATGGGTGTCGTTGAGAATGCGTGGTATAGAAGGTATAAGACGAAACTGCCGCAAAGCGATGAGGTCGAAGACAGGGTTGTCGATCGAGAGAAGAGTTGATATCCAATGCTGAAATAGGTCAAAGACGGTCTTTTATATAGGAAAAGAGAAGAGGCGGGCTACATGACGTTCTGGTCACCGGTTGAGCGAGTTATTTTCCAAGAACTCGAATCCAGATGCTGGTGACCAGAAGGGAGCAAGACAGGGCTGCACGAGATCGTCGTGCAATGTCCTCGTTTGTCCGTTTTACGTGGAGTTTGATTTCGTGACACTTTTGGTAAATTGAATAACGATAACTAGTGCCAAGAAAAGCGCGCAAAAGGAAATTGAAGGACGATACCGTGATGCCGTCGTCAAAGCCGTCGGGGATTTGGTTGGGTGGTGGGTTGTATTTGGGTCAGGTGGGCAAGAAACTGATGGGGTCTGCAAACAGACAGCTTGACCCTCTGCCTTCCCCCTGTGCAAGAGGAAGGAACGAATGATGACCTCTCCGGGGACTCGGTCAGTGGAAACCGGAAATCATAAAGTTCCTGCTCCGATTCGCAAGCCGCCAGATAAGCCGTACCTTCCTCTGATTCAAGGTAGATCACGAGCCCATGTGAAACATGCGAGTATTTTATTTAAACACCACATAATGTAGAGATACCCTTTAATACGCCCAATGGTGTTTCATTTGAACCCGGGTTTCTCTCAAGGACGCAACAGACCCCACCGTAGATTTGGTAGAGTGCCACCTGCCATCCACTATGCAAACAAACTGGGCACGACATAATTCATCTCAAATACCTATTATCGTCCATGCTTTTCAATGGCATTTTGGCTCATCGGCCTTCATGAGGGCAGTTGAAACTGACAATCACTGCTGCAACAACACCGGAGAAACATTCACACCCGAAACTATTGGAGGGCCTGGCAGGTTCAGGGGCATGAACCTCTCGTATTAATGACGAACACCACCCTCGGACCCTCCCGCCGTCAATAGCCAGTGCACACCAACACCCATGACGTTGATTCTGTGGCTTGTGACCCTTCTCTGTGTGTTTTGTCCAACACGGACACATCTGTGCGCCCACCCATCCCCGGATCATGATGACATACCGGCCTCTGCAAACAAAACCACTGCCCTTTCCGCTCTTCCGCTCTCAACCTCTCATTTCCTTGCAACCTTACCTTACACTTTTGGTTTTTGACAACTTTCCCATGTCCTATACAGCATCAGCCAAGCAAATCGGCGACAAAGTAAACATGTCCTACGCCGGAAACTCCAAGGTTGGGTTCCCTAACATCTATGAGGACTCCAACCAGAAGAACATCAAGAAATCCGAGATTGACGAGATGACGAGGCACTCGGGGGAGAATGTCAAGGGTTTCATGCCAAGTATTCCCAACATTTCCGTCTTCTCCGCCATGCACACTGACATATATGCTCCAGAGGATCAACCTGGCGAGGTGAACAGATTGTACGAGGAGAAGGTATGACACGATCCATTGTTGCCCAGCCAGAGTTATACTGACAAGGTCTGCTCCACAGTTCAAGAGAGAGAGGGCCGACGCCCTAAAGAATGACCCAACCTTAGCGGTACCTTGACTTGCCCCTTATCACTCGACGCGGATTGGACTGACAACAGTTGCCAGGCGACCCTCAACAACAACAAGCCTTCGAAAGGTGCGATAATTGACAAGGAGATTGAGGAAGAAGAGCGGGCGATGCTTGAGAAGAAGAAGGGCAAGGGCATGACAGGGGAGAGCCACTACTAGCAAGCATCCCGACTCCAATCTAGAATAGCCATCTATCTAGTCGCCATCCAGCTCCCACAATTCATCCATGCTCTCTGACAGCTTCTCGGGGTTATTGTAGTCAAAGAACCAATCATTCATGATGTGCTCCCAGTCGAGGATCTCACTTCTTGGTGAGTCGTGTAAAATAGCCTCAAGTCGATGGTGGGGTAGCCGGTGGCCATCTCTGCAAATGGCCGCGGAATCTCTGCGACGGTTGACGGGGAATTCATTGCGCGTGGTGTAATTATCATCAAATGACCACTGATCGATCATCTGGGCCACCTGTATATTTCTTTGGTAAGTCTGATGTGGCCACTTCCTCCTGTTGCTGCCCAAGTTCTTGATCCTCCTTTTCTTCGAACTCGCACAACTCATCAGGTTGGTAACCCCGTTCCACCGCCCCCTGATAACCCTTGTCCTCCATCCATTCCTTGATCTTCTTCACTGGACCAACAAAAGGTAGCAGAAAGGCGCCCAGTAGATCATAATCGGACCAACTCTGCTTTTTAGCTGTGATCCCTGGTGGGTTGGTGGTAAGAAAGTGCGTGCATCCAACTCGCGCACATTGACACCGAGTCTGGCCCAAACCAGCCACCCCCGACGACAACATTCCCATCGTCATCAAAATGACTATGCCAATTTCCGTCACAAAGAGAATACTCCCAATCGTGTTCCCACCTGGCGTGCTCGAGTTCGTTGTAGACGTTGACAAATGTGCCGCCTCGGTAGGCACGATAGTCCCAACTTCCACCCGCGAACCCGTTCTTCAACACGACCGTTCTGTCCTCCCTCGACGACGCAACCGCCCATTGTTCCACCTTGAAAATAATCTTCTCCCTCCACTCCTGGATGGCAATTCCATGCTGCCTCCAGGAAGGATGTAAATACCTCCCATAATTATCCCGCGGAAAGAACAACACCGGCTGAATCTCCACAACCTTCTCCTCTGCAGTTCTCAGTCGTCTCAACGTCAAAACACCACCCAGATCCTCCCCGCTCAACCCCGCCCTGGTGAACTGCCCCCTCAACCCAGCCGCCACCCCCTCCCAGAACCCTTCAGAAGAAGATCATGACGGGGGATGAAGGTTTGGCTCGATGAGGTCAGGGGCAGGTCAAGTGTGTGTTAGATGGTCACAACATGTCTTTCGCGTGGAGAAGTGGCAATGAGCCCAGTGAATTGGTGGGTTGGACGTCGCAAGGCAAGCACTGGAACAGGCAGATAGCGGACCAAACATTATTCTCCTTCGACCGGTGACTCGGGCAAAATAAAGAGAACAGGTGAAGCTTGCAGTAACTGTGCCTTGTACAAAGCTCGCCTCAGACAAACCACATCCTGAGCAACATTGACTGGATTCTACACACAAACCTGACACTGACCGAAACCTACCTTGCCTAGCCAAACCTAAAACAAAAGAAACAAACCAAACACCAACCCTACGCATTTTAGCCCTCAGACGCAAACCACCTACCTCAATCCTCATCGTCATCACCATCCCGAATGTAGCACCTACCTACACACTGGACAGCCAGCTTCGGTGCTCGATCATAGTACATGCCGTCCCTGGAGAAAAGCTGCGCCCTTATCGCACTCGTCATGTTGTTGCGTGCAAGGTTGCGCAGCACCTGATCCGCATATTCATCGACGTTGGTCCTGATGAGCTCCGCCCAACCATTCAAATCTGGCGAGTTCCTACTAAAGGGGTTGAGCAACGAGAGCGTCTCATGTTCATAGAATATATTGGCAGCCCTAAGGTTGGCAATGTACGCGCTGTTCGATGGTGCATGTCGTGGCAGGGTCAAAAGCAGTGGAACCTGGGGCGTACAATACTCTTCATCACCACCATCGGCCGCAGCAGCAAAGCGCCTCAACTCGTTGACTCGTCTCGTCAGGCTGCTACCCCGTCGCGGATTCTGGCGGGAAGCGCGCCAATGTCCACTGCCGGACGAAGAAAGCCCGAGACATCTGCAAAAGAACATCTTGGCCCGTAGAGATTCGTATCCAGGAGGCCCAAACATGTCCCTCCGGCGAGCGCCTCGTTCTAGCAGAAGCCTTACCAGCCCGATATTTGCATTCTTGACAGCTAGTGCAATAGGTGCCCAGCCACCGATGGTCTGGGCGTGGATATCCGCACCGTTGTCGAGAAGAAGGCGTGCTGCCCTGACTTGCTCGTCGAGCTGGGTGGACAGACCAAAGAAACAGGCAAAGTGAAGCGGGGTCCAACCTACCACGTCACGGGCGTCGATTGCCAGGCCAGAAATCTCTGGACCGCCGAGAAACTCCACCAAAGGACGGACCCTGTCCCCCGAGGCAAACATGGACGCGAAGTGAAGTGGTGTCATGCCTTCCGAGTCTCTTCTGTCCATGTCTGCTCCCATTGCAAGCAGAGAAGTGACGAGGGTGGAAGAACCAAGGAAGCCAAACGGCAGACAGACCCAGCGGAGCGCGGTCAAATCACTGGTCCACCAGGTCGAATTGTAGTTGTTGGATAAGTCTCGGGTGTCAACGGCGGCGGAGGATCTGCCGAACAGAGTCTCGCCGTCCGTCTCGCATGCTTCGCCCATGCGTCTTAGCAGGCCAGAGGTGATTTGAAGGAAGTCTGTAGCCGTGTGACCAAGCCCGTAGACAGTGGAGCAGTGTGTTATCCAGCGGTCGGTCAACTGAGTAACAGCCAGAAAAGGAGAAATCTCGCGTTGGGCGAAACTCACCATATCTAAGCCATGCGGCTGGGACAAGCTTAGGGCGAATATCCGGAAGACCTCGGGGGTTCTATTCATGTTATACCATGGGCACTCCTGATCGCTCGCGAGCATAGCAACTATACGTTGAGCATCACGACCAGCCCCATACTGCAACAGCAACCGCACCTTTTCTTCGTCAAAAGACCAAGTGTCCCCGCCACTGGACGCTAGATATGCCATCAGGGGAGTAAGTTCACCATGCAGCCCGCTCGGATATGCATCCCTTGTTATGCCGGTCGTGATCACCGGGGCGGATACATCAGGGCGCGAGTTCAAGTGGAAAATCCTCTGGCACGTACCGTACTGTCCTTTGAGTAGCGGATCAGCCCCGTGTTGCAGGAGGAGTTGGACTGTTTCTGCCGGTACGGACGACTGCATTGCAAGTCCCAAAGGGAGCTCGTGCCGTGCGTTGTACGGGTACCGGCCATAAAAGCGCCAGGACCAGCCAGTGTACAGATTGGGGTCGGCGCCGGCCTCCAAAAGGGCCTGAACAATACGGGGGTTTCCGCGCTGAAGGCTGGGTGTGTCATCCATGGTGCGGTGGAGAGGGTATGAAGCTTTCAGTCGGTAGGCGTAGCAGTTGACCGAATAGCTGTCAGGAGAGTTGACGTCGGCGCCTCTCTGGCAAAGTGATCGCACCAGTAAGGCGTCGTCTATGCAGATGGCGAGCTTTAGTGGGGTGTTGAACATGCACTCGTGAAAATCGGGATCGCGGATGACCCAGGTACAGTCTACCGCGGTGCCGTGGTCGAATCGGTGGTTGACCGACGCGCCATGGGAAAGGGCCCGGTCGAGCGTTTCTAGGAAGCTGAAGGTGCAGGCCCATCGGAGGGAGAGGCAGTCGAACTCGGCAACGTCGCGGGAGTACAAGGCGGGAATGGCAAGGTCGGCCAAGTAGCGGCAAGTGAGGGCGAGGTGGAAGAGGTCGGCCTGGTACAGATAGCAGAATATGAGGAGGTGCAGTTCGTGGGGGAGGCGGTTGAGCATGGACTTTGCCGGAGGCCAATGCGGGGGAGGCAAGTCGTAAGGTTGGGCACCGTTGCACCATCGATCGTACAATGTTGTGTATTCCTGCTTTCTAAGCTCGAGATACTCGGCAAGCATCGGGTTGGGACGGCCCTCGCGGAAGACTCTCATGGTCGCAGTCTCGGAAAAGGAGGAGAAGGTGCCAGGTCTGAGGTTGTGTACCTGTAGAGGGGCCGTTGCCTTTTGAACCGAAGCTGTCACGCTGTGCAACCAAGTCGCCAAGACAGAGGATCGCCAAGAATGAGGACGGATGGGCGTCCTCACAGCGGGACCATTGGGTGGGTATCATTGATTCTTAGACATTCTACGTACCCATGGCCTTACTTTTGCCGTATGTTTTTAGGCTTGCGCTTTTTGAAAACAACCGCTGCAACAGCCGGCTCTTCGTTGCCGAGCTCCTGTTTGACCATGGCTGGAGGCGCCTCATCTTGGACAGCTTGGATGGCTTCCAGAGCAGGCCCGTCCTGGCTTTCCTCCTTCTTAACGACTGGAGCCTCGGGCACACCCTCCTCCCCCTTGACTTCGCCCTTAACCTCGGTGTCCTTCTCTTTCTTGGTCTTGACAATCGTCCCACTCAGCAGCTCCTCCAACTCTTTATCCTCTTCTTCTGGCATGCTTTTCGATCCAACCCCCCACCTCTTCCGTTTCTTGAACAGCCCATTCAGAGCCTCCTCTTGTTCCTTTTCTTCTTCTGTCCTTTCTCTTTCCCTCTTGACTCCCACCGCTCTGCCCTCATCTTTGGTATCATCAGCAGTCTTATTGCCAGAATCTCCATCGTCAACGACCCTCGTAGAAGTGACGCTCCACTCCCCCACCATAGCCATATCCTTCCTCAGTTCGGTCGGGATATTCACCCCCAACTCGGCCAGCTGCTCCAGTTGTCTCTGTCGTTCAGCCTGTGATAGCTGCCCTGTTGGCGCTGCTGGTGGTGGCGCGCTGCTAGTGCTGCTGCCATGTTTCTTCGCCCCGGCGCCTCCACTCCCACTCCCTGACGCGGAAACAACTCCATTCAGCCTTTCCACCTCCCTCTTGGCCCTGTCCTTCTCTCGTTGTTCTTGCTCGGCGGATCTGTGGAGGTCGCGAAGGGAGCGCTTGATGGCGCCCTGATGTTTGCCCGTAGACTCGTGGTTGGCGCGCTCGAGCTTGGTGTCGCGGACGTAGACGGAGCAGTGTTTGCACCAGTACTTGGGGGTTGATTTCCAGTATTCCGACATTGTGGGCGGTGTGTAGGCGTCAGATGTGTTGATGAGGATGGTCGTCGCAGAATGTTTGATGATGGCTGACAGCCAAGCAAATGGATAATGGATGCGGCAGGCCGGAAAAGTCCCGGAGTATGGGAGTCTTGGCAGCGAGCAAACAGTGCACGAACCATATGGCAGCCCCACCACACCACTGCAGGATCCCGTATGATTACCCAACACGACAGACGCCATCATCATCGCGACATGTCCGCGTCGACTTCATTCCACACCTCAGCTCTCATCGGTTTCATGTTTGACTCATCACTCAGACCGCCGATGGTGATGTCCTCGGAGTGGTGGGGTGAGATCATGTCATGCCCTACCACACGACAGTGCGCCCAGAGTTATCGAGATATCTTTCTCCCATTGTATAAAGCTTGCCCTCCTCTCTCGAGAGCCCATCTACTTACAAAAAAGACGAAGCGTCGAAAAAGAAGATCGCCGCAGTAATAGAGAGTTATGTAATTATCACCTCCCCCTGATTACGTCCCATGTATCTTGTCCCCCCATGTCATCATGAACTGCAAAAGAAATCCCGAGAACAAAGCTGGAAAGAAGAAAACGACCTCAAATTGCCACCCACCTCAAAAGTAAACACAAGTGAAATCTTCGTGTTAGCTTGCCTCCCCTAGCTTTCATCATTATCGTGCCCATGATTCCCCTTTCCCCCAGATCCCCCCGCTTTTTGATGACCCATTAAAAGGCGAGAAAACAACGCGCCTTGCCCGAAGAAAAGAAAAAGAATTAACAATGTAAAGGCGGTCAGGGTTCGTGAAAAAGATGGTCTGGTAGAGATGAGTTGCCGGTTAGGCTGGCGGTGGAAGGCGGTTAGAGAAGGCAGAAGATGCCGACGACTCCGACCAAAAGGGCGGAGGCCACTTGCAATCTGCCGGCAGAGTTGACGCCCGGAGCTCTAGTGGGGACGACGGCTGGCTCTGTGGGAACAACGCCGGGGGTTTGGAGGGTATCGTTGCTCGTTGGCGGGAGAGGGCCACCAGCCGCAGAAGGCGTGGGAGCGGGCTTCTGCGTAACTTGGATCTGTCCATCCGAGAACTGAGAGACAGGTGGGATGTTGACAGATGCGGCCGAAGAGGGAGGAACCGTCAGTGCCGCGCAGGGCGTGGTATGGCCCTGAATCTGGCCTGTTTGATGGGATTAGTGTTTGTCAACAGAGCAAAGAGTGGCGGAGCAACTTACCATCGCCGATTTGGCAAATCGGGATTGGCACAGTGGTCGTGACAACCTGAGGCTGCCCATCCGCCAAGGGGATCACCACGGTGGTGGTGGCCATCTCGGTGCCGACTGTGCGCTGGCCATTGTCGACAGCGCCGGCACCACCGCAGGGCAAAACCAGAATCTCAACTGGAGAGCATTGCTCGGCCCAGTAACGATCGTACAGGTTGTAAAAGTTGCCAGAGCGGCACTGGTACCAAACAGCGGAGTCACCCAAAGCCAAGGAGCCGTTGGGACAGTGGGAGAAACCAGCCGTGTAGATGGCACCTGCCTGGGGGGGGTCGTCAAACTGAAACTGATAGTTGCTGGCGATGTAGCCAGTGCGACCGGCGGAATCGGTAATGACTCCATCGTTGAGTTCGGCAAGCAGGACACCGTTGCCAGTGCAAGCGGTGCGCTTCTATTACAACGCAACAAGTAGGTTAGTTCTGTCACCCATTCATATGCCGACCCGACAACTAACCTTGTGCTCGATAAAGTCGCGCTTCTGGACACTACCCGCATCCACGACGGCGATCTCGAATTTACCATCGATGGTGGGCTCACAGCCAGCGGCACCAGTGGCGGTCGGCGCAATCTTCTCGGTAACGCCTTGGGCCGCCACCACGGCCGGACCCAAGATGGCTGCGAGCAGGGTGATCACGTGGAACTTCATCCTTGCGATGATTCGAGTTGGGACCAGGCGAATAGAATGATCAGAAAGATGCGTCGCCTCGTTGTAGAGATTTCCTGAATTTTGAAGTGGTGGTTTGACACTCGGCCCTTGCGGTGGTGGTGGTGGTGGAAACGAAGGTTGGCGGTTTGGGTGTGTGTGAGGGAGGGGAAAAAGTTTGTGGGATCGAGGGAGAGGCGGAACCCAGAAAGAAATACCTCCCAAGTGGAATGGACCTCTCGATATATTGTGCTAGGTATGCTCGGCGTCATCCCATGCCCCCGTACACCCCTCCGTACACCCCCGTACGTACCGTACCTCCCGGGGGGCCTCAGGTGAGGTACATTACCAGAGCTCTGTGTTGCCCTGGGATCAAAGCTGCGATGCGGGTCCTTCTGGTACCCGCATACACACAATCTGCAGCGCACATGGATGGCCGTCATGTTCCCGCCACTGGATCCCTACCGGGGTTCAGTCTGTGTCTCTACTGTGTGGCATCTGAAGAGCGGCTTGGGAACAGGTTGAGATACGAGGTTGGGACGCGTTCCGCTCATCGCTTGTCAAAGATGGCAGGGCGGGCAGGGCGGTGATGTCAGAGACATATCTGAACGGTCTCCCTAGCCGGCATTCTTAGGTCCGGGTGTCTTGGGCCACCTCCAAGCAGTGTCAGGCCCCCTTATCAGCGTGATTCGTGTGTGTTCTTGTTTTCGTTCATCATTGACCAGGAGATCAATCATCTTTTTTCTTCCGGCAAACATCCATTGATGGTGGAGACATGGAAGCCGGGTCCCTGCCGTGGAACCTTTTGTGCTGACTGGGAGTCAGGCACCTGCAGCTGCTCCGGGAAGCTGCCCAATCTCCGGATCGGACGCCCGCCCCGTTTCAGGGAGAGCCAGGCGAACTGCCCGCCCATTGATGGTTCATACCCTTTAAGGCCGGAGATATCTCCATCCATCCATCCCAGCTTGTCACTCTACACAAAGGTATCCAACGTTGCGTCTGAGAGAGGAGCGTCACATGCCCCCCGCCGGGTGTCCTCCGAACAGCCATCGCGTGAGCCTCCTCGTGGAATGTTTCCGTGGGCCGAGTGGCCGACTCTGGTTTAGAATGTCTCTGTCATTCTCTGACAGCAGGCGAGCAGCAGTTTGGCTGTGCAGTGGACCACCCCGCGGCAGTTGCGTCGATCATACCCCCACCATTCTCCACTTCTTAACGGCACTTGGAAAAATAAGCATTTCGGCAGTGGTGCAGTGGATTTGAGTGGTGGGGAATGGAAGCCTCTCAGTCTCGTTTTAGTCCGTCGCACATGACTTTGGCGCAGCTGCATATAGATTGCCCCGGGGATTAGCAGGGACATCTGTCTCCAAAGCATACGCATACGTCAAAACGCCATGCGGCCCGAGATAATTAGTTCGCCTGTCACGCCAGCAACCTTCTCGATCTTCTTCAGGCTCAGTCCTCAGATCTCGGAGCACATGGCCCAAGTCCATGAATGGAAACTGGTACCGCCGTTATGCCAAACTCGCAAGTAACGGTTACTCGGCAGCAGGAACCAGCTACGACGTTTCACCAAATCTTGCTGATCTCGGCTTTTTGAAAGGGTGGCTGCCGACGCCTGTTGGACATCCCTCGCACCGCAGCTTTCAAAACACAGCTCAATCTTGGGACCTTACACCATGGGGCACAGGGGTCCTCTTCTCAAGAAAAGCAAGAACAGCACGTCCATTTCCCCTGCTTTTGTCCTCTCACTACAGTGTTGACAGAGTGAGGAAGCAGTTCGAAGCCGAACTTTGACAGAGGCATTATCAAACCCATCGACCATGCCATATGATATAGGTGCGCAACACACTCTCAGCAACAGCCGCACCTTCGACATGATACTCTGCAATCGACCCCTGTTCCTGACTTCCATTTCTCACGGCCGAACCGGGCCTCGGCTGCCTGCTACTCTCCCAAAAGACGACAACCGGCTTCCAGCAACTGTCTCACGCCGGGAACACAGGTGTTTTGGTTCAATTTTGGTTCGCTTCCTATTCTTCCATTTCAGCCTGGACAGACATGGGATGCTTCGTGGAAATTTTGGAGGTGTCATTCAAATGTGATCTCTACCATGGACGCCCATAATTACAATAACGACCACCCCAAACGACGTATCACCCAACGTGTACCCAATATATATACCACATTACCCTCGCGTCTATTCATTCAACCATGGCAGTCCTCTTCACCATGTCTACTGCTGCGGTGGGTAATACGAATGTCCAGGAGCCTCCGCGGCCTGAGGGAACGAATGTCCAGGAGCCTCCGCGGCCTGAGGGTACGGATGTGGCTGCTGCTGCTGCTGCTGTTGCTGAGGATAGGCATAAGGCTGGGGGGTGCCCGTCGGCTGGGGCGTTTGATATTGCTGTTGATACGGGCTTGGGGTACCTACAGGGCTCGGTTGGAAGGGAGCCTGCGGTTGTTGATATTGCTGAGATGGCTGGGCAGTATATTGCTGTTGCTGCTGTGGTTGTTGCTGTGGTTGTTGTTGTTGTTGTTGTTGTTGCTGTTGCTGGGGGGGATACTGCTGGGGAAACTGGGTCTGGGGCTGGTACTGCTGCTGGGAGTTGTAGACTGGTCCAGGAGCAGGGGCGGCCTGTTGCTGTGTGGCAAGCATCGGGGCTCCTTGGGCATTCAGCTCGGCGTCAGCAGGCTTCTTGTTCGCCTGGTGCCAAAGCCGGAATGTATGGCCATGGTACACAAGCGTGGCGATAAAGAGGAGCCTTCTTGGGCGTTAATTGAGTATCATCAAGGAACTGGAGAGGGTTACTCACCACATGAGCGCGCTCAGACCTGCGGCGCCGCTTGTCAAGCCGAGCCCCGTCTGGGTCAAGACGGCAGCGCGTTTCTCGAGGGCTCGCTTCACCGGATATACATCGCAAGTCTTGCTGGAGACAGCGGAACCGTCATCGCGGCAATTTGCAGTACTGACAGGCACGACGAATCGTGCCCGTCTGGCAGCAATGGAACCCAAGGCGGCGAGCCACAAAACCGCCATCAAGAAATCAAGCGACAGCACAGCCCAAATATTATACGCTTCACGCGCCCCTGACACCTTCTCGGTGATGAGAACGTAACCGATAACAATCCACGTAAAGACAACCTAGGTAGCACAGGTCAGCGCATGTCGGCCAAGGCAAGCGGCTGGGTCGAGCACTCACGCAAGCGATCCCAAAGGCGAGCTCCTCAATCATCACGTCATGGATGACAGCGCCAGCCATGCCCAAGATTATGAGAGAAAAGAAAACCTGGGCGCCCCTGGTCACCACGATCCACACAGGCGTGTGCTGGACATAATGCTCCTGGCTTCCGGAGGGTGCAGCAACTGGCGCCGAAGCGTACTGAACTGGGGGCTTGACTTCGGACATGTTGAAGACGGGCGGGTGTCTTGAGCGATACCCAATGTGGTGTCGTTTGGACGTGGTCCAGTTGGAGATGAAGGACCCAACAGGTGTGAAATCAAGAAAGGTCAATCAACAGACAAGAAGGAAGGGGGCCAGAAGGCTCTCGGTGGGGGGCCGTGGCTTTAAGGCAGAGGGTTACCCTGAACATCTGATAGCAGAGCCGCCCCAGTGCCAACTGGAGCCAGACGAGTTCCCTTCGCGCTCCGCATTGTGCCCAAGCGCGTTCGGAAGCGTTTGCAAGGCAGACTCGAAATCAGACCAGGGTCTTTCACCGTGGGAAAGCTCCAGGCCCATGGTCGTGAGGCCCAATGGGGTAAGTTTCTGGCCGCTTTTCGTTCAGCCGCACTTTCTTCGGCGTGACACCTCCGATGGACACTTTGGTTCAGCTCCCTGCCCGGCTTGGTTGCCCACGACCAAGGGCAAGATGGGGGGAGTCCAGACCCTGCTATTGAAGACCATCCCGGGTTTTCAGGTTCAAGAAAAAAAACACAACAGTAACAAAACGACATTTCCATTTACTCGATGCTTTCCAGACCAGTCTCAGCGTCCCAAAAAGCTTTGGGCATCACTCTTGTGAGCGAGCTGGCGAGCGAGGGAAGCAATATTGGTCTTGGCGACAGGGGTCGCTGCAGACACCACATTAACCGCTATGCCGCATACGAGACCGCTCCTCGTGCCACGCTTGGCTATCTAATTGGTGGCAACCACTCACGAAGCTGTCGATAGGTTGGGTTGTTCTGCGGGAGTGGCTTTGAGATCCAGAAGTTGGACCCGAAGAAATCATCACCTGTATGGAAGATGGAATATCCATCTGCGTTTAGAGCACCCGTCTAGAAAGCAATTCACCACTAAAACTACAACCGAGCTTTTCCCCAGCCGCTAGCATCCCAAAAAAGCAAATTCGTCTTTCAATTGGAAGTCCGCCAAGCTTAGAGCCTCGTCTGGTCAGCCGCTCGGAGACATCCGATCTCAGGATGCGGGGAAGTCTTTTCTTTCTTTCCCGCGCTGTGGCCGCTGCGGTCCCGAAATATCCCATCTTGTACCACCGAACAAAAAGATCAAATTGGGTCGTCTCTGCGAATGGGGAATTTTTATGCAGCCTGTTGCTAGTCCACCAGGACCACCATTTCGCTTCAGGCTTCTTATCGTAGATTTCCACCCACGTTTGTGAGGTTTGTGAGGTGTGGTAGCGAGAAGTTTGAAGGGGATAAAGATCGGAGCTGCAGCTCCTATTGGCTTCATATCGAGCTCCTGAGGCTTTCTTGGTGGGGGGGGGGCCGGGAGGGCGGTTGCAGCGGATAGCTTAACGCCTTTTGTAACGGCTTCGGCAAGAGGTAGGAAATATGGGGTGGTGGTTAGGTATCATGTAGGCTTTGGGGTTTGGCGTCGGCTGTGAGTCTTCGGGGATAGTAACGCCGTTTTGCTCGTGATGATGGCAAGTGAGGGGCTCTGTTGATGATGACTCCACTGGGGCCACCAGTGAGGGGAGGCTTTCCTCCCTTTTTCTTCATGAATGACATCGTGGGGGTATTACCTGCTACTTGATAGGTGCATTCTCTTGTTGTGGGATAAACAGTACTCAAGAGCATCTTTGAGAGGTCAACTGGATACAAACCGTAGGCTTTAACCAGCAAACGCCCCACAAAGGGGCTGGTTCTTCAGAACGCCTCTCAGGAACCGGATAAATATTTTTTCGTGGTTGAAGGTTAAGAACTTATGATAACCTCAGCAAGCCTTGGCCTATTTCCAGCCTTAATTCCAAACTCAACACCTTGAGCGTTCACACCCACCGAACGCGGAGAAGTCTCAGCAAAAGGAGCCTCAACATGACTCGGATGATCTGGAGAGATAAAAGTCCGAATACTTCTGAAGTTGATCGGTGCTCTGTTGGTTTAATGGTCAACTATCTGTGTGGGCTACTGGTAGCAGGGAGGAGAGACGTGTTGTTTTGTGAAGATATATACCACCCGGCCTTCCCTGTGTGGAAGGACGACGTCCTTTCGGGAAGCTCGACCAGAATGCTTGTTTCAAATGAAATATCAAAATAATGATACTCCGTTTGCGCTTCCATGCATTACGATTCTGGAAGATGGTTGGAACGCCCAGACAAATAAAACATCACACCATGTCTGGTACTCAATTCCCAGCAAGACAAATCAAACAGTATCGTCTCCTAGGAAGGTAGCATACATATATATAATTCGACGAAAGCTAAGGTCATCCTCCGTAACAACCACTGCAAGACAGTCAAAACCACATCACTTTGACTGAGCCCATCCACTCTTCTTCTGCAACCACTGCTCCATCGTCATCAGACCCGGGTAATCTCTTCTCCTCGCCTCAATATCAGCTGCATACCCATCGCTCGCAAACCACGCAATCATGGTTCCCATCTCCTTCACCGCATACGTCAACGCACTGCCCAAAAACCAGTACGTGATCGGCGCAGGCTGTCCAGTAGCCTTGGTGAACGCCCTACCCAGCTGCTCAACAGTCAACTCATCACCCGCCAGCCCAACCGCCTTCCTGTTCCACTTCTCAGGATCCTCGAATGCCATGGCAGCAAAGACACCAATGTCTGCCGTGGCAATCCACTGCAACGGCTTCCCATTGTCACCCAGCCAGTTCCTCAACGCAGCCATGAAAACCTTGGTAGGGAAGCCAGGGGCAAGGTTGTCCATGAATGCCACTGGCCGCAAAATAGTCCACCCCATAGCAGCACCCGGCTTGCCCTCCTGGGCATCACGCAGGTGCGTCTCAATCTTCTGCTTGGACTGGAAATGGGGAATGGGGGTAGGGTTGTCCCACGACTTTTCATCACCGCCCCTTTCAACACTGGAGTAGACAAAGTGCTCGACTCCTGCCTCGAGGGCGCTGTCGATGAGAGCGGTGCCCTGCTTGACTTCACTTTCGACGGTGACACCGGGACCCATGGAGACCTGCACCGAGTAAACACCCCAGATGGGCTTGTTGTCGTTTGCCCTGAGGGCCTCTTCGAAGAGGGCAGGGACATCGTCAAGATCGCCTTTGACAAGCTTGATGTTGGGGCCGCGGGAGACCAGCCGCTTGGCAGAGGCGGAATCTGGATGGCGGGTGACGGCGAGGATGGTGAAAGGGGAGGAACCGGAGGCATTACGGTCGACGAGGGCGTCAATGACGGCTCCGCCTTGCTTGCCGGTTGCGCCGGTGATGAGGAGAGCTTTGGACATGTTGGCGGGTGGATGTTCAGACGACCAGGGGGAGAAAGGCTTTAGAGTGCAGTTGCAGACTGGCGGTAGGATATTTGAGGAGTGGTTATGCAGCGGTTGGGATGGCTATCTGAACCCCGCAGTCGAATGTTTTGGGTCGAAAGGGTTGAATGACGCGTGCAGACGTCACCGGCTGGATTTGAACGGGACTCGCTGCTGTCCCTATGTTGGAAGAGACGAGACGGGCAGATGCAAATACTTAACAAGATCCAGGGGCGAGAGACAATTAAAGTTGGGTCGAGTGCCTTGAAATACAAGCCATCGCAGCTTGCTTGCTCGCTAGGTGTGCATCGTCTTAGTTCTTGGTGCCGAGCCGGCTGGTGCTTTGTCACCCATCGCGGGAGTCGAAGCAGCCACGAAAGCAACTCTTTGCCTGCCGTTGCTCGCATTTGTCATCCCTTAGGCAGTCTACGCCGTCATCACCCATAGCCGCGAGAGGTCCGGACTGACTCGATCCAATTTTGGAACAACGGGTGCAGCTAGTGACGAAATGAACTCAGGATGGCATCGTTCTCGCGAACATGTCTCGTCGCGGTGGCAACGGGAACGCGTGTTTCAGGACTGGAAAGAAGTATCGCGCGCAGAAGCAAGAATAGTTAATAGAATAGCATTGTGATGGGGAAGGGAATGAAAGACTGATAATAGACGATATCCCCAACATCTGATTATCATCACAGTGCCATCTTCGACATCACCGCCATCCATACCACATACACACCATCAACAATAACGTGAATCGAAACAGTCAACCAAAATGTCTTCCTCCCGCCTCCACACCATTCACGCCCTCCTCGACGGCTACTCTTCCCTCTCCGTCGACAAGATGACCGAGCGTCTCTCCAACGACTTCACCCACCACGTCCTCCCCGCCAGCCTTGACATGCCCCTCCGAAACAGAGACGAGTTCGCCCACCACGCCGGCGAGATCTTTTCCATCTTTCACACTTTCCACATGGTCCCTCTCACCATGTTTGAGGACGACAGGCAAAACATGGTCGTCATCAACGCCAGAATGGAGGGCATCCTCAAGAACGGCGCCGAGTGGGTCAACGAGTGCGTCCTGATGGTGCGTCTGTCGAGGGACGGCCAGCAGGTCGTGGCCATCGAGGAGTTTGTCGACAGCTTCAAGGCCGTGGAGATGAAGAAGAGACATGCGCCCACGATGGATGTCCGCAGCACCGATATGGCTGGCAGCGCCAAGGAGGCCTTGTTTAGAAGTGTGGCTTTGTCTACTTGAGTTTCTTCCTGCAGCACATCTTCTTCCTTCAATTCAATCGTGGGGGACTTTGTTTGCCGGAGTTTGATGAGCTTATGATAGACATGATTTTCGCTTTGTACTTGCTTCTTTCCGCAGCATTTATCTTCTCCTTTTTCATTATTTCTTGAATTATACGTTGGTGGCATTTCTTCAGTGGGAACAAGAGCGGGTTTGATCGAAACATTAACCACAGAACTCTGGCTCTTTGATAATTTCGTCTTTGTGGTTTGTTACAACTTTTAAGCCCCAGTTTCTTGCGGGCTCATGGTTTCATCGTAGCATTTTTAATAGATTGGTGTCAGCAATTGATATAAACCCTTTGAATTTGTTCCACTTGACGACACAAACAATACCACTCCACCCCCAGACCCCTCTTTACCTTTGAATCTCTTGACCAATAATACCCTTTACACATCCAATCTACACAATGACCCCCTTCACCGGCACCTCCTTCGCCCCCAAACTCTGCCACAGCCCCAAACTCCCCGCCACAAGCGGCATCAACGCCCTCACCAAGTTCAACTTGATCCACCTCCTAGCATAATACTCTGCCAAACTCACATCCACTCCCCCCTTCCCCTTACTCCCCGCCCCCTCGACAACCCCATCAGTCCTCTTGTTCCCCCCATCCACCACCTCTACCGCACTCAGACCCTCCAACTTCGCATTCAGCGGCTGCATGTTCAAGGCGCTATGAACAACAGTAACCAAGTGACACAGCGCGCAAACCCCCCAAATCTTCCAATTCCCCCTCTCCACCTGCCCATGCGCAGGCACGAGCGCGGTATGCCACCCGTTCTCCGCCGCCATGGCCGAGGCATATCTCCAGGCCGAGAAGGCAGTGTAACCATACCCGAGGATGCCAAGGGTGGAGATGGGCCGGAAGAACACATTGCCTACCTGCCAGAAGACAGGCCACTGGCGACCCAAGAGGCGGGCGGCGCGGGGGTGTTCGGGGGAGGATGGGCGGGGGAAGTCAATCAGGAGGGCGGGCACGCCCATGAAGGACTGCGTGATTGCGTTGCCGAGGAGGATGAAGGAGAAGGCGATTGTTGTGCCGGCTATGGCGTCCGGGGTGGGGAGGCTGACCATTTTTGCGGTGTGTGTGTGTGTGTGTGTGTGTGTGTCTGTGTGTGTATGCGTTTGTGTGGATGAGGCGATGAGAAAGAAAGAGGAGGGGAAAACGAGGGCGTCGTGAAGTTGACAACTGAGATTTTGAGGGCAAAAAGGGGTAAATACTACACTAGGCTGAAGACGCAAAAACGAACCGACGACATCATTGACGTCAATCCCGGGAGGAGCCTGACACGTTGTTTACGCTGTCGGTCTCGGCTGTTTACCACGCAATGTCTTGGGAGTCAGTCACGGCTTCAATGTTTGTGGAAGTGTCTTGGCAGTGTTTCGGTGAAAAGTGATGTGCAATGGCGCTCATTATTACTGGTCTGGACCTCCGATGGGGAAGACATGTCTACTCTCGCCAAATCAAAAGTCATGAAGACGGGAGCAGCTCCCCTCTCCAAGCTGCCTACCTACCTTGCCTGCCGTGCTCCAGAGTCGGGAAAACTTAGCTCGATCCGGCGCCTGCCATGCTTCTGTCCAACATAACCTAGCGTCCGGCCCGAGTCGTACAGGATGGAAACAGCTTTGCCAGTAGGCCCAACCTTAACTCCAGGCCGGCCTTCATTGCCTTTCGCATCGCCAGTCTATCATCCCACGATACCTTTCTGTCACGTTGGCCTCCGGGCCATTCTCCTCTGTTCAGACTATTATATCGTCTTTCAATTGATAACCTAGAATATCGTCCGTCAAAACACTCGATCCCAGAATCCAAGTTACAAATGTCCAAAGAATCCTCCCAATCCTCCCTTCCAACAGCACCCAGCTGGGCAAGCAAGTATCCAGCTCGCCAGTTCGAACAAAACCTATGCCTACAAAGAGAAATTCTAATAACGCCTCATGATCCGACATTAACTGTCTATATCCAACGTGGCATGCTATACCTGCGGCCCGTAAGAGTTTACCCTTCTGATCTGTATTGAGGCTTCGTCCTTCTTCTCTGCAAGGACATCAAACAGACCATTGTCTGGCACAATTGCAGTCTGCTGTGCTAGCCTCGCTTCCTGGAAGAACTTGGCTCTGTCGGCACGATCTCGCGCATCTGACTCGGCCCAAAGACGGAGTGCTTCCTCTTTTCTCTTCTCGCTTCTGGGCTCAAATGACATCTGGAAAGGATCTGGCTTGATGATGAGCAGCGAGTTGGACTTGTCAAGCGGTACGGGATGGTTCATCCCAGTCGCTGGGTCATGCTTGGGCTTGAGGTTGAAGGTCCATGCCAAGGCACCGCAAGCAACGATCAACTCGTCTTGGGTGAGTGACATGCCGAGACATTGGCGCTGGCCCCATCCGAACGATGTCATGCCCTTGATGGTTGGGAACTGTGTCAGGGGCGCTTGGAAGGTTGGCCAGCCAGGCTCCAACCAGCGTTCGGGCCGGAAGTTGTCAGGGTCAGGATACTTCTTGGGGTTGCGGAGGAATGCCCTGAAGAGTCATTAGCTTGTGCCCACAGTTTTCAAGCGCCGAGTCAATGGCTTACCAGTCCAGGGGCAAGAGGCGGGTGCCCTTGGGAATGAAGTAGCCGTTATAAACATCGTCCGCCTCCGTCTCGTGGGCGACACCTGTCGGGACATTGGGCTTCCACCGCATGGTCTCCTTGATGCAAGCTCTCAAGATGGGTAGGTTAGGCGCATCCTCCAACGTAGGCATGCGCCCCTCGCACTTTTCGTCAATCTCTTTCTGCACGGCGGCTTGCCATTCCGGATAGTGAACCATGGTAACCAGCCAGTACGAAAGCGGTCCGGCGACGGTGAAGATGCCGACCAGCGCGAGCATTCCAATGACGCAAGAGGCTTCATAATCACCAGAGATGTTGGTTTTCAACGAGGTCTTCTCAATGTATTGTCGTGTCCAGCAATTGCGGACCCGACCACCCTGTGCCATCTTGTCACGGGTTGTGAGGTATCGCTCCTGCCACCATGCCGACTGCTCATCATGACGCTTGCGCTCCGCCTTCTTCCATGGGTTCATGAACATGGGCAGATGCCACAGCGGGGTGAGGACATTGGTGATAGGGCCAGCGGGGGACATCTGTCGGAGTAAACCCCAAGCACTCTTGGTGCAGTAAGTGCTCAGAGAGGGATCATCCCAGGTGAGCTGGCACATGACTTTGGCAGCCATATCCTCGAGCGAAGCTTGGAAATTGTCTGGGTTCTGGATCAAGTTGGCCATCCAGCGCTTCGCCTCGTGATACATCACACCGTTGTACTTGACGTTGGTGGCCTCGGTGATGTAGGCATGGGTGAGCTTTCTTTGGCGAGCCCAGTATTCTGCACGACCGTGTTAATCAGAGCAGGCTCGACGTGATAGAGCGAGGCAATGCTTACTGTTCCTGCCCATCAAGGGAAGGTATTCCATGGAGCCCTCGGAGCTCTTCGAGTCAAACAGCGACTGAATGTTTGGCCGATCCGAATTGTACTTGGCCCGCTTGACCAGCAAGTCCTCGGCAACCGTTTCGTCGGTAATGACCAGGACGTTGACGCCGAGCATCTGAGTTCGGTAGAAGCCGCCAGCTCCGTGCTTGTCCGCCCACTCTTTGAACTTGAGCCACATGAAGTTTATAGGCAAGTCATGGATTCTGCCAATATAAGGAAGCTGTGTTGGGCCGGGCGGTCCGTTGGGATCGTTAATCTTTTGAAATTCTTTGATAAGATGTACCACTGTTGCCACCAAAAGGACAAGGGCCAGGAGGCCCGCGGTAACGAGCTGCATGGTACGGTACGTCACGAGTAGCAGTGTTGAGTCGCGAAGTTGGTATGTTGTGTAAACGAATGACGAAAAAACGGTAAGCGGTGCAAACTAAGGCTTTGAAGAACGAGATGGAACGACTTGTGGGAGAGCCGATGGGAAGACCAGAGCCCTCTATGTAAGCTGGCGAAAGGACTTTGATTGTTTTGAAGTGTGCACAGCCATACAATAGACAGAAGCTCACCTCTGAGATGGCACTGACCACGAGCAGCAGTCTGTCGCTTGTGCCCTGACTAGCGTGTCGAGATGCGCATACACTTGCGCACAATCAACGTATCCGTGGGTAGCACTACCTAGTGGTCGGAACTATGGTGTGGCGGTTGCTGCTTTTGCCGGTGTCCTTGCGGAAGAACCACGGGGAACTGAAACCCGCGCATCTCGATACTTTCTCGGGAGAAGTTTGACTACTGTTGATCAAGGCGGCTAAGAGCGGAGGTCTCTCCAGGCGTTGTTCTGCTGTGTGTAGCAGTTCTATCGTCTAAGGGCTCTCTTGATGCGTGGAACAGCTCTCCAATTCACTCGGTGGGCTACCTATCACACAAGCATGTTGTTGCCTAGGTACCGCTGTCATAGGCCGTCTGCTGTGATGTTTGGTATCCACCGAGTGCCCTGTGTCCGGAGACGATGTCTGTTTTCCAGTGTGTCTATTTTTGCCGCTGCAAGCAGGGACTTTTCTCGCCACAGAACATAAACAAAGTGATGCTATTGCACGCAGCATGGTGGTGCGTGACACCACCGAGGACATGATGATGGGAGCATCAGGGCACGTCTCCTAGCTCTCCTGCATACAGGAGAACCCTGATCGCCCTTGGGGCGTTTTCTGACGTTCCTCGCTGACAGGTCATGCACTTTGATGTATGCTGCATGTTGCCAAACAGGACTGAAATGGCAATCGGTCGCTTGGCAACACCTTCTTGGTTGGCCTCGCAATGTGCGAGTCGACTCTTGGGACTTTGACACCTCCAGGTTGCGCGAAATAGCAGTGATGAGGGCCGAGGCAGCTAGAGAGGGTTGGGCTGGTCCGCCGAATGTTGGGAAACCTAGCCGCGCGCTGGCGCAGTGAATTTGGAATTCCAGCAATGAGCCTCGAACTGGTGCATGTGCTATCACACCCGATTCCATTTGGTAGGTGTAATCGTCCGATACCCGCCACCACCCTTCCGCCACCGATCTAACTCTTGCCATCTAATCATAACCCAGACTGGACGGTCGATTAGCTTTGACCGTGCTCATTAATCCCATGCCCAAGTTGCGCCGGCCATAGCAACCGCGTGAGGCAGTTCCATCCGAACTGTACGGCCCTGAAAAGGACAAGTCGATCCGTTACTCATCGAGAGTTTTCTAGGCCCACCTAGGAGCTCAGCCAGCCGTTTATCCATACACCAAGTTTCAAAGATCAGAATTTGCCGGTCATGTTGGCTCTTTTCGTTGGGGGCGCTCCTGACAATTAGTCTGCTCGGTCGCTAAAAGCGTGTAATCAGACGACGAGAAATCACAACTGTGACAACAGATGTAAATACTGCCATCATGCCCGTCACTGGGAGAAAGCCGTCTTGGTCTGCAGTCAATCGAACTGTTGGCTTGCTGAGAATTGCAACACTGGTTTCAGCTGCTAAGCTTCCATCATGCCTTTCATCGACGACGGCGAGTCCAGGCCCGTGGGCTCGTATCCGAACAGCGGCATCGATGTTCTGATCGTCGGCACCGGCCTTGCGGGCCTCACGGCGGCTATCGAGTGTGTGAGAAAGGGACACAATGTCCGGGTTCTGGAGAGAAATGACGACATCAACACTGCCGGTACGCTCCCTTGTATTCCCTCCCAACACTGGACCATTCTGCTGACATTTGTATTCCAGGCGACATGTACTTTATGGGCCTGTCAGCGACCAAGTTCTTCAGGCACTGGCCTGAGATGGCCAAGGAGTTTGACGAGATCTCTCTGCATAACTGCTGGATCGAGACTTTCAAGCACGATGGCGACCAGATGATCACACCTCTCAAAGTGTCCGACCGTCTTCGGGATGCAGGTCTGGATCCTGACACACCTCCTGGGACGTTTCAAATGCGCCCCCTTGTGTACAAGATGTATGTCCGCCAGGTCGAGAAGCTAGGCGTCAAAATTCAGTTTGGAAAGCGAGTGGTAGAGTACTGGGAGGACGAGTCTCGAGGCAAGGCTGGCGTGGTTACCGACAAGGGCGAGAGATATGAAGCCGATGTCGTGATTGCTGCAGATGGTGTTGGGTCGAAGAGCCAGAAGCTCGTGGGAGGCCAAGTGCGAGCCATGAAATCAGGCAGGGCCATGTGGCGAGCTGCATTCCCGATACACCATGTCGATAAGAATCCTGAGGTGAAGGAGTTCTTCAAAATGATCAAGGGAGAATCTGGGGAGGAGCCGATTGTGCGAACCTGGCTTGGGTAAGTGTCACTCGATGTTCTGTGCCACAGGCAAAAAATGCTCACCTGTACCAAGCCCAGGAACATATGCCATGACCCTCACGCGTCCGGACACCATGATTTGGGTCATGAACCACGATGTTACTGGCTCCGAGAAGGAATCGTGGAACCACACCATCGACGCCCAGGAGGTACTGGACAACATGGACAAGGGCGTCGGGCCAAAGCCATGGGCACCAATGTTCAAGGAGCTGATTAAACTGACACCTCCCAACACCATCGTTAATTTCGAGCTGTTTTGGAGAAATCCGCAACCCAAGTGGGCATCTCCCGGGGCTCGTGTCATCAACATTGGTGATGCAGCCCATTCCTTTCTCCCCGCGTCTGGAAACGGCGCTACTCAGGCCATTGAAGATGCTATCTCGCTGGCCTCCTGCCTTCAGATCGGCGGCAAAGAAAACATCCCGCAGTCTGTCAGAGCTCACGTCCGCATGCGCTTCATCCGGAATGCATGTGCGCAAAAGTTGGGTTTCAGCAACGCCGAGCTGCTGCAGGATACCGACTGGACCAAGGTCAAGCTGGACCCGCGCGTGGCCCAACCCAAGCTCCCCAGCTGGGTCTGGGGACACGATCCCGAGAAGTATGCCTACGAGGTGTACGATCGCGTGGTCGAGAGCATGAGGCGTGGTGTTCCGTTCGACGAGGATGACAGCATCCCACCAAACTACCCGGCCGGGTACAAGTACGAGCCGTGGAGCATCGAAGACATCATGGAGGACATGAAGAACGGCAAGTCGATCGAGCTTGGGTCGGGCAACTGGGACTAGGAGATGGATAGATATTCGTGTTCTTTTCCGGAGTGCGTCGCATGTTTGCTTGGTTTGAAGATTGGGCACCTATTTTTCCTGTGTTTAGATTCTGTACAATGCCATGAGCGAATGCCGTGATAATGCTACTCGAGTATCTAACCTGCGCATTGATACCATTGACACGGCCATTCCAGGTGTGATCACCAATCGGTAGAGAAAAAAAAGACAAAGGTATGATGTGCTTGGACAGCAGAATGGAATGGAGTTGAAATTTAGCAGCGCAAGAGCGCACCTTCCTCCTCAACGCTCCAGCCTAAACTGCGGCACCAGATAGGGCCTCTCCACGCCTTCCCACAGTCCAAACTGGCAAGTGCCACTGGCCGAGCACATTCCCCCGATATTTCTCTCTCCATCAAAATTGAACTTTTGTGTCGCCACATGAACCCCCGAGGTCCAGTCATGTCGCAGGTGCAGCATAAAGTTATTCAACAACGACGCCCCCTCTCCGCTCGCCGTCGGCTTGAGCAACTGGAAGCTCCATTCCCCCACTCTCTTTGACTTCGGCTTGATCAAACAGTCCGTGTTCTTCCTCGTCCAGGCAATGTCCTCCCCTTCGCCAAATGTCCACCGAGTGCCGCACTGGACAGTGGTGTTGTTGAACTCGACATCGGTGAAGCTGACATTGAAGAAGGAATAGATCGAGCTCCCTGGTCGACCTGAGGGAGCGAATGTCGACAGGCTGTCTATTACCAGAGGCTTGAGAGGAGGCTTCACCGGTCGATCCAGTTTCTGGGCCGAGGGAATGCCTGCAGCAACAGTGACAAGTGAGAGCAATACCTGGAATTTCATACTGCTGTTTGTCTCGGTAAGGGATTCAGTTTGGGCCTTTGGGGAACAAGATGCTAACAGCTTTGGTGCTGGATAGCCGATAGAATTTATATTCAGCCCACCGTCTCTGGAATGCATTGTCTCAATTCGATGCCACGCACCTATTCTATTTCTAGTTCTTCGTCTACCACCCACCTGACAGCGGTTAAACTTTCTAATGATTACTTTTCGCTTATTCCATCCTGTCCCAAGATTCCGTGCCGGAGACACCGAATCTGGAACTGCTGGAGCTCGACTTCATAATTTATGCATCTCGCATAGGTTGTGCCGACTGCATAGGTATACTTATGCAGTGAGCCCCTTATGTTTGTGCCACATCCAGCTACCACCTCCACCTCAATCAACATCCTCGTCCTCATCATGGAAGAACCTCAATATCGCCCCCGCTGCCACCTCTCCATCGTGCTCTAAATCCGCCGTATCCCCCGCCTGGTCCGCCGCCTCCTGATCATCAATACTTCCCGCCTCAACCCTCATCTCAATCTGCCTTTTGACCATCTCCTCATCAAACGCCAAGTGCGCCTGGGTAGTAAACATCTTTCCCTTGATGTACACCCCTTGTACCTCGGTATGGTCCGACTTGCCCCAGACATGCACCCTCGTCCCCTTAGGTAGCAGCCCCTGCGCGGACTCTACCGTGGGGGGAGCAACAACATGATCCTGATGCATCTGGTGCAAGTGCACATGGTCGTCATCCGTCCGGAAGAGCTTCTGGCCAATGGGCGTCAGCTCAATCTTGGAATGACCCAGCTCCCAGTCGCCTTTTGGCGAGGGCCGCACTTCGGCACCGAGAAGGCGGCAGAGGAGCTGATGACCAAAGCAGACGCCCGAGAAATGCATTTTGGGATGGCTTTGCCATAGCTCTGTTTTATATCATCAGCATCCATTCAATGGTTGGGGGACAACGCTTCAAGACCCACCTCTCAACAACTTCAACAGGTCCAGAATCCACGGATCATCACCATGCGCATCATACACGCTCCCCGTGATCAGCAGCGCGTCGCAACCCTCAAAATCCTCGTACTTGGGCATCGTTCCCCCCTTTTCCGGAATCACAAACCACCTGTCCGTCTCAATCCCCAACGGAGGGTCATGCGCCTTGCCGGCATTGGTGAAGTGGTTGTGCAGAATCTCGCCAAAGGTCGTCTTTCCAGGTATCTTTTTGGTCTCCTTATGGGGTTCGTCGGTCTCGAGGACCATCATCCTGACAATGGGGGCATCCTGACCCTTTGGGTGGGCCGTCACTTCGTCCCGGTGTTCTGGTTCGCTGTGGGGTGCCATGTTATGTTTTTGAATAATGGTGTGGTAAGATCGGTGATTTGGTGTCCCTTATGACAGGCTAAAACTGTTTTTTTAGTCAAGATTAATTCAGAATTGCTAAATGTCCAGGCTTCATCGTGGCTTTTTGACCCTCTTCCAAGAGCTGATGTGCCCTGTTTTGGAACAATGAACAAACATCTCCACAATGACGGCATTCACTTGGCGTACGGTTTTTGGACCCTTGACAGCGGCAAAATCTCCAAAAAAAAAAAAAAAGGAACTTGCTTCGGCTAACTATTCGATCCTAACCGTCGGAATGCAGATGACCCAATCGTAGGGAGCTAACGAGTCGAACTGCAATAGTGTGTGTGGAGGAAGGTGCGACCCCACCTGACTCAGCCTTCCGACCTCTGCCCTGGTGAGAGTGGGCAAGGACTTCGGCCTACGACCTCACCTTTGATACTACTTACGCGTGATGATGGCTTCAGTGGTGGGACTGAGTGCCTGAGAGCTCGGGACTCGGCCTTCGGCCTTGTTGTGGATATTCTGGTGCTCTTTGGATCTTGGGAGTATATATTGGTTTGATTTTCTACGCTCTTTTTCACTTGATATTTCCTTTGTCTGGTAGATGAATGTACTTCTTCACCTTGGCTCATTTCTGCCTGCACAGTGTGACATCAGCCAGCGCCGTGTTAACCGCGCCAAGAAGAGACTTCTCTACGGATTCCACACGGTCAGTCAAAGATGACTAAAACACCAAGAAAACACCAAGACTATCATCAACTCCAGATCTCAGGCCACACGTTTCCAAGCAAATGCGCTCTCATCCCCATCCTCATAAACCCCGTTCCGATCAAACACCCAAACAAATTCCTCAAACGGCCTGCCTGACCCTCTTCGGCCCCTAAACACCAGCTCGAAATCTCGAATATTCAACCTGTTGTTTCCGCCTACACCAAGAGGTACCAAGTCTCTCATCGGCATGGCAAACGTCATGGTCACCTCTGAAGAGACCGCGCAGCAATCATGTCTGGCTCTCAGTGGGTATTCAAACCCTTTTCCATACAGTTGAAATCTCAAAGACCCTCCAGCATGCCCCTGAATCTCAGCAAACACACCCGGGACCAATCGGAATCTCCCCACACAGCCCGCAAAGTCTTCCGCACATGCAAGTTGGGAATACTCCCGTTCAAGCCTTGTCTCGTAGAGAGCCAAATCCCGTATGTAACTGCCTTTAATGTGTCGGACCACAGTGTCAAGGTTTGCGCACAAGGTTTGAAGTGCGCGAGGCTCGGTCGCTTTCCGTGCCAAAGCATCAGCCAGAAACATGCAGGCGATGTTGGCTGCGTCAAGGTAAAAGCCACGGGTGTTGCAAAGAACCACGACTGCTTGTTTGAGCGATGGAACTGACGGCAAGGAGAGGTTAGAATTTCGAATTCACCCGAGTGAGGTGGACAAGTGCCAGCACATACTGAGAAAGCAGGACGAAGTGGCGCCCACCATATTCCCGCCGTGATAGAGCGCCAGCTTCTTGCCAACACCAACGCCTCCACCAATCGAAAGTTGTTGGAAAAAGTACCACAAGCGATTGGCTGTGAGAGCTCCATCACTGTGGCTGCTCCTAATGGCGCTCTGAAGACGACGCGCATTGTCGCCATCCGAGCCAGGCCAACGATGTTTCAAGTCGCAAGGGTTCCAAGATATGTTGGTGGTGTTCCTGTGTTCCAGTCAGAGCCTGATATCCAACATTTACTTGGAAAATATTGCCACTAACCAGCCGCCGGCATAGATGGAGTTTTCCGATTGCGTATGTGAAAGGATATGGCGCCACCAAGTGATCATGCCACGCTCGACCTCAGAGATCTTGTGGCCGAGGTCGTACCTTTGTCCCTGGAGGCTGCCGAAGACTTCAAGAAGATAGCCGAAAAACTTCAGCAAGTCCTTCGTTGAAGACATCATGCCGGCCGCCGCCCCCAGCGGAGATGGTTTAGAGCCGCGGTTGACACAGGAAACCTGGGAGGGTTCAATCAAAAGGGGTTCTGCCTTGGGACCTGTCATGCATTTCCTCTGCCAAAGTTGATGACCTCCCGCCATCAAACCATCTACTCTCACGCTGTGAGATGCAACATAGCTGTTCCTGTCCTGGAGATGGTCCTGCGGAACGTCGGTAAAGGTGCTGGTCAAATGCAATGGCTGCAGAATCCTCTCTGTGACAAACTCTCCCCACGGCATCCTCGCGGTCCTTTCTACAACCTCAGCAAGCAAGGCAAAGCATTCGTTGGAGTAGTTCCTAGAATTATCGAATGTCTTCTCTGTATACTGGCTGCTTCGGGGCATGTGACGGAGGAGCGACAGGACTGGATCAATGGTCGTCCATGGAATGTGGCCCTTGGGACTTTCCCAGAGGTTGGTGTACCTCAGGAACTCGGACCGGTGTGCCAAAAGATGGCCGATTGTCAGCTCAGGCTCCATCTGGTCCGACACCAGTGCGGTTCGTCCCTCAAGTTCTGGAAGGATATCCTTCACAGGTGTTTCAAAACAGATGCCATGTCTTCCGTCAGCGACAAGAATTGATATTGCAAGGCCCATAAAAGGCTTGGTCATGGATGATATGAGATATCTTGAATTCTTAGTAGGGGGCTGGTCGTCGTCAAGGGCACGGGTGCCAATATCATGGAAGGTGTAGTTCCCATCTTCCAAGAGGCCGATTGATGCACCGACGTTGCCGCTTTCCTGAAATATGGTTTCCAGAACCGTTGATGTAGATCGCAACAGGTACTCGGCTATGCTTCTCTTGCTGCATTCTTGTGAAGCTCGAGGAGCCACAGATGATTTGGGCATTCTTGATCACCTAGCTATATTGTCCTCCGATAACCGGTTAGCTGACGGTCAAGTTGGCAACCGAACGCGAATGGAAATGTGGCACTATCAAGCCACACACACTGTACCTCTTGACAGACTCTATAGGCGTAGCCGCGAGTGATCAAACGTTGGTCAAGTCCAGTTACTTGTTGATGCACAAGCGCCTAGAGAATGTAGTGGCAGATATAGGTCGCAATCTCACTGCTCAGGATTTATTAAGGTCCCATAGGAATGTGCTTGCTTCTCTGTATGGTTCCGTCTTTGCGACAAGATCGAACGTCGAACGTCCCGGGATCCATGGCCTGATATATGGAACGGAACCTGGAGGGCTCAACGCAATGGCCATCGGAACTTCCAGGGTACATAACCCATCAGTAGCCTAAGACTGAGCAAAGCGTAGGAGCCTTTCTTCCAGATGCAAAGCAGCGACCGCGGGCAGCCTGACCACTTCTGCGATGCAGTATCCTGAACAGGGAAGAAATCCTTCGGCTTTCCTCCTTGATACTCTTCAATCCGAAGCAGAGCAAGACGCCATTTTGGACCCGGTAGACTGGAAACTTATCAGAGCAGCAGCTCTCGTCCCCGGAACCCCCCTCGTATTTCTGGATGCCTGTCCGCCACACGCTTTAGCAGCAAGCTTGGAAAGCGACAGCATGAAGATTGAACCCGGCCGGATTGCCACTGTCGTTTAGCTGGCGGTAAAGAAAAAAAAAGAACGGAGATGTGATCCGGTGCAGCAGGCTGCCGGGATCGAATCCGTTACGTGAGTCCTCCCCCATCCCCCCTCAACCCCCCTCAAGCTTTGAGGAGCCCACAAGCTGCCCTGGCCATTTCGAAGCAATCAGAAGAATTAGCCCGCGAGCGGCGGGTTGAGACATTGCAGTAGAAGCTGAGGTCTGAAGATACGGATGTAGCTCGGTGTGGGTCTTCATCGGGCGACACCAACGTTGGCAGATTAGCATGGCCTCCCCTGCCACGTTGAGGAGAGGTTCCCATCTATGATCAAACTTCAGAAATCAGTTAGCCCCTTCTCAGCGTGCGTGTGGGTGTGTAGCAACCAGGACAACCAACGCCAAGCACCAATCCGGGACACTCTGACATTGGGCTCTCAGCTGCAGGTGGACGGACTATGAGCAGCAGGACGGACACTCGGGTTCGCGGGACGGGAGGCGGGTAGCAAGCCGCGGGGCTCCATCGACGGGAATGTTTGCTGCTGTCAGTGGGGGAGAGTGCTGTTGGCGATAGCTCCATATCAGCACTGAGGAAAATCGAAGATATGGGAGAGCCGCGGGATTCGATATTGAGGGGTTTTGGAAAATGGGAAAAGCACCTGAGCGGGAGGCTAACCCAAAGTATTTTGACTTCTAGTGAGAGAAGAGAGGAGGATTGAGCTGACACACACTCGGCTTTAGTTCCGCCGCAATCTGATTCGCTGAGAGCCCCATTTGAATAAGGCTCATGGCGATAGCTCTTTCCCAGCACTTGTACTTTCCAAACAAGCCCCCATAGAAGGTCGTGGGGTGATTCCAGCAGGATCGACAGTCTGCGTCATGGACTGGCCTAGCTTTCTGAGTGAGGTGCTGTTGTTGCAGTCTATACCTGCTGGGCTTGAGAAACCCAGACGCCTTCTTCTTCCCCCCTCCCATTCCCCGAGATTCACCCATCTCTCACCGCCCCTTGTTCCCGCCAAACAAACAGTGGGACACGATGAGATGGCCCTCGTCCCGTTATTCATAGGTACTGTTTTGTCCATTAATTAGAGGTCTATCGACCAATACCCAATCATCACGACATGTATCAGATGATGGCATTCCTTCCTGATCAACGGGCTGGGGGGATGAACCAGGGTCACCCACCTCGTGGGATTCCTCACAAATCATGTTGCTCATTGCAATAGATACCTCCTTCCCCCCCCCCCCCCCACCCCACCCCTTCAGACCTCCTGACGACACGCAAACAATGACTTGATCCCATGCATCTAGTCCGCATCCATATGTGATAGCCAGCATCGCGTGCAGACGGGACTTCCTTGGTCAGATAGGACTTCCTCGAGATTCACAGGGCTCGAGTGGCGCCAGGATTACCTGCCAAGTGCATCGAGACTGTCAGGCTCTTTTGTCCCCTTCCGATGAGGCCCGTCCATAACCATCACTTGCATTTGGTCCCGGTCTCGAGCGTCCAGGCCCCCCAGGGCTTCCCCCTGTCCGCCCTGTGCGTCAAGGGCTGCAACTAAGGCTCGAAAGGGTATCATTGTGATGCGGAGGACATCTTGGCCGGGAATCAGCTCAGCTTCTGGTGTCTTTCAGGCCAAGATGGCCTGCCCCTCCAAGAGGTGTGATCCCCAGTCCAAGACTCATTCCCTGCCACTAACCCGCCAACATGTTTTATGGCCCTTTTGGTATTTCAGAAGCACTCTTGTCCCGATTTCGCAGATGTAAAGCACGGCAGGAAGTGGTGAGTTGAGCAGGGCTTGGTGGCAAGGTCCAAATACGAACCTGTACAAGTTGAATCGTATCTGGCGAAGGCTCAGGGGCTAATCACGGTATTCACCTCACAAATCGGGTTGTCGAGCAACATGTCAGGCATAGGGCCGGGAGGGAGTGTGGATCAGGTTGAGGGAGCCAGGGCCGTCCCGAGGGCAGATCAACTTCAGCGCTACGTGTGCCGGAAAGCGGCTGCTCGGAAAGGCCCGAAACAAGATGGGATCCTTCCAGGCCGAGGAAGACATCCACAGGACAATACCATACTTCAAAGCAGAATCTGATTTATCAAAGATCTCAGCATCGGACTTTTGATGCCTAAACTGACAAGTTTTGGCAGATCCAGAGATGGAGTCAACACCAACAAGTCTTGGAAGTTCCCAGTGACGGACATTGATCATTCCGATTACTCAGTAAGCTCTGAGTGGACACTGAGTATCAGGTAGGTTTCACCTTTGGGCGGACACTGACGAGAAGGCTTGCGTTCCCTGTAGGCAGGTGTTGAATTCAGTGTCTGAGGAGGATCGAAAGATGGTTATCAGACATTGACAGCGACCTTCAAAGCAACTCAGTGATTCCAATTTGAACTCTAAGTATGGACAGAATGGTCGTGGTGTGATACCCGAGACAGGCAGGCCAGAGGTTGACCTCATGACACGGATGCCTCGCCGCTGCGCCGTGGCGCCTGCGGTGAATAATCCCATCACGGCAGAAGGATTCGCTGGACATAGGAGGCAGAGAACTGCAATGTCGATCATTTTGTATTTTTGCAGTGATTAAAGCATGTTTCCAGAGGACGTGTATAACCGCGATGCCAAATCGGTTGTAATCAGCATTTTGTTCCCTCTTTCTCGCCACAGCACTTGAGCTTCGGTTCTTCTAGAAGCAAAAAGAAGGAAATGGTAATTCACCATACACACACAACCCCTACGTTGATGACTGATCACAAAATAGAAGACTACAACACCCAAAAGGGACACTTGCGAGAATCCTCGAGGCTCCCCTGTTTAGAACGACACGTCATACTAGAAGAATATGCAAGACGCTTACTTTGCGTCATTTGAACAGATCATCTATACATCCAAGTACATAAGGTAACGATCTATCATCTATTTGCAGCGTAGGTTACCTACCTAGGTACTCATACCTTACCTGCTGTTATGGGCCAAGGGTCTGGGTAGCATGGAAGGTTAGGGCACGACGGAGTCTAACCGGTGGCTTTCCCGAAGGCCGGCCGGGTGTCCGGAAAGGTGCCATTTTCCACATGCATAAAAAAGAGTCCGGTCCCATTCAACGGGCCTGTTTTCTTTTCTTCTCCGTATCAGTTGATTCAACTATTTCTTACAGCTTGAATTTCCATCAATCGGACCAAACCCCGTATCACCTGCAGCAACTTAATATGACATATTAACACCTACCTACGTCAAGATGTTGTCTTTATTCAGGGGTTGTTCCTGATATTGTACTTCCCATGCACTCAAGCAGTAATACGAGCCTTTCAAGCCTTCCTGTTAGACATTTGAACGCTTCCAATATCAAGCCTATTACTGCAGATGTGAAAATCCAGAATGGGATCCTTTCCCTCTCGTCATATGATAGATGTTTCCCAAAATTCCCCTCCAATTCAACTTTCCCAAGAATCAAAACAAGACTTGAAAGATATCCATAATCAAAGGTGTCTGCGGACCTTCACCTAGATTCCACCTGTAGGCTTGTTACCGAGGTAGAAGCAGATTGCAAAACTTCAACGTCTATTATTACGATAAATCTTTTATGGCTCCTGACTCCGACTCTGCTTGCATCTATCTAAACATGCTAGAATGGTTTGATCAAATCCACTACCCAGTCCCATTCTCCATGACTGATCAACTTCAATTTTGGTATCTCATCTCTTCGTTTTGTCCTTCATCCCATCCTTACATAATGACCTCGTTGGAAACGTCCTAGAGTTACACAGGTTAGCTCAGTTCATGGAACCCACACATCACTACAACATCAAAAAGAATCTTACCCTCTTCAGATCCTTGAATGGCAGGCAGATGCAGTTCTGCACTCTGACCTCATCACCGACACCGCACTCCTTTCCAAGAATGGTGATAGCCTGAACCTTGACACCGTTCTTGATAATGCTCGTGTTGTGGCTTGTCACGGGGGTTGGTGTGCCCTCCACACGAGCCCAAGCACCGACGCGGCTGCCCCAACCAATAATTGAGTACAGAATGCACGCGTCGTGCTTGACCTCGGCGTCTTCCAACACGATAGACTCCTTGATGCGGACGCCAGGTCCAATCGTCACGCGAGGTCCAATAGAGACATTGGGGCCCAGAACAGCCGTGGGGTGTACGTTGGCCGTGGGGTGGATGAATACGGGGGCCTTGATGTTGGCTGAAGGAGCGGCAAGCTCGCTGGAGCCGCTTTGTTGGGCCTTCTGGAGGTACAGGGCGTTGGCTGGGATGGCAGAGCCGGCCGTCTTGATCTGCCTCCAGAAGTCTTTGGTCTCATAGACGAAGAAGAGGTTGGTATCAGCCATTTCACCGAGAATATCCTGCTCCAACCGAATGACTTCATTCTTCTGCGTGTCTTCCTCGTCAAACATGTACGAGCTGGCAAGATTCTCGGATGAACGGTACGAGCCCAGACGGGGTCTGTCGGCGCGGCGCTGGATGGCGGTGCGGATCGAAGGGAAGAGGACATCGGCGCGGAAGAGGTAGACTCCGCAGTTGATAAGATTGGAAATGTAACTTTCGGGCTTCTCGACGTAGTGCAGCACGCGGCGGGTGTGAGAATCGGAGACAATGCAACCAAAGTTCGAGGCGGCATCCTCGCTGACCCTGGTGCCCAGAATGACGGCCTCGGCGCGGCGCTCGTGTGTGAGCTGAAGCATCTCGTTTAGAGGGAAACTGCAACAGACGTCCGAGTTCAGAACAAAGATGTTCTCGGGGCGGCCCTTGAGGATGGCATCGCGGAAGTGGTACAAGCCGCCGGCGGTGCCCAGGGCTTGGTATTCGCGGAGGTACTTGATGGAGAGATCGGGGAACTCGGACGACGAATCCTTGATGAAGTCGCGGAAGACATGCTCCTCGTAGTAGCCGATCAGGTAGACTTCATGGATCGAAGGGACCTTGCTGATGGCGGTCAAGCAGTGCCAGATGATGGGGTGACCGGCAACATCGAAGAGAGGCTTGGGAACATCGAGAGAGAGCGGGCGGAAGCGAGTGCCACGAGAGGCACCACCAACCTTGAAAACAAGTAAGCAATCTGTCTAGTGTGTCCAGTGCCCCCCTACACTGGGCAACTCACGAGAATCACGGCTTTGGTGGCGCCAGTGTTGCCGTTGGCCTTTTGGTGGTGGGGGATTTGAAGCGACATCGCGTCTCTTGTTCAGAACACAAAGATCACCTCTGCAAAAAAACAAGGGGAAAAAGAAGCGATGAGGGCGTCTAGAAAGCTGTCAGGTCGTTGTCGTTGGACTGGAATGGTTGGGCTGAATGGCTTGGTGCTGCTTAATAGCGGGGTCAGAAGCTTGATGCAGCTCCAAATCCCCTGAATCCTGACTTCACTGCCAGGGGTCAGCTGGGCAGTCCTGGGAAATGTGGCATGTGCGCCAAGGGGCCTCTGGCAGTTGCAGGTGGAGCCACGTGACAGCCCGCCCTTCACCGTTTCTGAGCTTGGATTTGCGCTCTTCTCCAGTGTGACCTGGTCATACACGCATGCGGTAACAGAGTAGACTGACAAGAGCAGCAACAGTAGGTTTTAGAGAGCCATCATGAGCGACGTGGGTGTTGTTGGACGTTCATCGTCAAGCTCATTGAAGTCATTGAGAGAAGCATTGACCAGCTGTTGATGCTCTCCTCTCAAATGAGAGATGGAGAAGCTGTGAAAACTGACAAGGAGAACCATTCTACAAATAAATGAGATGCTTGCCACAATTTACCATCTAATTCATCACCAAAGTCAATTTCAGGCTTACGAGAGACGTCAGGGCTTGGTACCATAATAAACTATGCTAGTCCAGGTGATATAGATGGAGACGTCCCGAGGCAAAGCGGGATGGTCAGACTCCCCGTTCCTGCCAAGGCCCAATTAAGTTTCGCAGCAGAAACGCGTCCTTGCCCCTCGCGTCACGTCTTGTCGCGTCTCATCTCGCGTAAAGTGGCTAGATCCATTCTTTTTTCGCTCACATTTTCCAACCTGCAATTGCAGTGGTGTTGTGAAGTCGTTGTGTAGGCAACCACTAGCAAACACCCCTCCAACCCCACCTTTCGCAACTGCCCCTTTTACTGGCCAGGCCATCTCTCCAGCACCTCTCTTTCCTGCTAAGAAATATTAGCAACGTCGCGCATTGTTTGCCTGTTTCCTTAACGCGTGTCATCTTGGGTTGGAGCAAACCGCGAGATTCTCATTCCACCGCAAAAAAGCTGTACCCTCGAGCCCCCCTCGTGAAGTCGAAGTCGATCTTTCATCTCAACTGTTTCGACTATTCCGACTTTTCGGCTCTTCATTGGCAATCTCACGTCTTTTCGAAGGAGTTTTCTGTTTGGCACTGCTCTCTCTCGTCTCGTCTTCCACTTTCCTGAGCTCAGCCTTCCGTTTGGCCTCCTACTTCTACGACTTCTCCTCTCCACCTCCTCCAACAGCAGCCGCATGAGAAAAATACTGTCCTGTACATTTCAAGCAGCATTGGTAAGCTCGCCCATCATTTCGCCTCGTCCATGTGTGACTTGAGTCTGACAGCGACACAGTAGTGATGCCTCCCAGAGTGAAGCCCGAGCCCGGTGTGGCCGTGGCGAACACCACTGCCACTCGCAGTTTTGCTGCTACCAACTCGGCACAGTTTGGCTCACCTACGCGGCAAGCGCGGTCTACGGCTCGTAAGTTTTCCGCTCATTTTATGTTCCTCCGTACAGTGTGCTTACTCCTCCTGTAGCTAGTGTGACTGATACCCGTTTCATGGCGGAGGCGGAGGACCAGTACGAAGATGAGGATAACGAAATCATCTGGATGGAAACCCGTGCCAAGTCGATCACAAGCGCCGGCATGAAGCAAGAGCCTGGCCACGAGCCGATGGCCCTGATGTCTCTGGCATCTCAAAGCATGGGCGGGTCATTTGTCGGGATGGGGCCCAATCTTGCCCTCAAGGACTTCGGGCAAGGGTTCCTCAAGGACATCAACGATGCCCTGGGTGAGCTGCAGTCTCGTGGCATTCAGCACGTTGCCAGTCTGCCGGAGTTGGTGCTCGTCGGTGACCAGTCGTCGGGCAAATCGAGTTTGATGTCCGGCATCGCTGGGCTCAGTCTGCCTCGCAGCAGCGGCACCTGCACAAGGTGCCCGATCCATATCAGAATCTCGCGAGCTGATGAGTGGTCTTGTCGGGTTTTTCTGAACTTGGAGTATGGGTTCAAGCTGCCCGATCATGCCATTACTGAGCAGGATGTCACAGCAACAAACCCGTTCCCTCCCTGGGTCAAACTCGACCCCAGTCGCACACGACGCCACGAGTTCAAGACAGTCCGGGACAGATTTGACAGCGAAGAGATTGAAACCGTACTGCGCTGCGCCCAGGTCGCAATCTTGAACCCATCCACGCCCTACCAGGCCTTCATCCCCAAGCCTCGGGGTGGAGAAGGGCCTGACTCCCAACAGCTGACTCAGCACGAGCTGATTTCGCGCAAGGAGGAAGCCTCCGAGGCCCAGTTTTCGCCAAATACCGTCGCGCTCGAGATCAAAGGGCCTGATCTAGCCGACCTCAACTTCTATGATCTTCCGGGTGTGTTCAACACTGCTCGGCGGACCGAGGATGCTTACTTGGAGCGTGTCGTCCAGAATCTGACCAAGCTTTACATTAAGCGGGAGAAAGCCATCATTCTCTGGGCTGTGCCCATGAATCTTGACACGGAAAACTCGCTGGCGCTGCGCCTGATCCGGGAGAGTCGTGCTGAACACCGTTGCGTTGGGGTGATCACCAAGGCAGACCTGCTGCCGCGAGATGACCAAGCTACTGAGCGCTGGCTGGGAATTCTCAAGGGCCGTGGACATCGCATCGGCTTGGGTTATTTCATCACCTCTCGACAAGGTCAAGATTTGGAAGAACAGACGAAGCGGGAAGAGGCCTTCTTCAATCGAACAGCAGAAGGACACTGGCCCGATGTTTTTGATCGCTACCAGGAGAGGTGCGGTATAGAAAAGCTGAAGGCTTTCTTGTCTTTGAAGCTCGGCGAAGAGTTTTCCAAAGTTCTTCCAGAAGTGAAGCGCAAAGTTCTTGAGCGACTCAACTTCATCGCTGAGCAGCTCCAACTGTACCCGGGGCCACCAGCGAACCCGGATCTGGAAATTTACAAGGCACTGACCATGTTCAGCAGCCTGTTGAAGAAGCGAGTGATTGACCAGGAATTTATGAGCACCTGGGACACAGCCTGTTCCGCCCGGTTTACAAGAGCCATTCTTGAGCTGAAGCCCAAGTATAACGTACGGTTGTTCGCCAAGTCATCCGCCGCGAGTGCTCCGGTATTAATAGATCTCGACACGCCCACCAGGGAGGGCAGCCCCACGCCCACACCCAGTGGCAGAAAGCGTGCTGCCCCAGCCGAGACCCCCAGTCGCCGACAGCGCATCAAGGCTGAAGATGCCGAGGGACGGTCTTACCCCTCCACCCCTACGAACATGCGCACAACCATGACCCCGACCAAAGGCAGGCCGAGCAAGACACTCATGGAAATTCGGCGCATGATCCAGCGCAATGCCATACCCGGCCAGCCGGGCCTCGTTTCTTCCAATGTCTATGAACCGCTTTTTACAGAAGCGGCAAAGGCCTGGAAGGGTCCGCTCCAGACGTTCCTCAACCAGACCTTCAACTTCTTGAGCAAGGAAATCCAGGAGATCCTTGACTCGACTTTTGCGGCGTTGAAGAACCGGGCAATTTACAAGTTGTCGACCGAGCACATGCAGGCTTTTGTCGAGATGCACAAGAAGGAGTTGCAGGCCCAGCTCGCGCTGATTCACGAACTCGAGGGCACGCGTCTGTTCACCAGAAATGACGATGCCTTGCACCGGTACAAGGCTGAAGAGTTAAGGACCTTGACTAGGCACCGGAACCACTACCGCATTGCCGCGCACAAGGGTGATGAGCCAGCTAGCTCACTCCCTAAGATCGAGGAGCTCAGCGAGGAAGAACTCGCCCAGGAGACAGCCAAGATGGAGAAGGACCTCCGCCAGATGGGCCCCGAGCCCTTTCAGCAGGAGCTGGATGTGGCCGCCTACACCAGAGGCTATTACGTCCTTGCCGCTCATCGGTTCACAGACATTGTGTGCATGCATGCCATGTCTGGGCTGTTTCCCCGTGTGGCCTCGGTCATTGAGACATACCTTCAGGATAAGCTTGGCCTTACTGGCAACCGCACCACTCCTGAGATGCTGGATCAGCTCATGGAGGAAGAGGGTCGCATTGGCCAGATTCGCCGAGATCTCTGCGCGGAGAAGGAGACTCTCGACGGTGCCATGGCCATCATTGTCAACCTCGAGAACCGCGACAAGACTCCCTCGCAAGCCGAGAGCAACGTTACGATTCCCAATGACCTTACGTCTGGCCGGGCCGCGGGCTCGCCATCGGGGACAGTGTATGGAGATGCGTAAAGACACAATCACGTGGATTGAAGATCTGGATATATTTTATTGTCTGTGGGCGTTTTACCTATTTGTCTGTTCTGTTTTTTTCTTTCGGACCGAAGAATCACGATACCCATTTTAGTTAGAGTCATGTAGGGTCACGAATTGTCCAGAATACTGTCACGCACCTACTATACCTCTCCCCCTTCGCTCAATGTGTCTAACAACTATTTCACTCTTTGTATCGACTAATCAACAGAGACTACAAGGTACAACCAGGGCCTTGAAAGATGACGCACACACCTTCGACTACTAGCTTTGGGAGCGTAGGTATTGACTGTCCAGGAAAGCTCATCCTCTTAGAACCCCCAATAATCCTTCACCAAGAAGCCCGCATACCCGGCCAGGAATCCCATCACGCCCAGCGTTCCAAAGTAGCCCACCGGCCGACCAACACCCGTGCTCTCGGGTCTTCTCAAGCCCATCTCAACATGCAGCACCCGCGCGACAAACAGGGCCCCCAGAGCACTGGTCAGCACATTCTTCTTGGCGCCGTTGAGCTCGGCCACTCCGGCGAGCAGCAAGGCGAGGGGCACGTATTCAGCAAAGTTGCCCTGGGCGCGGGAGGCGACCTGGAGCTCGTGCTGCTTCGCGGCCGCGTTGGGCTCGGTCGAGGGGGGCGCGGAGCCGAGAAGGCAGTTGGAGGCGATGCGGGACATGGAGACGCGGGTGGAGAGGAGGGAGAAGTAGGCTGTGAAGGGGAGGAGGAAGGAGCCGGTTACCGCTGGAGGGAGGGGAATAACAGCAGGTTAGCCGTGGAACAAGAGGTGGTTTTCTTGGTGGAAGGGGGCAGAAGAGCTTACGCAAAAGGGGGCCGACAACATCGATGTGGTTTAGACCCACGCGGGAGGTGTAAGACATTATGACGATTTATTTCTCAAGAATAATTAGGGAAAAGGGGGTCTGGCTCTTTGCAAAGGGGGGAGTTTTGGTATCACGCAGCTTGTCCACAGCTGCTTCAAATTCTTTGGCTGGTCGAGATGGGGAAGAGAAGACAAGAAGAGTAAGAAAGGGGGGGGGTGAGGTGAGGTTAAAAGATGGGGGGAACGGTTTTGCCCCTTCCTCTTGCTGCACCGGACATGGCCCGGCAGATCACCATGACCAGAGGTTACATCATAGAGGACCCTAGTTTTGGTGTGCCCGGTAAGGTGCTTTGGTTTCGAAACGGTCAGGCTTTTGCGCTAGGTGATTATTTGGGGCAGAAGCACGGGAGGATGCTATGAGAGTTTAAAAGTTGCTGGGCCGATGGTATAATCCGAGTTGAATGTTTATCAACATCGCTTGGTTGTGCTAGAAGGCACCTCTAAATCTTACGTTGGCAAGAGGCAAAGAGGCAAAGATATCGTCCCCAAATAGGACTCCAAGAAACCCAATGAGGAGTATTCTTGTAAAACCTTCTGGACACTGTGCATACTTATGGGTAGTGCAGTGCACCTTTGTCAGTGTAATAAGGATTCGAATGATGAATGCAATAACAACAGGCATCATATGTTACCTATCCTTCGACTGAGATATAGATATATAAAAGGTACCATAAGGAATGCTAGTTTGAAGAGCTCAGAATATGATTACCTTACATAGACAGATACTACCTCCAGCAAGTATCAACAACCTTCGCACCTTTTACCATGGCGAGTGAGGTGAATGTAGAATTCTGAGAAACTGATTTGTTTGAAACTACCTATTATCTAATTATCCAAATATCCAACAGGCTTGGATATCTTGAAAATTTGGGACATCTGTGTTCATATTCACTCGATATCCCTTATTGATCTACCGGCCCGTAGTTGGCCGTAACCTGCAACTACTAACAACACCATGGGCTGCAGTAGGTGTTTTGTGGCTAGGAGATCGGGTCAACGTGCGGCGCTGTCGTGAACAAAGATCTGCACCTGCAAGGCGAGACCTCCAATCAAATATTAAAGTGCTTGCCTTCCAGCCTTCAGATGAGTTCAGGTGAGAAATCCCCAGTTTGTAGATGTGGTTTGACCTTGTTGCCCAGCATCAGTGTCGTCATCGTACCTACTGGATGGAGCTGCCTTGTGACGGCACCACAGGTTATGTATGTTCTGGAACTGTGGTGATCAAGCACTGGCAGAAGAGATGGTGATCGATGGCTAGGGAACAATGCGACAACTGGAGCTGGGGCTGCACTAGTAATTATATCTGATAAATATTTGCCCCTTTTTACAGATCGGTTGGGGTGGCTTTGAGTTTGAGGTGCTGGCACCTGAGGAGTGAGCTGAGTTGTCAAACGGCCTCCCAGAAAATTCGGAATTCCAAGACACCAAGAAAACCAAGGAACAAAAGTGAGACTGCGATTCTAGCCCGATCGGGTCTCCCGGCGTCCCCTTTGCCCCGCACGGCCGTGGCTGGATCTGAGTGCCCAAGCCACATCTCGAATTCTTCGCAGCGGCAGATACCACCAAAACAAGAGTAGAAACGAGAAGTTCCGGTTAGAATGAGTCTTTCATAATTGCCTAGTCGTTTGATTCGAGAAACCACGGTAGAAATAGACAGAAGTGCGGTGCCTCGGCCTTATGTTGGTCAGCAGTTTCCCTTGCCAAGATGTGGCTGGTGTCCCCCAAGGGGGTATCGCACTAGGCGGAACTGGGCGTGGAGAGACAAGACAGTGGCACAGGGACAGGCCACAGGCCACAGCACAGGCACGCACGCTGCCGCAAAGCGAATGGGATGGGTCTTGCCTCTCCGCTGACTCCCGTCCCTGATCACGACGACCACGACTTTGCCTCACTATTCCACCGAGCGAGGGCAAGAACAAACCCCGACCGATATACAGTCCCTCCCTTTTTTCCGCTCTGTGCAGCAGGACGCCCCCCCCCTTTGTTTGCGGGAGACAGAGAGCATCGACGCCGATTTTTGCCTCTTGCTTGGGATCACGCCTTTGAGCAGCACCCAGCAGCCTTGACCGCACCTCCATCCAATAGGTATAGCCCGCAGCGTCGCCGACCGCCATCCGATTTTCTCAATCTCCCGCCGACCGCCCCAACATCCCCGCCCCGCGACTCCAGCAAACAAACCTGGAACGGCAGCAACCCGAGTCTCGAGAGCCACATCATGATAGTCTACTTGTAGTGCTGTCACAAATTAGGTTTCTGGTGGGGTGGGACGCGTTGGAAACACCAACGGTCGTGGCTGGTACGCGTTGGAAACCGCCAGATTTCATCCCATTCACTCTCTCCAAATTTTCCTCTCACTTTACGAAGCCTGCCCCAAAGCTGCTCGGACTTGAAATACCCGCACGCTCTTCCTTGAGCATATTGCATATCGCATACCTTATCTTGTCTCTCCCTCTCCTTCCCATCGCCCACGCCGTCCCGCACACACAGCGACCATGAGCTCTCCAGCCGCCTCCAACGGCATGGATGTTCGACGACCTCGATCTAGCCATAAGGTGTCTATGACCTGGGAGGAGGATGAGGTCACTTCTCGCCGGAGGATGCAGTTTGCCGAGGAGTGCATCGAGACCAAGACTGTAACCACCACGACCACGACCAAGAGGTCCTATCCGTCCCTGTTTGTTCGTGAGCCACGGAGCTTGCAGTCGCTCGACTCAAAAGAATACCCCCTCGCCGCCAGACAAACCCCGCCTGAACTCCGAAAGTTGACGTTTGATGTTGACGACCACGATATCGAGGGCTGGGCTGAGGAGGACAGCATAAATACCCAGGTACGTGGTATTACCCCCTTGGCCACTCGGTTTCGCAATGCTAACAAGTTGGTGTGCAGGTGCGACGTTCACAAAGTATTGACTATGCCAACATCGTCAAATCTGAACCTGGCGTGGAGAGTCTCTTGGACATCTCCACTGTTCGCTCTCAGGATGTGACCGAGTCCAGCCCGCGCAGATCACGGAGATCGGCCGCCCACACAGCTTCACCCAGCAACACACCAGCCGCCGGAAGAAGCTCACAGAGGGCCCACAAGCACGCCGGCCTCCCTAACGCCGCATCAGATAAGCTTCGGCGCGCCGTAGCACATGGATCTCGTGCGAACAGGGGTCTTCGACACCCCTCCGCCTTTTTAGCCACCCCGGATACCAGCGAGCTTGCTGCCCTTGGCATGGACCGACCCTCGCGCCTGAGAGCCTTGAATACTGACAATATCGAGTCCAACACCAGCCAGTCAACTTCCATCTTCGATACCGGCAGTCCGGCTGGCAGTGAATCGCAAACCATTTTCAGCAATGTGGCCACCCCGCCCATCACCGATGCCGATCTCGAACCCTACGAGGATGCCATCAACCCCTTTCAGTCAAGAGGAAATATCAACAACGTTGCGGTCCAAGATGCCAGCCTCCCAAGTCCACGTCTGTCCCCCACGTTGGCCGCCGCCCAGCCTCAAACAGACGTTCCCGATGAAGACGCAGCCCCTGATGCCGATGCCTCCTTTTCTTCCGAGGTAACTCGCACTGATCGGAGACGGTGGATCGACGATACCCAGATCACGGAAGGTGACTCGATGACCATGTCACCCATGCAGTTCAGCTCTGGTGGACAATCACAGGTCATGGGCTCACAGGCTTCTCAGTTTGTCGACCCGCGCACCCTAATTGAAGGCTTCGAGGTGCTCCCCAACGAGTTCAAGACGTGGATTATGTATCAGTTTTTGCGAAGATGCAGCCGGAAGACGCTACGTGTGGTAGCTGATGTGGTGAACCCGGCCCTTAAGTGCGACTTTCTCCGACAACTACCCCTCGAGCTCAGCCTTCACATCCTCTCCTATCTCGATCACCGGGACCTTTGCCGTGTGGCCCAGGTATCCAAGCACTGGCGCCATATTGCCGACAGCAACGAGACAGGGTGGAAGGAGCTTTTTGACCATGATGGATTCACCCTATCACCAGGAGAGTTGGACCGCGCCATTAAGCAAGGCTGGGGTTGGCAGGATCCTGTCGGGTATGATGGTTGTGAGCTTGATTTGAGCCATCAAAACAGACTGACATTGAGTGAAAACGAACTCGTCCGGTCGGTGGTCAAAACAGAAAAGCAGGAGACGCCTGTTCAAAAGTCAACCAGGACGTCCAAGCGGAAGCGTGGGCTGAATCATATCGGCGCTGATAGAGCCAAGCGGCGTGCTGGGGCCCAAGAGTTTAGGGATGATAGGACTTCCCCGGTTCCCAAGACGCACAAATCCGAGGGGCCCATCTCAGCTGCCAACGCCGCCGCTATTGCCGTCCCGGATCCTCAGATCGGTCTTCCCAGCTTGCGGCACCTCCATTTGTTCAAGTCGCTTTACCGGAGGCACTACATGATCAAGAACAGCTGGATGAACGGCAAGGTCAGGCCCGAGCATGTCGCCTTTGCTGCCCACCCACGCCACGTCATCACTTGCCTCCAATTTGACGAAGACAAGATCATCACTGGGAGCGACGACACCTTGATTCACGTCTATGACACCAAGACGGGCGAGCTCCGCACCAAGCTCGAAGGTCACGAAGGTGGTGTCTGGGCGCTGCAGTACGAGGGCAACACACTGGTGTCGGGCAGCACGGACCGATCGGTTCGTGTTTGGGACATCAAGAAGGGCATCTGCACTCAGACCTTCTACGGCCACACCAGTACTGTGCGCTGTTTGCAAATTTTGATGCCTGCAGAGACGGGAGCGATGGAGAATGGAAAGCCGGTCATGATGCCCCAGAAGCCCTTGATAATCACAGGTTCCCGAGACAGCCAGCTGCGGATTTGGCGGTTGCCCGAGGCGGGCTCTCGACGATATATTCAGACGGGCCCTCCGGCTAGTGACGATCAGTGCCCGTATTTTATTCGTATCCTCGGCGGGCACACTCACTCGGTCCGCGCCATCTCAGCTCATGCTGACACCTTGGTCTCTGGGAGTTACGACAGCACTGTCAGGGTCTGGAAAATCAGCACGGGAGAGCAACTGCATGTCCTGCAGGGCCACAGTCAAAAAGTATACTCGGTAGTTCTCGATCACAAGCGCAACCGCTGCATTTCGGGCTCGATGGACTCCATGGTCAAGATCTGGGACCTTGCCACGGGGGCGTGCCTGCACACCTTGGAGGGCCACAGTTTGCTGGTGGGACTTCTCGACTTGCGGGACGACTGGTTGGTCTCGGCCGCAGCAGACAGCACTCTGAGAATCTGGGACCCCGAATCTGGCCGATGCAAGCGGACGCTCGTGGCACATACTGGAGCTATCACCTGCTTTCAACACGACGGCGCCAAGGTCATTTCAGGCAGTGAGAAGAACGTCAAGATGTGGTCTATTGATAATGGTGATTTGGTTCAAGATCTCTTGACAGATCTGAGCGGAGTGTGGCAGGTCAAGTTTGATGACCGGAGATGCGTGGCTGCCGTCCAGCGAGGAAATTTGACATATATCGAGGTGAGATTTCTCTTGTCCCCTGTCTATCATCGGTGCAAGACAGCTGCTAACCAGACACAGATTCTCGACTTTGGTGCAGTCCGCGATGGCAGGCCGCCAGAGGAGCTCGGCAGACGTAAGCTCCTGAACGAAGGAGAGGTTCAACGCCTGCTTGCCGAAGAAGCTGCGTAGGAGTCGCCATCATCGGAGGAAGCATAAAGAGACCGAAGGGCGGAGAAGGCATCATAAATCTTGGGACCCGCCAATGGGTCTATTAATGACACGACACGACAAATATTTGAGGGGCAAAAGTTTCGCAACGGGACAGCAAACAAAGCATTTTCTTCTTCATGATACCGCCATCCGCCAGCCAGCCTTTTTTTTTCTTTCCTATTTACAGCATCGTCAGCGTGGCAGCGGAAGCGGCAACAAACTGGGCAGGCAATATCAGAGTGTTTTTCTTCTTGTTCTCTTATCATCAGGGGTTAAAGTTGCTGTCTGGCTTTTTTCCCTTTTATCTGTCTCATTGGCGTTGTCTCTATCTTTTAAGTTTATTTGGGGAAGGAGGGAGCGATTTGGGAGTATTATAGTCTACCCCCTGATGGGATGGGCGTCATTGGTCTGCAGTGTGGGAACAAATAACAAGGGCATTGCTTTTTGAGTTTTTACAGTATCATTTTGCTTGTTGAAGGGGTGCGGGGGCTCTTAGCATCAGAACGGAAGGAAAGGGAGTGAGGAGGGGATGGGCCGGGGAACCAAAGGGGCAAAAAGAGGGAAGTCCCTGGTGGTGGGTGGTGAGAAGGTCATATTATTGCTGGGGCTGGTAAAGTAGTATAGCATGATTCCCTGTATCTACCGGTGGTTGTTTTTTGTGTTTTTGTGCGTCTCTTTGCAGAAATTTCCCGGCCTTGGAGGGCTGTGTTGGTAGTATTTTAATGATACCTCATGACCTGAACATTGGTTGGTTTGTGAAGTTGACGGTTTTCTGTGAGGAAATATCACTGATAGTGAGACAGTCGATAATGAATAGGTACACAGGAAGGTAAACAGTATTCAGGTAGTGATACTTTTGAATTTTATACATTACTTGTACATCATCCCCTAAACTCCGGAACCATTACATCAAGGAAAAACAACGACATGATAAAAATACATGATAACACCAACTAGGACGGCCGGCAGCCTATCCGTTGATACCCGTCACGGTGCTGCTGATGGTTTCAAGAGAGGAAAGAGGGTATACCGTCCTCGTGACGGTGTTGTAGACTGTCACTCTTGTGGTGGAGAGGATGGTGGATGTGCCGGTGGTGCAGCCTGCTGATTGGATGTCCTCCTCCTTCTCGTCCTCGCTGTCGCTGTCACTGTCACTGTCACTGTCGCTGTCACTGTCGCTGTCACTGTCGCTTTCATCTGACACTGGGAGTGTTGGCGGGGAAGATGGCAGGGTCGAGGTTGAGGTGTGGGTGCTGATGGAGGTCGAGGTTGATGGCTGGGGTGGGTTGTAGGGGGTGAAGATGAAGGTTTGGGGGATGCTGGTAGTTGAGGAGGAGGTGATTGGTTTAGAAGGATTGTAGGGAGTGAATGTGAAGGGGGGCAGGAGTTCCTCGGGTTCGGAAGTGGATGATGATGGTTGGGTGTTGGCGGTGATAGTTACAGTGACGTATTCCTGGGATGATGTTGACTCAATTGGGGGGGAAGATGTGGTTGTCGTCGGTTCAGGGGGGTATTGAGTCAGGGTGACTGTTGACGGGAGGCGGACCACAGGCGGGGGCGGGTTTGGTGATGAGAATGTCACGGTCTGGACAAGGGGAGGCACTGAATAGATTATGGGTGGTTCAGCGACCAAGCTTGGTCGTGGGATAACTGTAACTGTCTGGAGGATGGTTTCCTCGGTGGGTGGTGTTGAGAGAATGACAGTCACTGTTTGGGCTGGCGGAGGGGCCAGAGTGACGGTAATGGTCTCTCCTGGGATGGTAATAGTGATGGCTGATGTGGATGCTGGGCATGGGCAGCAAGCTTGGTCATGGTTTTGAAGATGAGGAATGGCTTGAACTGGGATTGCCAGCACAACCAAAGTTGTAAGTAGTAGTTTTGAAAAAGACATTGTGTGGTAGGCAGCTTGGTGAGAAGTGATTAGAAAACTGGAGAATTTTTCGATAGTTTGTCGAGAGACAGAAAACCTCATTTGAAGCCCATGGCCTCATCTTATATCTAGAGCCGACATCACCGTGACGAAGTCGAGGACTCGAGGGCATACAAGACCAAATTCGAAGGGATACAACATGTCGACGTATTGGCTATGTTCGCCCTCAGAGGGATTATTTGGAGTGTGGATTGAGACTCTGAAATTAGCAAAACTCGACTTTAAGCCCATGAAGACATAATAGCCCTTGCACTTGATCAAGAGAAAGGCATGAAGGGCAAGCCACAAGGGCGTTGAAGAGCAAGGAGAGTTGATAAGTTCAAGCAGGGATCCCCACATCCAACCGCCCCCTGCACACGCCAAGAACCGTCATCCCCAGACTCTAGCCCCCCTCCAAGCAAGGCCAAGTCGGCTTTTGGGCCTTTGCGACAGGGATATTGCAAGCTGACCTGGTCCTTGATCCTCCTCAACAGAAAGCTTACCTTGTCATCTTCTCTTTCCCTTTCCTGTCCTTTGCACCAGCTTCAATGCTCCGAAGCACCTTCAGATCCCTCCGACGGCGGTGACTTCTCGCCATGGCGCCCCCGAGGCCCAATTCGCCGGCAACCGGCAACGGTTTCCTGGCTTCCGTGATGCGATTCTGGAATGCAAGTCACTTACAGGTTGTAGTGTTTTGTTGGACTAGATGTTGATTGTGTTTCCGAATCTAGAGAACGTATGCCTCTGATTACATCGGCCTCGTCATTCTCCTCTCCAGCTACATCCTCATCCAATTCTTCGTCGAACCTTTCCACCGCATGTTCTCGCTCAACGACTTGCGCATCTCGTTCCCCTACGCCGAGGTCGAAAGAGTTCCCCTAAGTAAACCACCCCGTTCCCTTTTTGCGCCCCTCCACCTCATTACTGACCCTCGCGCCCTCCTCCAGCCCACGACTTCATATACGCCCTCTTCCTCCCCCTCATCCTCATCTGCCTCTCCAACCTCCTCTCCTCGGCCTCCTCCCACAAACACCACGTCACCCTCCTCGGCCTCGCCATCTCCCTCATCCTCACCTCCCTCCTAACCGACATCATCAAAAACGCCGTCGGCCGCCCCCGTCCCGACCTCCTCGCCCGATGCGCCCCCCTCCCCGACACCCCCCTCGACAAGCTGGTAGACATATCCGTCTGCACCGAAACAGGCCACCACAAGCTCCACGACGGCTGGCGGTCCTTCCCCTCGGGCCACTCTTCCTTCTCCTTCGCCGGGCTGGGCTACCTCTCCCTCTTTCTGGCCGGCCAAACCCGAATCTTTGCCCACGGTCCAGGGTCGATAGCAGAGCACACGGAAAAGGTGGTGAGGGGCGACCTCCTCAAGGCGCTGTTTTGTCTGGCGCCGCTGGTGGGCGCAACCATGATTGCTATCTCGAGGTGTCAGGACTACAGGCATGATGTCTATGATGTGACGATTGGCGGGTTGCTGGGCTGGACGGTGGCATACTGGAGTTACAGACGGTACTGGCCTAGGTTGAGCAGCGCCAAGTGCGATGAGCCCTATGCCGGCCCGCCGGGGGCGGCAGAGGATGGACCGGGGTATGGGAGGTTGAGAGATGAGGAGGAGGGTGCTGGTGGCAGGAATGTAGGCTACGAGTTGAGAGAGCTGAACAGCAGGTGAAGAGGAAAGCTGATTCGGGTGTATAGTGACCAACCACAACATTTGTCGACAATTGTCACACGGTATATAGTACCATTGGGTATCTATGTACTTGGCAACTTAAACATGGGGATCTGTAAATGATGTAATAAGAGACTGGGAACTTAACAGGTACATGCCTTCCCCTACAACCTGCATGAAGGACCCGGCAAACATTGGCTTCAGGAAAGATGGGATACACGGCGCAGAAGCAAGGAGTTCACGTCCAGTTCAGCATCTGGCACATCTTCTATTAGTACATGCGGCGCTGAAAAACCATTCCATATCGCGATTGTTCCCGTCCACCACCATGGACCCAGTCTATTTACTCCTCCTTGGTCTCGTCCTTGGCCAAGTCGTGCTTCTTGAGTAGCGCGTCGATCTCGTCGGCGCTCCATAATCTGTGGTAAATCTTGCCGTCCTTGGTCTGGCCAACCGTCGCAAATTCGACTGTCATTTGTTAGCCATGATCCCTCTTATAAATCCGCCTCCAAGACTCACTCTTCTCGCTGCCAAGCTTGGTGGAATCCATCGTCTTGCTCAGCACCTTGACGGCCATACCGCAGGCCTCTTCCAACGTGCAATCCTCCTTGTAATCTTGCTTCAAAAGACTCTGGGCGCTGGCGTGGTTGGCGCCCGAGCTTGTCGCCTTCCACCCGCCGTAGTTGCCTGACGGGTTGCTGAGGTAGAGCTGGAACTGGCGCTGGGGATCCCAACCGGCGTAGATGAAGGAAACGCCAAAGGGCCGGAGACCACCGTGTTGTGTATAACCTTGCTTGAGATCGCAGAGACGACGGACGAGCTGTTCGCAGGGAATGTCTTCGTTGTATGTAAGGAGATAGCGTTGGGCGGCTTGTCGGGCGTAGTTGATGAGGATGTTGGCGTCAGCGGTCATGCCGGCGACGGCGCAAATCATGTTGCTACAAACAAAAGCCAGGTTAGCACAACCATAGCCCATACTGAACGACCAGACATGACTGTATCGTACTCATTGAGAATGTAGAGCTTCTCAGCCGAAGTGTCCTGTTCGAGCAGCTTGGAGGTGACCTTGCGCTCAGCAGCGAGGACGATGCCATCCTTGGCCAGGATGCCAATGGCTGTGCCGGCGTGAGAAATAGCTTCGAGGGCATATTCGACCTGGTACAGGCGACCGTCGGGGGAGAAGATGGTTGTCTAGACATGGCAGTTAGCCTCGTGGTGTACCCTTGGCCGCGAAGGGAGCTCCCAGCGCAACACCATGCCCCCCCAATATCGGTGGAGCCAAAGACAGCGGGCAGCCAACATACTCGGGAATCGTATCTTCTGGACATGATGGCAGTTGTTTACTGTTGGAGTTGGAAGCGAGGAGGAGTGATGGCGGTGACGGCAACAATTGGCCTCTTTCAGGCGCTTGTCGGGAACAATCGTGTGGTTTGGGGTTTTATGGTAAGTCCAACGGTTGGAACTAAGGCTGATGGATGGATGGATGTTGCTGCACCTCGCCCTCACCTTCAGGTAGCCCCCCCAGCCTGGGAGCTCTAGGCAAGCGCCCTCACACGCGTAGCTCCTGTTGCTGCCTGACCTGCAAGGCACATGTCCCGCCATCGGGACTTGAACCTGCCAAGCTCCGACTCTCTGCCACTGCTACAAAACCCCACCTGCTGCTTGTCACGAAAAAAAGCGTTACATAACAAGCACAGGCCGATTTCCCGTCCTCCCCAAGCTTCCAAATCCAATCCCTCTCGGCTCTCCCGCTGGCCGTTCGCGCTTCTTCTTCGGCCATCTCTCCACCTTCGATCAATCTCCTCTTTCCAACCTCCGCAATTCGTCACCCAAAAATCGAGAAACGCGATTGAGTCAACAAAACGTGACAACGCCATTGTCGCATACTGACACCTTACAAAGAATTATCTTACTCCGTTACGCAGTACTTCCTTTTGCTGGAATCGACCCGTCGCGCCACGCCACTGCGCGCCCGCTCCATCCATCCATCTACTTACCTACCTACCTTCTGAAGCTTGGACTTGCTAGCTGTGAGGAAAGTTTGGGACCTCCCCCCTCCTTCGCCGCCAAAGAGAGGAAGAGGGAAATACTACCGTGGGCGCTTTGGTTTCTTTGCGGGATAGCTTCGGGCAGGGCTTATCCTCTTGAATTCTGTTTACTTGTTGCTTTTCAATTCTCTCGCGTCACGTCGGGCAGTCAGATGGCAATCTGGTGGTCATTTTAGTTCCCATGCAAGCGTAAAATACCTACCTACCTGATCGAGTGACCCGCATGCCATCTCATCGCATACCCATCTAGGTAGCCATCTATCTACCTAGCTTTTTGAGCAAACAGTAGCCCACCCACTCGGCAAGCGACAGGAGAGGAGAGCAAGCACGCCCCCATTGCCTGGCTGCTGCCACGCCTACCTACCTACTACCTACTGAACCTTCCACCCGTTTACCGTCCGTCTCCCTTTGACGCGACCATGTCTGGTAAGCAGCAACGTGCGCGGCGACTGAACCCTTCGCGCACACCCACCCCCACCCCCAACTCTTCTTCCAAGTCCAACAGGAGCAGCAGCAGCAGCAGTATGGCTCCGCGACGCCGGTCTGCGCGCACCACTCAGACCGCTCTCAAGAACCAGCAACTGACTCTCGACTTCACTTCAGACCCAGAACCCCGCCGCTCCGTCAGAGCGACAAAGGGCCAGCACAAGGCCCACGAACAGCTCGACCAGCTCGTCGAACCGCCAAAGAAGCGAACCGGCGGCTCCAAGAAGGGCAAGAAGGCTGCCCCCGAACCCGAAGAACCAGAGGAGGAGATCATCCGCTGCGTGTGCGGCGCCACCGAGCAAGATGAGGACTCCGGCGAAGCCTGGATCGCTTGCGACACCTGTACCGCCTGGCAACACAACATCTGCATGGGGGTGAGCCAGTTCGCCGAAGACATACCTAAGAATTATTTCTGCGAACAGTGCAAGCCAGAGAACCACAAGGAGCTGTTGGCCAGCATGGAGAGGGGCGAGAAGCTCTGGGAAACACGGCGCAAGAACTATGAAGAGGAAAAGACCAAGAAGAAGAAGGGCACCAAGAAGGGCAAGAAGCGAACAAGTGACCTCAAGGAGGAAGCATCGCGGACGCCACAGCAGTCACCGCCACCACCTCCTCCACCGGCACCCGAACCTAAGAAGGAAAAGGAAACCAAGACGTCGGGTCAGAAGCGGAAAACCGCCGACGGGGCTCAGGAGAAGGAGAACAAGGTAAGTTTTTCACAGCAACTCCATGCCTTGATCTATGTAAGTCACTAACTCCGGCGGCTCCCTTTCCCCCAGAAGCTTCGCAAAGTCACCGAGACACAGTCTGTTCCGGTATCTACACCGGCTTATACCCCTCCTGCTGACCTCCCTTCCAAAGCCACCGAGCTGCCAGACAGTCGGCAGGGTGTGGCTAAGGCGCTCGTGAAGTCTCTTGTGCACTCGCTTGGCGCGGCAGAAAAGAAGGGTGTTGTTCCCTCCGATGGGATGCCTGTCAGTGATCGTGCCGAAAGGTTTGCGCTCCAGATCGAGCGCGCCGTCTACGATACCCATCCCACCCAGGACTCCTACCGCAACCAGGGCAGGACTCTTGTCCACAACCTCAAGTCCAACCTCGAACTGGGATCCCGGCTGCTGGAAGGGACTCTGACACCGCCCATGCTGGCTGCCATGTCTACGGAAGAGCTGGCATCCAAGGAGCTCCAGGATCAGACAGCCGAGATGAAGGCCCGGGCCGAGAAGCAAGCCATCAAGATCACCGAGGATGTGCCCCGGATACGGAGAACGCACAAGGGCGACGAGGTGATTGGCGACGACAACTATGCCATGACCACGGAAGACATCCCGTCAGCTCCCGTACGTCGACCTAGCGCCCCCAAGTCGGAACCTAGAGAGTCATCGGAAGCGAGCCGTGCCAGGTCGGCATCTCGAGGGTTGGCTGTCGACACGCAGCAGTCACCCAGTCGCGCCGACTTTGATCTGAACAAGGTCTACTCCAGTGTCAAATCGCCAGCCGTTTCTCAGCGCCCGGCTGCTCCCCTGGCTGCCGCGCCCGCAACCGGTCCCGGTGTGGACCCAGATGTTGATCGCATGCTTGATGATGACGGGAGCCAGTCACCGCCATATTCGCCAAAAGAAGAGACGGATCCGGATGTGGCGTGGCGTGGGAATCTGGTCATGAACACCATTGCCGAGTTCCAAGTCACCGCGAAGCACATTGGCGGTGCGAACCCCGGAGAGAGCGTTGGTTTAACGTGGGATAAGGTCATCCCAAAGAACATTACCGTCTGCGGGCGCATAGATGAGCAAGCAGCCAATGTGTATCTTTGCGGAATGCGCTACAGCCAAGTCTCCGAGGTCATCGTGGTGAACCTGGAGCCAACATCCCCTCAAGGCAAGGCCGGCATGCAGAAGCTTGTCGAGTATTTTGTCAACAAGAAGAGATATGGTGTGGTGGACCGCAAGGGGCTGGCAAACGTCCGAGACAGCTATCTCGTGCCCGTCCTACCCGGTGCAGGTGGCCACCCTGAGTTTATGATGAATCTGGAGGACAACTTCATCCCGCAGTTAAGAACCGAGCCGATGTTGCTCGCCGTATTCGTCTATCGATGGGAAGACGGCAAAGTACAACCAAAGGCCCCCCCAGTGCTGACGCAGGCCCCGGTTCGACACGACTACGCACAGTCTCCTGACACACCGACTCCCACATCAGCAGGCTTCCCGCTGGCCAACCGCCAGTCCAGCACAGCGCCAGCCTACTCACCCACGGTGAATTCAGGGGCATTCCCGAACTATCCGACTCCTCCCCGGAACAGCGCCACTCCCCTCCAGCAGCAGGTGGTGGCGCCTCCCCCACAGCCCCAAGAGCCAGCCCTGAGTCCGGAGCAGGCTCGCAGGGCGGAGTCACAGCGGCGAGGAGAGGCCGAAGCCCGGGAGGTACTTGGCCAGTACATGAGAAGTCCGACGGTTGCGTTCCTTCTTCCTCAGGCCTTTGCCATGACGCGCTCGGAGTGGGAACTCATAAGGAGGGTATACGAGCGTGAACCCAAAGCCAGAGAAGATCTGCCGTACCTTAGTCAGGTTCTGGAACGAGAGGCTCCGGGGCCTCAAAGCCAGCCCTCAGGGCCTTCTCCACCGCCTCCACCGCCGTTGCAGCAACCACAGCAGCAGCCACAACAACCAAGGCCGCAACAGTTCCAGCCCCCTCTCCAGCAGCATCAGCAGCATCAGCAGCAACACTTTCACCCGCCCCCGCAGCAGCAACGCCAGCCTCCGTATTCACATCTGCAGCAAGTTCAGCCGCCTCAGCAGCATCAGCAGCATCAGCAGCACCAGCAGCAACAAGGAGCCCAGCGATCCCCAACACAGCCACATCACCCTCAGCTTCAGCCACAGCAGCAGCAGCAGCAGCAGCAGCAGTCACAGGCAGTCCCGGTCCGGCAGACGGCCGTGCCCCCTCCGCAGATCCCACCTGCAGGGCACGCCGCGGGACCTGCGAGACAGACGCCCATCCCACCCCCCCCCATCCCGCCACAGGCAACCGCTACGACCACGGCGGGATCGCAACCGTAGGAGGAAGTGGCGGCGGGGAGGATATTGGCGACGCTCAGCACTGCTCTTGAGAAGATGTTTGACGACGCTGACGCGAGCGAACATGATTGGGAAGGAATGGGGTTGGGGAGTTGATAAAAAAAATTGCGCGAAGTGGAAGGAAGCTAGGAAAATCATTGTTTATTTGCTTTCTTGGCTCGGCTCGGGAAGGAAAAATGTTCGGAGGAGTTGCTCACTCTTTTCCTGGAGTTGGTGGGCATCTTGTTGTTCGGCTTCTGCTCGTGTTTTGAGTGTTTTTGATTGGTTTCTAGTTGCACATTTTGGGACGGGCGTGGGTAGTTGTTTGGTTGGAACGAGGTGTGTCGTTGGAGTTTCATGTGACGTGGTTGGAGGGAGGGGGGGGAGCAAGGGATCGAGACTGGTAGATGGGATTTATATGTTTTATTTCATCAGGTTTTGGTGCTGACATGGGTGGTGGTGGTTGTTGTTGTGGTTAATATCACTTGCCTATTTAGTTGGTCTTCTTCTGTGTGTATCTTTCAAAAGGCAGCTTTTTATCTTTATCAAAGTGCTAGGTCGTTCGTTGTGTGATCTGATCATGGCTTTTGTGAAGCTAGCTATGTATGTGCAATTCGCCTCTGGCACATGCTGTAATATCATCCCAGGTATCTTTATTGTCTTAGGCAAACTCCAACTCCACACTCCCAACCGTGCACCTCTCGGCCGCCACCCTCCTCCTCTCCTCCGTCTCCCTGCCCCCTATTGAGCCCGTCGTGACCACCTCGTCGTCCAGCCTCGGCAGCTCCAGACTCCCCAACCCCTCAATCATCCTCCTGGCCTTGTCCACCACCCCCCTAATGGCGGCGGTCTCGGCCCTCTTGGTGTCGAGCTGGTCCTGCATGATCTGTATGAGCTGCTCCCGTGCCTGATGGGGCCGGTATTCGTTTAGGGTGTGGTGGAAGTTGAGGATGAGGGTCTTGAGGTCCTGGATCTTGGCGGCGCCGTGGGCGGGGTTGTGGGACATTACGCCGACGAGTTCGAGGTAGTTTAGGAGGATGGACTTTGCGAGCTTTTTGAGTTCGAAGGAGCGGTCGAGGTGTTTGGAGTCTTGGGAGGAGGGGTTGATGGAGGCGGGGAGGAGGGGTGTTACGCCCGCTTCGGTGAGGGATTGGAGGGTGTCGGTTAGCTGGGGGGATGGGAGTGTTAGTATAGGGAAGGGAAGCCGGGAGGAGGAAATACGGACTGCTTGGGCTTCGCTATATAACCTCCATTTTCCGTCTGTTGGTTCGGGTGGTGGTTGGAGATTGATGAGGTCTTCTGGGATGGAGGGGAGGCGGGTTATGGAATCTGGGTCGGGGGTGGAGTGTGCTGTCGCGTAGTCTGATTTAAGGGTGTCGTAGCGGGAGATGTTCTCGGGGGTGAAGTCTTTCCAGAATGGTGGAGGGTCAGGCCAGGTCGATGTTACGCGGTTTGTATCTTCCTCCTCGGCCATGTTGTCAGGGTGGGTGTCGCACGAGTGGGGATGGAGGTGGTGTTTGCAGAGAGGTGGTAGTGGCTGAGAGCCTTCTTAGATTGTTCTGGGGCGATAATAAAGCTGGTAATAACTCGTAGTCAGGCAGTAGTCAACTAGGCGCATTCAACGTTGAAAGATGATGATGTTTGGTGAAATGCGCACCTTTGCGACTGGCTGTGGCTGAAGCTTCCCCAGGTTACACCAAGTGGGGATCACTTCGGGAGCTTCCCTGTGGCTGCCCCGCTGTCAGGTGCCAAGGGTCCGACTTCAGCGCCCCAAGCGCCTTCGAATTTATTCCACTTTAGGGACAGTCGGGTCCATCATCACCCCCAACAACGACTACCTAATCCACCAAGTGAATGCCCATTGACGTCTACAATAGACCGCCATTTTCGTCCCCTTTTCGCTGTTTTACTCTACCCAACTAACCCATTGATTGCGACATTTTCCACCACCTCGAGATCCACCACCTTGCGCATCTCACTACTGCGCCTCGACTTGTACATGTTCATCATGACCGATGTTCGCGCTCTACTGAGGCAGCAACGCGCTGCTCGCCGAATTGAACACCCTCACGCCTCCTATTCCGACTCTGGGAAGCTCTCGTGCGCCATCTGCCTCGAGCCCATCAAGGCTGAATCCCTCTGGGAAGGTCATCTGCGCAGCGCCGGCCATCGCGAACGAGTCCAAGTGCTGTTCAACACCGACAAGAACAGCAATGGCCCCAGCTATGCCGGCTTCGTGGACCAAGCCTCTGCTGCCGCCGGCCTATCAACCAACAAGCGCAAGCACAGCGATTCAGACGATGAAATGGGTGACACTTTTGACGAGGACGCCGCGCGACGAAAAAAGAGCAGACCTGACGTGGTGACCACCTCGGACGAGAATCAACAGGCTGCGGCCGAGAGAAGCAAACCGTTGACACCACCACTGACCCGACGAACATCGGGCACCCCTACCTTTGGAGTTGAGATACAGATGCCCTCTAGACCAGCCACACCTGTCGCAGTCCGGGAGGATAGGGAGAAGAATAGCAGTGGAAGTGCCGGGACACCAATGTCGATCACGCCAAAACCAGCATCGCAAAACAGGTCACCGCTTATACCGCATGAGCCACAGCAAAAACAACCACTAAAGACATCTACGCCAGCGCCGGTGGCGGACGACCTGTGGGCAGAGTTTGAGGCGGACTTGTTGCAGGAGAAAAAGAAGCCTGCTGCTGTTGCTGCTTTGGAGGACGGCGATGCTGTCATTTCTGCGCCGGTTATGACCAATGAGGAGATTGCTGCCAAGTCAGAAGAGGAAGAAAGACAAAAGAGAAGGGCGCTGGCGGATATCGAGCTGGAGGATGAGAAAGAGGAGGCCACTCGGGCGTTGGAGACCGAGTTTGAAGTTATGGAAGAGCTGGAAGCGCGTGCGAGAAAGCTCAGGGAAAGGAGAGAGGCATTGAGGGTACAAGGAGGCGGGGGAAGTGCTGCTCCTGCTGCTGCTACGGCTAAGGGACCTGCGCTTGGAAAGGAGAATGCTGCCGTGGCGGAAGATGAAGACGATGAAGATGATGACGAGGATGAGGATGATTGGGATGGGTTCCGATTCCGGGCTTAGAGAGCCAGCCTTCGAGATGTTCAATGTACATTGTAGTGTATCTATCACCCGGTACGTCAAAACAGAGACGACAGCAGTTACCTAATGTCAAAAAGCAGCACAAACAAACCAAACAAACCTCTGTGCTATGTTGCCTTGATGAGAGAAAACCGGAACAAACAATGTCAGCAGAAAACAGAACGCCAGAAAACCCACCACGAAGTACAAACCATATCCCAATCCGCAATGTCCAAGAGGTATACAAGCCCAAATCCCAGTCGGTTCAGTGTCAGCAAGCAAACAAACCGATTCCAAGCCCTTCCCCCCCTTTTCCAACCAACCAACGCACGCAAACAAAGTAAAGAAGATATCAGCCTCTTACCTCACTCACCCCTGCTCCTTACTAACCCCCTCCCAAAACCTCCTCAACCTCCAAACCCTCCCCACCCCACTCCTCTCCTCCCACTTTTTGACACCCTCCTCCTTTTCCCTCACCTTGCCCCCCCAAACAGTCCCCACAAACCCCCTCAGCCTATCCTTCACCCTCTCCCTCTCCACCGCCCTCTTCCTCGCGACCAACGCGGGGGCAACGGCGGCCTTCTTACCGGGTAGGCACTCGGCCGGCAGGACGCACCGCTCCACCAGCACTTCTGGAGGCGGCCGGGCGGCGAGCTGGCGGGAGAGGCGGATGGAGACAAAGGAGCGGGCGAGGCGGCGGGAGACGATGGTGGTGTTGGTGAGGAAGATGGAGCGGCGGATGAGGTCGGTCAGGGTCGGGCGGGAGGGCGAGGCGAGCTGGGTCGGGAGGGTGGTGCGGGCGCGGCGGAGGCGGAGGCGGTGGAGGTGGGGTGAGAGGGAGAGGGTGCGGAGGTGGTGGGAGGTCTGTGAAAAGGGGGGACGGGGTTAGTAAAGTTGCGGTTGAGATGGGGCCCAGGGAGGTGGGAATGTGGGAATGTGTTATTGTGGTAAAAGGGGTAATGTGGGAATGTGGTAAATGGATGATTGGTGCAGATTGGGAGAAACTTTGACAGGAAGGAACGGTGATTGGAAGGAGCGGCAGACAGTTGTGGGAAGGAGCGGCAGGGAAAGAGCTGTGAGGGAAAGAGCTGTGGGGGGGGGAGAATCATGGCGGAAGGAGCTATGAAGGGAAGGAGCCACGAGGGAAAGCACACCAGGGAAGGAAGGAGCTAGGTGTACGGGGAAGGAGCAATGGGCGATAAGGGGCGGATAGCCACAACAACAGATGGTGAAGAAAGGGGTTTCAACCCACCCTGGAGGTTGCCAACAAGTCACAGACTTCGAGATAACTCAGGATATGGAGGAGCACCTCGTTTGGCAGCTGCGAGAATTCAACCATGGGACAGCAAGAAGAGGTATCATCATCCACCTGTCCATCCGGCAAGAAGCCGTTGCTCCCCATATTGCCATGGCCAAGGTGCGTCACGGAAGGATTGCCGTCTTTGGTTCCAGACCCCAATTCCTCGCTTCTAGGCGTCGATAGTGTCAATTGACTTGTCTTCTCGGCAAGCTGGCTGGTGGCAACAACAACAAAAGGGTCTAGACCACCCCCTTCACTCTGCGTATCCGGCTTCAGATAGTGATGGTGCTCGGGGAGCATGCCATCATGTGCGCCTCTCCCTAGGACATTTGCTGGCAATGACGCCATGGTGCCTTTTCCTCCTTTCTCAAAGCGGCGAGGTGCGTTGACGGTTCCCTTGGAACTAGATGATCTGGCGCTGGTGTGTTGTGTTGTGTTGTATCGTGTCGTGTCGTGTCCGGTATAGCAGTTGATGGACTCCTATATCTCCCAGTCGCCTATCGCGGATGTCTCTTCTGATTTTGCCGTACCATAGGCGCAAAGAGGGGGTCGCAAAAGCCAGGCAGCGCAGCAACAAGGCTCGATGGCCGTTCCCCTCCCTGAGCTGTGCGGCTAAACAAGATCGCGTCAAGCAAAAAGCGCGCGGGCTGCCCGGATAGGTCGGTGCCGATGCGACCAGCAAAAGAGAGCGGGCTCCTTCTGCTGCTGTGCTCAGTCGGCGGTCCAAGGGACGCGGGATCACGAACCCTGGAGGGGGTGAGGAGGAAGAAAGAAACCGCCACTCGGTGTCGGATGCGTGCCAGAAGCGGTAGCTAGGCGAGTTCAGTCAGTGTCGTCAAGTCGTGGCAAAGTTGAGCGAAAGCGAGGATGTCGTTGAAGTCGAGATTCCCAAGTTGTTGGGCTGTGACATGAGACGTGCGTCGTCACACTTGACACAGGCTGGTCATCTGTTGTTGGCATCCCGTTACGCAAAGGGGACGCAAGGGCGAGGCACGAGGCACGGACGTTGGACAATGCAGGGGTTGTCTTTCGATGTACAGTAAGGTACATCGTCTTCTTTGTACACATCATCAGAGCCAGTCCTCATCAGGCATCTCGTGGCCATCACAGGTCATTCAAGGCCATTCAAGGCCATTAAAGGCCATCTTAAGCCCTCTCGGCCTGCTCATGAGCGCTTTTCCGCCGTTGCCCTGCCCATGACTTTAGAGTCTGAAAGTCTAGAGAGTCGGAACATGATGCCATGTTGGGCCTCCCAGGGCGCTACGGCGCGGGGCATTGGCGGCTATCGATAAGCGATAAGAGCTAAGGTATCTAAGACATGGCGGGGTCGCAGTAGCAGTAGTAACAGCAGCAACAGTCAATGTCAACAGATGCTTCCAGGTTGCCCCTCATCTTTACACTCGGTAACTCGATTCAATCTCAAAATTTCTTCTTCAGCAGATTCTCTCCACGGCCCCGGATCCTCGATGATCGCGGATGCAACGTTGCGGCGGTGGGCATCCGGTCTACTGATCTTGGGATGATGTGCCTGAGCTCTCCTGCGTCTTCCACATACGCCAGCGCAGGGGAAAGCCACCGGACGTCTGGAGGTGCATTCCTACAGGGTCAGGGGTATCTTGCCCACGTCGACACGACACTGCAATGCGAGCCCAGCCTGGCATACTTGGACTGAGCTCCACCACCTCATGTCTGTTGTCTTTGCCCTGCAAGCGCCTTGCTTCTCGGGTCCAGGTCCGTCACATCTCACATTTTCGTTCTGATGAAAGAGGGAGCTAACGCTGATATCTAGCTCATCCTAAGGGGGGATAAGAAAACAACAACAATAACAACAGCTTCACTCCATCATCTCGGCCAGATCGCGGCCAGTGACGTGTAAAGTGCGCGGGGTTGGCCTCCCAGTCTGCGGCCACGGGCTGCTTATCACTTTCCATTGTTGCCTTTTCAGGAACGCGAATTATGACTCCGCAGACCCGGCCGGCATCAAGAGGGGAGAGAGAGCTTGATCGGCTGATGTCACTGCCAGCACTCATCCCATCCTCTGTCTTGGACCCTCAGTAACCCTCTCAAGGTCAAAGTTCGAACATCACTCTCAAGTCTTGACCAAATGCTCGGTCGTCTATCAACGGGGAAAGGATGCGGCCCGCTTTTCGGTTTCTCCAAACCCGCCAACCCCAAACCCCAGTTAGCCCCCAAATAGGGCCAGCCAATGGGATGCCACGACTTATCTCAATGAGGCTGTTCCAAAACAAAGTCTCTCCGTCACCCGTTGCTCCCGAGAAGTGACCCGCCGGATCCCTGTCGATGGATTTTACTCGATCGCTTCAGGCCGCTTTAGTGGGAGTTTACCATGTAAAAACCACACACAAACCTACAACCTCATATATCGTTTACCCGTAGTATCGTTTGGAGGACGCTTCTGCAACACCAGTTTGACACACGATTCGCGAGGACGAGGCCAGGGCCATGCAGAACACCACACATATATGCCACGCTTGCAGTCTGCTTCTACCTACATGATGAGCCGAGGTCATCTTGATAGCTCCTGGTCAACTTCTGTTCTTCTGTCGGAGCAAGGAACATCCACGCCGGCGGGGACCGGGGACGGCCCGCTCCCGGCTCAGCCCAAGCGATGACCGTCCGGCCTTAGAAATGTCTGCGCTGTAAAGAGCCCAGGTGTCTTGAATGTCTTGATGAGAAGTGATGGTAAATCATTGCAGATCTCTTTGCTCTCAACCGCTTGGAAAGTTCAGGGCCAGCCAGTCTTTGTCTCTCGCAAGCATTCCAACCTGATCGCCGAACCCCTGTCTCTCACCCTGGCGTTCCCCATCTCGGCCTGCCTGGCCGGCCCCAAGAGGACCACATAGCAGCTTTGATTCATCATGACGCCGGCCTTCACTTTAGCTCTCCGAATTTCAAACCCATTCTGGTTGACGCTCGGCGTAACGGCACCGGATCATCATCCAGCTTGCTTCACTGTCGAGCGGGGAGGCGGGTGTCAGCCAACCTGTTGTTGACTTGCTGTTGTTCAGTGCTGTCGGTATATTAAACTAGACGATCCAAGCTTCACCCACACTGTCTCTCAATGCGATCCCATCTTTCTTTGCAGGCCACGGCAGCAAGGCACGGGCGGCTGGTCCGGAAGGAGACCCGGATATTGTAATGTATATCCCTGGAGTGCGACGCCATCAGCAGTCTGCACTGCCCTGTGATGATCCTGCTTGATCACTCCACTGGAAGCAAGGTGAAGTGTAAGTCACCGCCCCCATCATGGAGACGGCCGGTCCTGGCGGCCACCCTCAGGAGCCTAATCACCAAATTCCGTCCCGTTCCGCCCAGGGTCGACAAAGTGCCATCAGCCTGAAGGATCTCAAGGCCTCCCACCAGGACATGTTTCCTGTATCCGGGGCCCTTTTCCATCTCGGCCTCGTATCTGGCCGTTTCGTTTTGATCTCCTGCTGATCGTGTCCCATCTTCCTTCCCGTCTGGTCGTCGTGCAGAACCGACTGGAGGAGCCGAGCGGCCGCCTTGCGTCATGTCACTTTGCCGTCGTCTTGTTTTTCCATCAGGAGCTTCCTCGGTCATCCGGATCACATCACGAGCAAGAGGCTAGTATGAACCTTGCAAGCGACATATAGTTCGGCGAGTATTTCAGAACCTTCGCCTCGTACCGCACCTGCTATGTGATAAGGCTAGATCAAAGCAAAAACAAAAAATACAACGCAGATCGTGATGGTTGGCTATTCAGGACTCGCCACGTCGCTTTGAGAAGCCTCCAACCACTCCACACATTCGAGTAGGCCGCGTCTGGAACAGTATTCTGCTGATATTTGTCATGGGGACTCAACAGCGTGGACTCGGCCCGGCAGTGGGTCGTCACCTCTTGGGAATGAGACTCTAGTTCATGTGAGGACATTGTCATGCGAGACTTCACTCAGGGGTAGCCATCGAGAGAGCGGAGTGTCGGTCACAGCCTCCGAGTCTACGTATAGCTGGGACTGACAAGAGCGCACGGAAGGCTCCATCAGAGACGGCTATCTCTCGGAGCTACATGATTGTTGCAGATGTGATTTAGGCCACAGATCACACGATCTTGTCCCCCAGGGTTTCATTCAGGCCTTAACCCCGGCACAATTCTTTGGCTCGGCACTTAATCCTCGTGGTGGGAGAGCCTGCTTGCTCTGGCAGTACTGTGACTGAAGTCAAATGCAAGCTGAACGGCGCCGTCAGCACTCTCACCACCACAATGCTCTGTTCCGAGCCGTCGGGCTTGATGGGTGAGACCATCAGGAAAGCCGGAATCCAATCAGCTTCCGGAATGGATGCAAGAGCTCTCGACAGGGGGTGTCCTCAAACACTGGTTCAAGTCCACCGTTTTGCTGTCTCAGCCACGGCATACGAACTGTGGCTTCACCCAATATATCGTGTGAGTATCTTTGAGAACACGTCCATGCCGAGGAAGAAATCTATCTGCAACATACTGGATATCAAGCGGCCCGACAATGGTTCTCTTGACACACCCCTCTCCTCATGAGCGAGAAGTTTCCGCACGCACACCCCCTGCCAGGTACGGAATATGATGACGCTG